CCCCCCCCTCCCCGGGCCTGCATGAAAGAACTTGAAATCAATGTACTGACTGATTCGTTTTGGCGTTGTGGGTGTGCGGTGGAGCATTGCAACCGTAAAACAGTCCTTACAATGGACATCATCCTCTCGCTCAAACTTCGAGGTCGAACTCTATACCATTTCTGAAACCTTTCCCTCCAGCTCCCATGATGATCTACTTCGAAAGAGTTTGCTCCAGAATGTCATGACCGAATCCCACTCTGACCCCTTCAACATCGACTCGTCCTCCTCCAACCCTGGTAGGCTGTGCAGTGTGAGCGCAGAGGTGGATTTTCGGTGCGATGACCATCGAGACGAATCGTGTGGGATGGAGCGGTTGGATCGGTAGATCTGCAGGACTGGTGTGGATGACGCAGAGGTTGGGTGGGAGATGAGTTCGCCGTGAACGGAGACGACGCTGCCGAGGTTTGAGTGCTGTGTTCTGGACCAGTGGACCATGGTTTCCAGGGCGAGGGTTGCACCTTGACCGAAACCGAAGATGTGGATCGAGCTGCTTCTCCAGCCACACTTTCCCACCAGATGCTGCAGAACGCAGGTCAGATTTGCGACAGTTTCTGTCGGATTGGGTTTCGTCAACAGTTCGGCGAATTGGTCGAACGCGGGATACCACGTCCAATGATCACCTTCGAGAAAAGGCACGCGGAGAGGCGCCTGTAACGTCAGCACTGCCGTCTGCGGCAACGTCTTTTGAAGGCTCTGACCCAAGTTGAAGAAGCCTCGATCGGTATCCCCCAACCCATGGAACAAGATCAGCAGGTTGGAATCGACCCCGCTCGGCGCAGGGGAAAAGTGATACCCGGAAAACTTCTTCAACCCCTCCACCGGTACGAGCGGCTTCTTCACCAGCTCCACGTTCGTCACATCCACCGCGATCTCCTTCTTGGTTGAAGTCATTGCGCCGTTCAACCTCCAGAAACAGGTGGGATAGCAGCGACCTCTTCCCCGCCCTTCAACGTCCACTCCTGCAGCTCGTCGGTTTCGATCAACGTGTTATCCACCGACCACCTGCACGTACGCAGTACCGATTCCACTTCCGCAGAAGGATGAGCCGATCTCACGAGCTCAATGAGCGAAGGAAGTGAGAGCGGCGTGGAGGGGAGAAGAATCGTTTCGGTGGATTGACCGATGGCGGTGCGCGCTGACGCAAAGTATAGGACTCGCACCGATGGCGAGGCGGCTGCGTGGAAAGGAGGATGACGTTGTCAGCAATCAGACTGGATGACGGCAGTGGTGACACTGAGATGTACGTACTTGACATGGTGTGACACGAGGTGATGGTGTGCGGGAGCCGGTGCGGAGAGTTGCAAGAACGAGAAGAAAAAGTGCTCAAGCCTCCACAAATTCCCCAGTACGGACATCCCCGAACCCCTCCCTCAACACCATCTCCGTCTCGCAACCCACCTTTCTCTCCTGCTCAGCCTTCAACCTTCACAAGCGCAATTCGCCAACACCAGCAACACCTCACACGCAACCACTCTCTGCATTCGAAATTGTAGCAATCTTGGGATATCATTTTCGTTCACAATCAAACCAATACAAAACAAATCCTTCTGTCTAACCATACATGTTGTTGTTGTTGCCGCCCTGACCAGCACCACCCGCCCCTCTTCCAGCACCGCCCATAAAGTTCCTCGCCATATCCCTCAACGCAGGATCGTTCATCATGGCGTTCATGTCCGGCATGCCACCGCCGCCTCCGAACCGCTCGGCAGCCTGACGCAGCATGGGGTTGTTCATCAGGGACGCCAAGCTGTCCGGGTTTGACATAAGGTTCTGCGCCATCTGTGCGATCATAGGGTTGTTCATCATGGCTGCCAGGTCGGGCATTCCGCCTGCATCGCCGCCGAAGTTGGGGAAGCCACCGGCACCTGCATCGGCGCCGCCCGAGGTGGGTGGGGAGACGGCATCGCGCGAAGACGAAGTGTTGCCTGCAGCGGCTGTCGAAGAGGAGGAGGAAGAAGAGAGCTGCTCCTTGGATGCGGCGAGACCCTTTTTGAGCACCTCGTTGCTGGGATCCACCTCGACACCCTTCTGGTACGCCTCGACGGCTTCCTCGTACCTGCCGGAGCTGAAGAGGGCGTGGCCGAGTCGGCTGTATGCCTTGCCGAACTTGGGGTCAATCTTGCTAGCCTGCTTGGCATCGTCGATGGCCTGGTCGTGCTGGCCGATCTGGCTGAAGGCAGCAGCACGGTTGGAAAAGTAGACGGGCGAGTTGGCGTTGAGCTCGATAGCTTTGCCGTACGCCTCGATGGCAGCGCCGTAGTCCTTGGCCGACATGGCCTTGTTGCCTTCCGCCTTGAGCTGTTCTGCCTTGGCAAGGTCCTCGGCCGATGGTGTTGCAGCAGCAGCGGGGGCGGCGGCAGCAGGAGCGGCAGAGGAAGAGGAAGAGGACGTGGACGCAGCGGGTGCCGGTGCAGCCCCGCCCATCTTGGCTTGCGTCTTGAGGAAGATGTCAAAGATGGCCTGAAGACCAGGACCGGATCCGTACTTCGCCTGCTGCTCTGACGACGAGGTGTCTACGCCAAAGGCTTCCGAGACGCTCTTGGCGGCTTGCTGAAGCTTTGCCTTCTGATCGGCGGGGACGCTGGCCGACGACTGCTGGAGCCATTGCGCCACGGCGTATGCCAGTGGTGTCTGTTGCGACATCGTGTGCGTGCGATAGTATTCGCTGTCGTAGTTTCTGTTGTCGGTGCAAGTAGACAAAGATGCGCTGCGGTCAGTCAAAGCCCTGTGCGTCGCAGTGAGTCGATGCTGCTGTTCCTCTGTCCGGACGTCGTGTCGTGTGATGGATCAGAATGCTTCGTATCTGCACGCTTTTGGCTAAGCAGTCTAACATGTATTTTGTGAAAGTGAAAAGGTTGTGTTCATCATATGAAGGGGAGGTGGTGGCTCGGCGAAGGCGGGCGCGGGATGGAGCTGGTCGCTGAGGGAGAAAGAAGGCGTCCGAGGAGAGTATGAGCGTTTGAATGACTTACACTGTGAAGGAGATCCGATGCGCTCTGGAATTGAGGTGATTCGCTCGTGAAGATGGAAGGTCCGATGCCGTGAAGGAGCGGATGAGAAATGAGAGGTTGGTATAAGAAGGATGTGTTGGAGTGGCCAAGTGGAGACCAGAAATGCTCGTGCGTCCTGGCTTCACATGTCTTTGGTGAGCCACACACGAAGCTGCAGCTCTCTCTCGGTGAGAGCCGATTTTCAGACGGAATCTAGACTCAGCGCTGAGGGAGGACCTACGTGGCCGTTCAACTCAGCAGCGCCTAACATTTCTTCGCTGAGCGTCTCTCGCCTTCCAGTTCACACTCGAAGATCAGTTTTTTTTCCGGATCGTCTCGAGTGTTAGTTTGACTTAGGTTGAACACGAACCGACATTAGCAAAACTTCGCCGTCACCTTGCGCTGCTCCCACACAGAAAGCGGTGTGATGTAGCACCTCTTCGAAAGCACAAGAAGCAACTTGAGAAACAAAGAGCTGACTGTATGTATGAGTGTATCAAGATGAACAAGTGTGCGACAAATTCAATATGTGTAGGCATGAAGACGAAGGGGAACTATGGTTTTTCGAAGCGAAAGCTGCCTGGCGGAGACCGCTGAGCAGGACGACTTTCTCTGGGTATGTTTTGCGTATCATACACCGGCTGCTATGTCCTTGGTGGCGCCGTGTGTTATGTCGTGACAGTGATGTGGCGACTGCTACTGTTGCTGTTGTTGTTGTTGCTGCTGCGCCTGCAGTAGATTCAAGAAGAGCAAATCCGCCCTCTCCACTACATTCTCCTCTGTCAACTCCTGCTGCAACGCCAACGTCCTGATCCTGGCCACCAGACTCCTCAGCATCTTTCTGGAGACGGTCACCTCCTCGTTGAGATCCACGACTTCTCCTTGCTCTTCGTCCATCTCATCTTCCTCGCCCGCGTACTTTCTCAAGAATGGATGCCTCAGCAGCTGCGGTATCGTAGCCCTGTCCTCCGATCCGTACCTCAACGCCGACTGGACGCAATCCAGCAACTCGTCGTCCACCTCCATCCTGTCCGGATACCTCGGATCCCTGAACCGGTTCCAAACAATCTCGTGGTCCGGATCCACGATCGCTTCCAGCTTCCTGTTCGCCGGAACACGATCGAACGGCGGCCGACCCCAGATCATCTGGTACAAGATGCATCCCAACGACCACACATCGCTCGGCTTACCCGCTTTGTACACGCGTCTTCCTTTGGCGCGCGCAATCTTGATCGCTTCCGGTGCCATGTAGTTGGGCGTGCCGATGATGTTGTCGCGCGAAATGTGAACCGTGCCCTTGGGGATCTTTTTCGAGATGCCAAAGTCGATGAGTTTGATGCGGTTGTCCACCATGAGGAAGTTGGCGGGCTTTAGATCGGCGTGCACCAGATTGGCTTCGTGAATAAAGTGCACCGCCTCGAGCATCTCACGGAAGTAGTGCGCGATGGCTTCGCGTGGCAGAGGTGCCTGTTGCGCAAGGAGTGTTCCGAAATCGCCTTCGCCGAGTTCGATGAGGATGCGAAGCTTGTCGGGCGTTCCGTTCTTGTCGACCGTGACGTGGTGTCCAAAGTAGCGCAGCAGGTACATCTCGCTGCCTTGCAGATCTGACAGCGTGCGCAAGAGGTTCGCTTCCGCGATGAGGTCGAGCTTGTCCTGCTCGCTCTCGATCTGCTTGAGGTCGACCTGCTTGAGCGCAAAGAACGCCTGCTGCTCTTCGGGCACCGCCATCTCGTCGATCATCTGCGTCTCCGGATTTCGCACCTTTTCGCACGCAGGACCTCGCAAGACGTGGACCGTGGAGAATCCACCTTTGGTCAGCTGCTTTCTGCGGAACTTGAAGCCGGGAAGCTTGACACATCGTGTAGATCCGGAAATCTCCTTCATGAAGCGATCGTGCTGGCTGAGCGGCTTCTGCATCTGTCGTGTCGTTTCTGCCCAGATGGCCTCGTGTCGGATCTCGGAGTAGAGACGGCAGGCTTCCTCCTCTGCTGGCTCGTCGTCGTTTCCGTGGCTGGCCTGCGTCGATGCTACCGAGGCGGAAGACATGGATGTCAAAGGTTTGGGCTGGGCGTCGTTGGCAGCCGCAGCTCTTTGACCGGCTCGTAGGTCGTTAGCAGAGGGTGCAACCAAGCGGCGATGCGCCATCGGATCGACGGGCGCAGCAATGTTGGAAGCCAGGAAGTTTTGGATCGCTTCGGCCTGGCCTTTGGTAGGATGGATCGAACCATTGGCCTGTTCGAGATTAGCTCTTCGTGCAAACGGGTGTGCTTCGTTCCTGCGAGGTGGCGGTGGCGGCTGCATGTCGTAGTCCTGATCTTGCGCTTCAGGACTGGCGTCGGTGCGGGACGGTCTGGACTCGGGGCCGGGAGACCGCACCAACGACGCTCTCTCCATCATCTCTGCTCTAATCTTTTGATTCTCTGCATCGTACCCATACGGCAGGAAGCGTTTGTCCGGCCGTTCGATGGCCTCCGCTGAGCCGTGTGCACCAGGACCAGATGCGTAGCCAGAGCCCGATCCGGAGCCCGAGTTGGAGCTGCCATCTTGGTTGTGACGCGAACGACGTTCATTGCCGTTCTCGGGACTGACACTCTGGGCCTCCTCCCTGCTCTTGTTGGCCCCATCCGCATTGGCACCACCCTCTTCTTCCAAATCGTCATCTTCGTCGTCCGAGTATCGCCTCACCACACGTCTGGCTGGAGGGTGTCGATTGGACGAGCGTGTGAGGGTGCGCAGGCTTCGCGCTGCACTGCGTTGGGCCGTGGTCGGGGCAGCCGAGGTAGCGCTCGATCGAAGGGCGCGGCCGGTCATGGCGGGAGTACGGTAGCCTGTCGATGGCTGAACGCTGGAGGAAGCTGCTGCTGCGGTGCTGCGGGCCACTGCATCATCGGGAGTATCGCGCTTGACCGAGGCGCGTTCGTCGATGGGAGCGTAACGGACCTTCTTCTCCTCTTCCTCGTCGGCCTTCTCGTTGCTGCGCCTACGATTCGGCAGCGTTGCGGCACTTCTCAGCTCGGCAACATTGTAGGGAGGCGAGGTAGAGCCGTGGAGGGCTACCTTTGCCGAACGCAGCGGCGGCGAGCTCTTTGACCGCAACTCGTCGTGTTGGAACGCTGCTGATGATGCAAATGGTGACGATCGGCTGAGTGGTTCCTGTGCCTGTACCTCACGGAAGATACTGGATGCTCTGAGGTGGTGAAGCTCGTCTCGCTGTGTGGATGGTGCAGGTATCGCTCTGCGGCCTGTGCCTGGCGAGTCGTCGTATGGATCCGAGTGTGTCTCCCGTTGCGCTTCTGAAGAGGTGCGGTGGAATCTGGGTCGCGGATGTGCCGTATTGGTGTTGTTGTGAGCGTGTGCAGCTACACTGCTGGCCAGAGGTGCGGGTGCTTCCGATTCGGACTCGGCGTCTCCGAGGAAGTGGCTGACGGGTGCAGGTGGTAGCGGACTGTCGCCGATGGTGGCGTTGGCTCTGTCGCTTGGGGTCTGGTCGGGATGAGCGCCTCCGTGCCTCAACGAGCGTCGAAGGACGGGTGTGGACGGTGGAAAGTCGTGGTATCGGGAGACCGCGGTCATCTTGTCTGATCAGGGTAGGAATGCAATGTCGGGTGAAAGTCCTGGTCGGCGGTGAGAGTCGACGTGTGCACTGCCACTTTGATGGAAGGGTGGTGTCTCTTTAGAGTGAACAAGATGGATGCATATCTCGTTGTCCTCTCTTGTGGTAGTCGAACGCGATCGAGAAGGAAATATTCTGCTGTCTGTGATGCTTTTTGGACGGCGTGGAGAGATGGCAGGCGGCTTTCGATGCCGCGCGGGTGACGAGCAGGAGATGACAGGTCGTGGAGGAAAAGGTGATTGACTCGAGACTGCCTTGCGTTGAAGGTAGTGACAACGAATCAGAAGGATGATACCAAGCAAATCTTGACAAAGTGATCCGAAAGAGTGTGTGTGCGCGTTGGGGTGTAAGAGCGACTGTCAGTCTGAAAGCATGCAAAGTGGACTCTCGCCCAAGCTCGCATACTTTCGTCGTCTGCTCGACTCCTTCGCTTCCGCCGATACTCATGCCCACACACTCTCTCTCGCTCACACTCTCACTTTCGAGTCTGCCACCTTGCAAACATTAATGCCACTCTCTCCTCTGGTCACACACATCGAACCGACAACCTTTCGTCGCTGCCTCTGACATTGCCATGCAGCAGCCATGCGTCTGGTCGTGCTCTTCCGACCAGAAAGCTGACGATGCTGACTCGCTTTCGTGCCTTCATGTCGGCCCTTCTCAGTTAGCTGCACAGAAACACAAATACGGAAATCAACACACACACGCGCCTTTCAATCAAAAAATCAGAAACTCAGTCCAGAACCGCGTCTTTTTCGTCACGTGATTCACAACTCATGCTTTTGAAAATTGCTAGGATGTGAGGTCCTGTATTGCAGACAGTCTGGCGGTCGACTTTGTCCTCCTCTAGACCTTCTCTAAGTCTTCTTCGAACCAGCGGTGAAAGCGTCGTACACCTGCTCAGCGTACCCCAACACGGCTTCCTCCTCATACCTCCTACCTACAATCTGAATGCACACAGGAGCATTCACCAACTTCTCCGCGTCCCACTTCTTGCTCCATTTCTCGTCGTCTTCCGAAAGGAATCCACCACTCCTCGTTGCTCCTCCATCGACGGCAGGATTCACCTTCGAGATGGGCAGTACGACAGCTGGATAGTCGACCAGGTTGAAGATGCCCGTGTAGGCTACGTAGATGTCGTTGCCTGGTGCGATGGCGGTGTAAGCCATGCCTGGTACGATGAGAAGATCGATCGGTCGGCCATCCTTTGTCTGCCTGGCGGTGGCATTCCAGTGATCGAGGTATTCCTTTTGGAACGCGAGCTTGCGCTTGTTCGCTTGCCACACTTCGAAGGCGGTGTACTCCTTCTGGCCTATACCGGATAGACATGGTCCGAGAGGCTCTTTGAGTGGAGCGATGGATTCCGAGATGTCCTTGCCTCCATCTGCGCAGAACGCTTCGACCAAAATGCCCATCGCTTCTTTGGTCTTGTACGGCTCAAAGTCGACAATATCGTGTTCGCCAAGGCTGGCGAGCACTTCCTTGATCGCTCGCTCGTAGGGTGGCATTGGCTTGACATGACCGTCGTGCCACATGACACCCACGTTGAGCTTCTTTTGCGTACGCGCCTGTTGGAATCTCTCCTCGTTCCACGGCATCGAGGGTGTCTGTGGATCCAGCAGCCACGGCTGCTGCGCCAGTACTGCCTTTGAGAACTCGGTCAAGCCCGACAACGACCGACTGAGTGGGCCCAGCACTGAAGGAATTGTGATCTGACCTAGCAGCGTGTTGACAGCGCCCTCGTACGGGAACCTATGAGAGCACGGTCGAAGTCCAAACAGGCCACACAGCGCCGCAGGAATCCTCACCGACCCACCCACATCCGTACCTACACCCAGCGGTGATCCTTTCATGGCTACCAACGCTCCCTCTCCGCCCGACGATCCACCAGGATGCAATGTCCTGTTGTGCGGATTCAGCGTCGTGCCCCAAAGAGTATTCGAAGTTTCCGAGTACATGATCGTCTGAGGCAAGTTGGTCTTTACGAACGGCACAGCTCCCGCTTTCTTAATGACTTCGACCAGTACTGAATCCGAGTCGGATGGCTTGTTGGCATAGCTGATGTAGCCGATGGTCGAATCGGAACCTTTGATCTGAAATTGGTCCTTGACGCTCATCGGAAGACCGTGCAGGGGACCACGCACTTTTCCCGTCGACTTGAGCTCGGCGTCCAGCTCCGCAGCAAGCTTCCTAGCGTCCTCAAAGTGGATCTCGGTCAGAGGGTTGACCAGTTGGTGTGCGATACATGTTCGCTTGATGAACGACTCCAACACTTCCACAGCTGTATACTCGCCGCTGGCCAGCTTTGCGAGCAACACAGATACATCGTCGGTTTCCGTGATCTGAACCTCGCGCGCGGTCAGGATTCCCGTCTTTGAAGGAAAGTCGACGACCGAGTCGGTGCTGACAGCAGGCAGGGACGACGCTGGCACCTTGTACGCTTCCGGGATGAGCGCCTCCCTCTGCGCCCGCTTGCTTTCGGCGACTTGCTGCCACGTCGACATCCTCTTTCTACGAATGCTGTCGGAGAATGCTCTTGGTGATGTAGGAAGGAACTGAGAGGTGACAGTCCGGGGCAAAGCTCATCTCGAAGCACAAGAGCTCTAATGTCGGGCGCACGGATGCTTTTTTCGCGCAAATTGATAGCCGCGCGCCGTGAAGGTTGAAGTGTGGGGAGCACGGCTATGCTTTCATAATTTCGCCGATAGTCTATCAGTCACTTTGTGCCTCTCACGGACTGCCACACCTCACGGAGCCGACAAGATACGGCTACGATCACGGCAGTAATCGAAACGAACAGGCAGACGAGAAACAGGGCGTGAATATCGATGAAGCATTGCGGAAAAGGCGGATGATACGAGTGCACAGGGACAGGCAGGCGGCCAGGCTAGGTTGGCGGCGAGCGGCTATGGCTTGGGAAGCACAACTCGAGAGCTTTTTCTTGCGATCGCAGGTGTGCCCCCTGTTCAGCTCCTCGGCTTCATCATCAAGTGCCGTTCAACCTTCCTCGCCGTCGTCCCCATCATCCGCTGAAGAGCTCGAGGGATCAAATGCAGCACTGGTGGATGCGACTGCAATCTGCGTTTGAGTGGCAGCCGTAGTCGCAGAGGCTGTTGGAAAGACGGGGCTGTCATAAGCGGGCTCGTCATCGCTGTCACTAGCAGTGGCTGTGGCCTCCGAAGCGGCCGCGGTCGCACTCGTTGGATTCGCGGGGAACGTGACAGTAGCAGCGTTCGTTCCGTAGTTGGCAGGGTTGAGCGTGGCGTTAACAGCTGGCTCAGAGCTGGCCGGCGTCGCTGGATCTCCCACTGCAGTGGATGACAGCCTGATCGACGCAGTCTGAGTCGTGAGAGTGGTCTCACTGTTCGCAGTGGGCCGTATCGAGGTGTCTGTTACTTGAACACTGGTCGATGCGGCTCTGTCGAGCGAGCCAAACGTGGTCGAGATGACTTGCTGCGTGGCGATCGCCGAATAGGTGTGTGCCGTGCTCGTCGATTCACTCGCTGCCAGAGTCGAAGAGGCCGTTCGCGCAGTACTGACTGAGGCTCGACGAGTGGAAGAGACTGCTGCATTGGCAGTGGTCTGCGGCGTGACATTGGCAAGACTGGAGCTCGCCGAGTGTGTAGCCGACAAGTCTGCGGTCCCCGTGGCTCTTGGCGAAGAAGAGACGGATCGAGCACCCGACGACGGCCCGAGCACAGTGACAAAGACCGTCGAAGTTGAAGACGAAGTGACGACACCTGCAATGAGCGACGCAGAATTCGCGGCGGTGGCACTGGCGGCAGTCACCACCTCTGTCGTGTAGGCGACGGCAAACAGCGTCGATTGAGCGGTGTTAGCAGAGGTCACCAGGGTACCAGTCACGAGCGGCAATGTCGCTGTCGCGGCCGCCGTCGATGGAGAATCGTTCGTCTCCGCATCCGTCGTCCCAGCCAGCGTTGCCGCCGCATTGATGGCAGAGCTCGCAGGCGCACCAGCGGTTGTCGTTGCGAACGCCTGCGTTGCAAATACGCCTGTGCTAGCGTCGACGCCTGTAAACGTCGTCAACTGGTCCGAGACTGTGGCTGTAATCGCCGTAACGCTGCGCGTTGCCGTAGCCTCTACCGCGCTCATCTCGCTCAACAAGGAGCTGGTAAGAGCCTTCAAAACGCTGTTCGAGCTGGCGTACAGCTGGATGCTCTCCGCCAAGGACCTCGGGTCGCCCCAAGGGTCCACCGTGTCCGTCGGCGCGGGAGCCTCGTACTTCGCGTTGACGGACCCGGTAGCCCAAGCTGCTTCGAGCACCTGACCCAGTTCGTCGGTCTTGGTCTCAACCCATCCGGGAGGGCGTGCCTTGACCGAGTCGCTAAAGTTGCCGCCGGCTGGGATCGTCTCGAGGCCTTCGAGCAAGACCGCCGCCATCCCTTCAATGGCATGGTCGTCAATGTGGCAGTGAAGGATGTTGGCCGCGGCGTGGTCCGCGACGTATCGGATCACGACCCAAGAATTCGAGTCGATGTCGAAGCCGTCCCGCAGAGGCGGGTTCAGCAGGTTGAAGACGGTACCTTGCTGCTGCGCTTCCGCCACCGTGTCAGCAGGGAAAGGTCCAGCACCGCTACCGATGATCCAAAAGCGACGCGAGTGCATGTGGAAAGGATGTGGACTGTTTGGACCACCTACGATTGAGTAGATGTTGTTCTCCATGATAATGTCGACAACTGTGCCAAATGGGATGGTAGCGTAAGGAGTCATCTGGTTCGACGTGGCGTTGCCATCCGTTGCATTGAAGAGGATCGGCCGATCGTCTGCCAGGCGGGCAGTGTCGATTGGCATGGTCGCAACCTGCCAGACGTTGAGGCTGTTTTGCGAGGCGACCGCATGCAGCGTCATGTTGGAGGTGAGTGGAACCTGGCTGATGGGGTCGAAGGGAACGCTTGCGTTCTGCCTCCATTTAACCACCGACGTATCTGTGACGAATCCGCTCATCGGCAGGTGCGCTTTGCTCAATGTGCGCATGGCATATCCAAAGTCTTCCTCTTGCCCTGGAAACCACGAACCGTCAATATCGTCGATGTATGACAGGAAGGCATGCCCCTCGATGGGCTGCAGAGCACGCGCGCCCGTAAGACGGATCGGGAAGATGTTTCCCTCCAGACTCGAATTGAGCTCCACCATGAGGCTGATTCGACTGCCGATGGTGATCTGCGCCACATCGACTTGCATCGGCTGCACGTAGTGTCCATCGACAGCGACGAGCCATATTTTGTGGCCGTCGATGCTCACCTGCATATACCAATTGGTTGACGTGTCGACGACTTGCAGATTGAGCCATTTTCGGCCTTTGCTGATGGCTTTGGTGGCGCTGAAGACGGTCATAGGAGCGGTGGTGTTCTGACAAGGTCCACCATACCGGCTGTCAAGCGTGCCCTTGACCGTGTAGCCAGGTTTGGGCGGTACGAGCGAGATGCAGCCTTTGGAAGTGATGCCGTCCGGGTTGGTCGAGCTGAAGTTCTTGAGCAGGCTGGACTGGATGGGCGAGATGACCTTCGTCCAGTCGTTCAAGCAGTACTGCCTGCCTCGGCCGTTGATGTGCAGCGAATCAAAGCAAGCCGGCGGCACGCCGGTCTCGTGGACTACCAGCAACATCTCTGTGTGGTTGATGTGCCAGTGATCCGAGAGTGCCATGACCTGGAAGTCTTTCTCGGCGGCTTCCATCTGGTCGATGTCCTCCTGCTTTTGGCTGATCAAGCTCCACGGCTTCTTGCGATTGGGTTTGGGTCGGATGTAGATGGTACCTCGAAGTCCGTCTGCGTAGTACCCGCGCTCGTGGCTGTGGTACCAGTATCCGCCATACTGGTTGAGCAGCTTGAAGCGATAGGTGTAAGACTCGCCCGTGTAGATGTTCCATTGTGAGAGGCCAGGCACACCATCCATCTCGGGGCTGCCGATCTGGTGAATGCCGTGCCAATGAATCGCAAAAGGGACTGGTCCGTTGTTGGTAACCGTGATCTCGACGTCGTCGTTCTCGTCCCAGACAAAGGGATCGGCGGGGAACTTGCCATTCATGAGAAAGCCGAGCCTCTCGAAGCCGTCTGGACTGATGGTGTCTTGAGTTATGGTCATGTTGTATGCCTTGTCAGGGGTCGGCAAAACATCGGCATCACGACGGTAGAGATGGGTTGGATGGACAAACCCCGCGGCTACGGAGCCTGATGGGATCTGCTCGTGCCGCTTGCGAAGCAGCTCGCGATGGTCAACCTCGACTGCATTGGATTGTGACTGGCCGCGAACTCCGATTCGATGAGCGCGCGGATCCAAGTCAGAGATTGGCATGGCAACGGACAGGGATCCGACCAGGACAGTGAAGGAGATGATGATCAAACTGACAAATGGGACATATATAGGAGTACCTCGCTTCCTCCCCGCGCGCCTCTTCGAGACAGCGTGTCTGATCCACATCGTGCCGACAGGCTGGACGTGCCGGACGAATGGTGTCTAGAAGGGAGAGAGAAGTATCTGGAAGATCCCGGCTCGCTGCGAACGAGAGTGGGTAGCAGAAATGTGAAAGGTGTCTGGAGATTGATGATGACGGCGGCGAGGGGCTTGATACGGACTCCTGCGCGCTTTCTTATACGCTTCTGCCGTCTCACCACTGCAAAGCCTCTGGGCGAGGTGCAGACGGCTCTCCTCTTGGGCAGGAGTCTCGCGTCGGGCCAGCACATCACGAGAGCGAGACCGACTGGAAGATGGACGGTCGGCAAGTCCGATAGCGTACCGCAAGCTCGACGAAGAATGTGGAAAGATGGCTAAGTTCGGCCAACAATGGTTTCCATCGGATCTTCCGCAACCCGAGAATGGTCACACTCGATACGAGGAAGGAGGCTTGACAATGTGACCAACCAGCGACAAGATTCTCGAGGTGGCTGTGTGAAAGGAGGCGGTCGCAAAAGAACTCGTTGCCATGTTGACGGTCTCGTCCACTACAGTGTTCGGCTTGTCCGACAAGACTTGCTCGCGTGTGTTCGGGCAGTATGGCAGAGGGTAATTTGAACTTCGCTGCAGCGTGATGATCGGAAAGCTTCCGACTGGAGCGAGTCGATCGCTCGTGGGAACCCAACGATCACCTTTGCGGCTGCATTGTCCACGCTTCGGGAGTGCCGTTTGTTTGCCCTGTTCAGACCGGGCGTCAGATAGATGCAATGGGAGAGGGGACCTCCCGGACGAATCTCTAAAGGTTCGTATTATTGTGTCAAAAGAGCAGGACAAGTACCCAGAGTACAAAGATGTGAATGATGCGTGATGGAGCATTTTGTAAAGCGGGAAAGGAGGGAGGCACAGTGGCGGGATAAGGACAGGATGCGGAGCTGAGATATTCTCGAGCTCTGAGTGCGTTGCTTCTCCTCTATGTCAGATGCAGTCAGGTGAGGAAAAGATATTTACAAAATGTGCCTGAACGCTGAAGCGCTCGTGTCGGCGCTCTTCTGCTGCGTTGCTTCGACGTTCCTTAGTTGGCGTTGGCGGGAATGCGGCCGTATGTCCTGCGGTACATGTGGTCGACGTTCTCGAGGTAGTATGCATTGGGCCAAAGGTTCTCGAGCTGGCCGACGGGCTTGTGGTTGACGGCATTGTGCGTGGCCTCACGCGTCTTGAGTGCCTCGACGTAAGTCTCGCAGGGAACCACCTTCATGCTTGCGAGGCGGTTTTTGAGGTCGGCGGCCTTGACGAGCTGCTCGGTGGAGCCGTTGACGCGGATGACAAACATGGAGGCGGCAGCACCAGAGCCGAACGAGTAGAGGAGGATGCGCTTGCCCTGGATGTCTTGCGAGGAAATGTTGGAGAGCAACGAGACGAGACCACCGTAGAGCGAAGCGGTGTACATGTTACCGCATCGTCGCACGGTGTCCATACCGGGTTCGAGCTTGGACTGCTGCGTCTCCTTGCCAAAGGCGGCGAATGCCTTCTCGACGTCCTTGTTGGTGATGGTCGACTTGCGGTCGAGCTCGGCAAAGTTGGCAGGGATCGAGGCGTACTTTTCGTTCTTAGGGTCCGAGTAGAAGTCGTTGTACAACAGACGGCCGAAACCCTTCTGGACGAGCTTTGAGTAAGGGCTGTGGAAGAGTGTGTAGTCAAAGTCGTCCACCTTGATCGAGGCGAGGGCGGCGGCATCCGAGTGTCCGTTGGCGCCGTTGGCGGCTCCGCTCTTGAGCTTGGCAGCACGCTGGCGGTAGGCGTCGTAGGTCTTGTCGAGGCATCCGAGGTAAGCCTGGATGGTCTCGGGGCCGTCGACCTCGGGGTATTCGGAGGAGAGGTTGGGCTTGTAGAAGTCCCAGAAGTTGCTCATGTGAGTGCCGTGGGCGGGCTCAAAGACGAGAGGAGCGTCGGGACCGATGAGCATGGCAACGGCACCGGCACCACCGACAGGGCGTGCCGAGCCCTCGGCGTAGATGGCGATGTCACCAGCAACGACAATGGCATCGCGGCCGTCCCACGAGCTGCTCTCGACCCAGTTGATGGCGTTGAAGAGCGCGGCGGTGCCACCGTAGCACGCGTTCTTGCTGTCGATGCCCTCGATGTTGTTGTTTCCAGAGGGAGCAAAGAGATCCATGAGGACGGTCTTGACCGACTTGGACTTGTCGATGATGGTCTCGGTTCCGACATCAAGGCGACCGATGCTGCGAGGGTCGATGTTGTTCTTCTCGAGCAGGCCAGAGACGACTGCAATGTACCGTAGTGCAAATGGTTGGAGACAGAGAAGTCGGATCAGCCCGTGCCTGCGAGGAAGAATCGAGAAAGCGCATAAAACCTACCAGAAAGAGCGAACGAGTTGATGTCCTCTCGGTCGTCGGTGCAGGCCATGTACTTCTGACCGAAGCCGATGGTGTACTTGCCCTTGGCTACACCGTCAAAGTCCTCGAGCTCATCTTCCGAGATGCACTGTTGATCAGAGTTGATTAATCGAGGTCGAGAGGTAAGAAGAACGGATACGTGGTCAGCAATTCAGCAATAAGGTGTCAACGGAGATCGGATCCTCGCCAGGGGACAGCGTCGGCACCATGCCGGCGGGAGGCCTGCTCGGTATCGATAGCATACTCGACATCACCGTCCTTGCCGTTGCGGTGGCATCAAGCAGGAGCAGCTAGATGACTCTTGGAACACTTACCCTACGGGGAAAGTAGATCTCGATAGCCTTGATTCCGACGTTCTGAGGACGAGCCGACATGTTGAAATGTTTGATGGAAGGGGGATGGTAAAGGAGCGTGAAGCAGCAGCCTGTGCGAGCAGAGCGAGGAGAGGAGGAAGAGGGAAAGGATGCGGAGTGGTGGTCTGACGGATCGGTTACAGAGACTAAGTTACAGTCACGAGGCCAATGCTGTTCGCGTCTAATCAGCTTCGGATCAGTCGATCATCATCACTCATTCCAGGAAGCTCCCTCTTTTTTTCCGAAGTGGGCTTGCACAGGGGGGCCAAGATACGCACGCACGAATAAGAACAACAGCGACGAACCCTGCAGGCGCCCTTCCTCGAGCACTCGGCCCACAATTCGAACGAAAGCGCGCACGCACGCCCCGTTCGGTCGGTGCTCTGCTCTGCTCTAGTGTTCGCGCCGGAAGCAATGCTTCGAGATGCATGGCCGGCCGCTCGCAGACATCACGAAGAAGCGCACGCACGTCGTCGGTCCAAGGTTTAGGTCTGTCTGCTTTAAGAAGAAAACCCAAAATCCCTTGATGCAAATTCGCGATGCGGGTCCAAGCGAAGGAAAACGCGCCCTTTGTTTCTTTGGGCACGGTCGACACGCTGAGGCTGTTCTTGTGAAATCGTGCCACAATTTCGCGCTCTTGTTCGCCGTTGCCCCGCGTGTTCACATCGGGCGATATTGTTGTCTTCTGGATTTTGGTTGTTGGAAGAAAAAAAGTGGGCTCATTTTTGACCGTTTTTCGTCTTCAGCATCCGGGTTAGCCCGCCTGCGAAGACGCCGCTTTCATCGTGGGCGGTGCGCCCCGATTCGATCGAGATCTTCCGGCACGATGGGCCATCCTCTCTCTCTGGCAACGCCGGACGAGCTGTTCTCCAGTCACTTCTCTACTTCTTAGAACTCTGTATCACAGTGACGAGACGATTCGTTCTTTGGGAGGTAGACGACATTGGCATTGTGACTACGCGGGGACTTCGTGGTATCTCGTTCTTCCTGATAAGAAGCACAACTCGGAATGTGGGGGACTTGTGCACCTCGTCCAGGCTAGGCACCAGAAGCAGCGCCTTTCGCCTGAGCAGCAGTGTCGTCGGCATTTTGACCACCATCCTCATCGCCTGGCCAGTCCTCCTCCTTCAGAAACGCGCAGATGACGGTCCTTCCACCGAATTGACGACCAGCGATGGCCTTGAGCGCCTCTGCACAATGCTCCGTCTGTCCGTACCTCACATAGACTCTTCCGACACCTTCTCTCTCGGCCGCTGTTGCCTGGCCGTCACCGTCGGCGGTCGTCGATGCACCCTCGTCCTGACTGCGTTTCCACTGCTGAGCCGCGGCGCCCTTGCTCTCCTTTGCAGGCCGAGGGATTCGAACATCGGAAACGGCGCCGTACTTGTTGCACTCGTCACGGATGTCTTCGACAATGTCGGCGTACTCTTCGTCGTCTTGCAGCTCTTCCGGTGTGACCATGTTGAGCATGACCATGCACGACGTGGGTTCGCCGGCGTCTCCACCTTCGCCGGCAAACTTCTGCACCGAGCTCGGAACGGCTGCGCCGCCCAACGAGCCAGCATTGGCTCCCGTCGCAGCAATCGCCTGCGCCTTCTTCTCGCTACCCACGCTCGCACGTTGCACCACCAAGTTTCGATCGCCCAGCTCCATTCCGTTCAGACCCTGGCATGCTAGGTCGGTGAGGGCGGGATCGACGTACTCGCAGAAAGCGAACCCTTTCGATGCTCCCGTTCCAGTGTCCTTGACCAAGTTGAAGGCACGAAGCTCGCCAAAGGCTTGCAATAGCTCGATCACTTGATCGTCGGTAAGATAGGTCGGCAGACCGCCGACAAAGATCTTGTGCGGCGAGTCGGGTACGTTTGTGCTGATGACACCCGGCACGTGTATGTTGGAGGGAGGACGGATGTCGGGACCGGTGTAGTCCTTGGGACGTCGAATCTTGAGCGACTGCGCCTGGAATACGATGCCGTCGAACGACATGGCGTTGGTGGCCTCTTCGGGGTGGCGGAACTCGACAAAGGCATAGCCCTTGTCGACGTTTACCTGTGCCGATACGGCCGGCTCGCCCGCTTCGGTGCCGAGCTTGAGCTTGAGCATCTGCTCGTTGAAGAAAGCAACGATGTTCTGCTCGTTGGTCTGATGAGTGATGTTGCCGACGTACAAACGGCGCGCTTGGCGGTTGGCGTTCTGTGCGGCGAGCTCTGCTGGAGAAGGCCCTTGCTGTTGCGACGAAGGGTGAGAGCCAGTGTTGTCGGCACCGTATCCCCCGTGCGGCGAATACGGCTGTCCATGGCCATGCTGCGGCGGATACTGTTGCTGCTGATGCATTCCGGAAGGCGGGTAGGGCCCATTCCCTTGCTGGTGGTGATGATCGTGCTGCGACGGGTAAGGCTGTCTGGAATGAGGTCCACCACGGTGCGGATGGATGGGCTGCCCGCCCATGTGAATTGGTGGCAAGGGCAGACCGACGCCGGGGGGCACGCCGGGACCGTTCACACCCAGATTGACAGGTGGCATACCAACAAGTCTGGTCTGACCAGGGATGCCGAACAAGCCTGTCGCTTTGGCAGCGAGAGCACTGGTGCCTTCGAAGCCGGGTGCAGGTATGTCCCATTTGGAGTCAGGCCTGGCACGCTCGCTGATGGGAATGGTCCCTTCTGGCGTCGGGCTGCGACGCACCGATGGGCTGCTGTCACGTCCCTCTGCGCTCCTCCAGTCTCCTCCGCCACGACTGCGACCTCCTCGGTCGTAGTATGAATCCTCGTCGTCGTACCTCGAGCGCTCCCTACGACCAGAGTATCGGTCCTCGCCTCTGTCACGACGATCTCTTCTGTACGAATAGCCATTGTCCCTCCCATCCCTACTATCACGACTCGATCGGCCTCCCCCTCCGCTGTAGAAGTCGTCGTCTCTGTGTCTGCGACGGCGATGCTCATCCTCGTCCCTGTCGCGCCGGTCGCGGTCGTCACGCTGCGACTTGCGTGGGTACCGATCGTGATCGTCTCGATCGTCGGCATCTCTCCTCTTACGCGAGCTGGACGAAGCACTTCGATCTTCTTCGTATTCGTCCCTTCCGGATCGGCGCTCCTTTCTGTCGCGGTCTCGGTCCCTATCGCGGTCTCGGCCCGATGACGCGTTGGTATGGTCCCTGTTGGCACGGTTGCGAACCTCATCCTCGATGCCGGCCAGGAAGGCGTCGGCAGAGTCCGCCATGTTGCTATGGCGATTGGCGAAGCTTTGGTGGCGTGAGAAGAAGGTCAAAGCGTGTGGAGCCAAGAGGAGGAAGGAGAAGGCGAGTGTCGGTCGACCTTCCGAAAAGCAGAGTCGCAAATTCCGAAAGGTTTGCGGGAATGCTTCTGCCGCCTGCGGCTGCAAGTTGATTCTGACCGATTTCCGATTTCTGGAAAACTTCGCAAGTTAGGGTCCGCTCCGCACACTCCAGACCAAGCCAGAAGAAATGTCCACTTCCCTCAGCTGTTTCACACCATCTCCGTATCGACAGGTTGAGCTCGTCGCCCACAATGTCGGGCCCAGGAACACCATGGACGGAGCATCGGACTCCAGAAGGTCGTCCCTACTGGTATCACACCATCGAACGCCGATCGGTATGGGAGAAGCCATCGGAGCTCAAGACGCCTCGTGAACGGGCGCTTGAAGCAACGCCGTGGAAGGAGTACAAGTCCGGCGATCGGTCATACTACGTTCACAATGTGACGAAAGAGTCCACGTGGACACTGCCTGCTGAGCTCAAGCAGATCCTCGAGCAGTATCCTGTCGATGGCGACGCGGCGCCGTCGCCGAGTCTGGCAGTTGCATCTCCACATGTCGGCGGCGCAACGCAGTCGCCTGCCATGGCCAGGTCGCCAGCAGCTTCGCAAAGCCCTTACCCGATGAGTCAGGCATCACCGCGACATACTGCAGCGGCCTCGTCTGCACGAGGCCCGGATCTCAACTCCCCCAACCCACTCCAGCACCGTGGAGCTGATCAGGCTTCTGGCTCCAACACGCCGCTAAACCAACCCAGCAATGCTTCACGAGCTCCAACCTCTACCCACCAGTCCATGTCCGGATCAACCGAAATCAACTTCAAAGGGGACAAAGAAGCCGCCGAAGCCGCCTTCATCCAGCTCCTCCGCGAGACCGGCGTCGACGTCGATTGGACATGGGAAACCACCATGCGGACCATCATCACCAACCCGCTCTACAAAGCGCTCAAAACCATCGCCGAACGCAAAGCCGCTTTCAACAAACACATCGATGCGCTTCGCCAACAACGCGCTACAGAAGCAGCGGCCCGAATGGAGTCCCTCAGACCGGCGTTCAAGCAGCTCCTCACGAACGACTCGCGCATCAAGAGCTATTCGAGTTTTGCTACGGCGAAGAAGTTCCTCTCGACCACCGCCGTGTGGAAGCAGGCGCAGAGCGAGGAGGAGACACGTCAAGTGTTTGAGGCTGTGATGAAGAATTTGCAGCAGGCGGAGCGGGAGGAAGAGGCGAAACTCAAGAACAGGAACCGCGAGATGCTCATGGCACTACTCAAAACCTTCGAAGCAGACGTCTTCACCCGCTGGAGAGATGCGCACCGAACTGTCCTCGAATCGCAAGAGTACATCGACGATCCGCACTTGCCCTCAATGGATCTTAGCGAGATGCTGGTGGTTTTCGAAGAGCTTATCCGAGGGATCGAAAAGGACGCGGATGCATCTCGACGTCGTGATCTCGAGAAGAAAAGGAGGAAGGAACGTCAGAACAGGGACGAGTTCAAGCTGGTGTTGCGAAACTTGAAGGAGGAGGGCAAGATCGTTGCCAGATCTACGTGGGGCGAGGTATACCCATTGATCAAGGATGACAACGCCTTGCTTCGCGTGGTAGGGCAGAGCGGCTCGACACCGCTAGATTTGTTCTACGATCTGGTCGACGAACTGGACCAGGAGTTGGAGCGTCAAACTGCAGATGCCCTGCAGCACATTTCAAAACTGGGACATGAAGTCACTCCCACCACCACAGCGGAAGAGTTCCTCACATGGACCACCACCGTCGACGTCCCCCTCCCCACCCTCAAGCAGATCCACACCGAGCTCGTATCCTTCCTCGCAGCCGAAGAACAGCGCACCGCCACCGAAGCACGCAAGAAGCTAGAGCGAAAGTTCCGCCATCAGATCGAAGACCTCCGGTACGCTTTCAAAAAATGCGACCCGCCTCTCGACCTCGACGCCGACTGGCAAACCGTCACACAGAGGATGCACGACAAGGACGAGTGGAAGCAAGCTGAAAAGGAGGACGAAAGAGTCCCCCGCTGGGCCTGGGATAAATTCGTCCGAAGGCAGAAGGAGAAGGAGCTGGAAAGCGAAGGGAGGAAGAGAAAGGATCTTCCTGAAAGGACAAAGGCGGAGGATGCGAAGGAAGAAGCACCGATCAAAAGAGCTAGAAGAGACGACGACGAATCCGAACCCGAAGAAGGCGAAGTGTGAACGCCGTGAGCTCCAATTCCAAGTTGCACACAAGCCTTGTCATCCACACCACCCTTTCAATCCAAACGATCCTCTCCATACTCACTCACTCACACACATGTTTTGTCACACCACACCTCAATCTCCACTGACAAGTTTCGTGCAGGTAATACATGCCCACAAGGGCCGAGCGAATCTGTAACGTTTCCATCTCCTACAACTGCTATGCCATCGGAATGCCCGCAGGATTATTAGCCGAAAAGATGAAGAGGTTATTCGTCGCTGCGATGGCAATCGTGTTCTCCCTGGGGTGATAGCTGGCATGGAGGATCTTCTTGTTGAAATCCGGGTTGTCCAGATTGATCTGCCCCGGCGCACCCAACGTACCAGCACCCGCGCCTTTGTTGCCCTTCTTACCGGCGCCTGCCATCCTCTTGGCCTTGAACGCCGACTTGTCCGCCTGCAGCACAACGTCCGAGCTATCGTCCTTGTCGAAAATGTGGAAGTAGTTGTTGTAGCTTCCCGTCAACACTTTCTTGCCATCGGGACCCCAGAGCGCTTCGAACTTGTCAAAGATGCAGTCGTTCTCGTACAGATCGCACAGCTTGGATCGAAGGTGGTCGTGGATCGGGATGGTCTTCACCGGTTTGTTCTCCATGTTGACGTCCCAGATCTTCAATGTGAGGTAGTCGCGAGACAGGATGTACCGACCGTCTCGCGAAAACTTGACGTCGGATATGCTGCTGATGATCTCGCTGAAGAAGGACTTGGTCGAAGGATCCTCCTCTTCTTCAAACTGCTTGGCGTGCGCATCGCACAGCGCAGAGTCTCGCATATCGGCCAGCTTGATGGTACCCTTGGAGCTCGAGTAGACAAACTGGTTGCAGTGGATAGGGTGGAACTCAGCAGCAGTGATGACTTCGGTCAGCTCTTCCATGTTGACCGGTTTGATGTCGACAATGTTGAAGCTCTGATCGCTGATGTTGAGGTTCCAAAGGTTGATGCGAAGATCGTCGGCGCTGATGTACGTCTCGCCGTCCGAGTTGACCGAAATCGAGTTGATGTGGTAGGCGTGTGCATTGGCGTAGATCTTGCGTGGCACGGCTGCGATGATGGTGTCGACGGGTGTGAGACGCGGCAGTCTGAGACCCGCACCGCTTCCGGGCACTGGTGTGGGGACGGGAAGCAAGGATGGGTGCACGTCTGGGTCTCGTGTCTGGCCGTACCCCATGTCGTTGTGATTGTTTTCGGCTACCAATTTGAGTGTCTTCTCGAACACTTTCCAGAGCTTGATCGTCTTGTCTGTGGTGAGTGTAGTAAGCAATTTGTGATCATCAGAGGTAAAGCCGGAGGGTCAGTAGACTGCGCGGTCGGGATGACAGCAGGAGGATGAATACGCACCATTTGTACTGAGCAAAAAGTGAGCGGCGTTCTGTCTTCGGCACCACTTGATCTTGTTGATCTTTTCTTCGATTTCGAGAGACTTGAGGTAGTCGAACTCGGGCTCGTGCGACTGAAACTCGGTATGGAACTTGTACTCGCAGCCCTTTTTCTGTGAGGTGGCAAGCAGGCGGCAAACGGCGCGAAGGTCAGTATATTCGCATTTGGCAGCGCGCGAGTGCGGGATGATGACAAGAGAGTTACTCACAGAGTCATTGCGTTCGAAGAGGACGACACGACCCCCCTTATCACCAGTGGCAAGATAGTCACCGGTGTGATCGAACTCGACCGTTGAGATGATATCGGCTGTTCCCGAAACGTAAATTCGATCGAAAGAGCGCAAAGCAGAAGGAACAGTCAGCGGCATGTCCGAGTCGGATTAAGCGTCGGGAGATCCAAGCACGCCGGACAGCGTCGGCGGGGACTTGAGAAAGAGATACTGCTGTGATACGCATCGAAGCTTCATCGGAAGCTCCTACGACACCCGCAGCGGCAATCACCGTCGACGTGCTTGCAACCTCGACGAGAGCACAGTCGACCGTCGGGGAGGACAGGGCTCCGATGCGTCTCTAGATAAAGCCTTACCTTCGGTGATCTCTTCGACTTCGCCCTTGTCTCCAAAGCACTGGGCGAACCGCCACCCTCCGGATGGGTCTCCCTCCTTCTCCATAGTGTCGGTAGTGGAGTCTGATTAAAGCTGTGTAGCCGAGACGTCGATGCGAATGTCCTCAGGAAGGCGGAATCGGACAAAGTGTGAGAATGTACGCTTGCTGCGGTCGTGCGGGCCACACTAAGTGAGTTCGGAGAGCGGACAGATGAGATGCGGTCGAGGTATGCTGAAGTTGCCAAGCTGATTCAGTCTAGATCGCCAGAGCTCGGACGACGGTCGTACGCGAATTTGCTATCTGCTGGGTGTCGGAGACAAGGGCCACGAAAGCGCAATGCAGCAGAATTGAGCTGAGCAGGAAGGAGAGCGTGCAGCTCGAGTCGGTATCGGCTGGATGATCGTGCTGCGTGTGCTTTCCACTGCGTCGCGCGTTGTCGCGGATCGACACAAGGTAGGACGCGGTTCCGGTCTTGAGGTGCGGGTCCGGTCGGATTTCGGATGCCTTTGCTAGCCGGACGATCGAAAGCCGCGTCGAGCCTGGTCAGAGTCGTTATGCCAAGGTCGCTGAAGAAGCGTCAGACAATCGTGTCGTTGAGGCGGCTGTTGATGCAGACGTGGACGATGATCAACGATAAAGGCAAAAAAGGGCTTGTTGATGGCGATGAAGGATGTTTCAGCGCGAGTTGGTGGAGGGCGATTAATTGATTGGCTGGCTGCAGACGCTCTGGATTTTTGGCTCTGATCGAGGATTGCCAGCCAAATCGAGCCATAGCGTAGAGGCTCGTGCATCCTTTGGCGTCTGCGAATTGCGAAAAATAATATTGCGTCGAGACCCGCCAAGCTGCGTCTGTCTGTCCACGGCGAAAGTCGCCCTCCTCAGCTGGGTTTTTGAAAAAACCTGTTTTTTCTTGCCCTTGTTTCCGTTTCCTCCGCTTCGAAGTCGCCTTCTGCAGTCGCCATGATTCTTGTCCTCTCGCTAGCGAATTTCTGTTTGGAGCTCCGCGCTTGCAAATCAGTCAACGGCTGTGTGGTACACGGGCGACATCCGAGCAGCTTGAATATTTACGCCACAAGTCGTTGGGTGAGCTAGTCGCACCAAACTGTGGTCTAATCGTTCTCGCATGGACATGGAGAGTGGCAGTTGGACCGCGCAATCGCTTTCTCGCCAAGTATCAGGAATGCGGAGGGTTCGGCGCTTCAGATATGAGTCGAGTCTCATCACAGTGACTCGGGCGGCGCACGGACATGATGAGTTCTGGTTCACCTCGTACGACCGTTCCTTGACTTCGCATTGTCCTGCCCTGAGGCGTGCAGGGAAATACGATTTGAAGATGTGAATTATGGAGAGGCTAAAGTAGGGAGCTGAATTCAGGTTAAAAAAGAGGACGAGAAAAGAATAAATTCAAGCAGCCAATTCTTCCCGCTTTGTCTCGCGACAGTCTCACTGTGGCCAAGCGCACGAGCCAACTCGCCGTGAGATTCCTATCGGGACGGATCGGGCTACCGATATACGCGATGACAATGGCTACGAAGAGCTTTGGATTGAAGCGATTGCTATAGGAAGGTACGATTACGCCAACGACATGGCACCGGCCATCAAGGCGGGACCAAGTGCAAGAGCAAGCATCGGGATTGACACCATCATCGCAACGCCGCTGTTGGAGTTTGCCGTCGTAGCAGCGGCACTCGAAGCACCTGACGTTGCCGACCGTGTCGACGAGGACGTAGAGGAGGCCGTCCTTGAGCCCGTCGTCGAGCTCGCACTTGCGCCTGTACTAGTAGCAGTGCTCGCAGCCGTCAGAGCATCGGTGCAAGTGATGTTGCTGCCCACACTGCTATCGTCCGTGAAAACGACATCCGAACATTGGTACAAGTGTCCATGCACATTGTTGATGTATTCGACCATGATGGTCGCAAACTGCCCGTCCTCCGCAACGATGCCCGGTACACCCGCCGAGGCATTTGCGTGGAAACAGAATTCACCTTGGCCTGTGATGGCAATGTCGTGCCTCAGTGGAGGGATGGCGGCGCCCTGAGTGGTCGTCAGGAAGGATTGGGCGGAGGTGGGTACATCGTACGAGATGTAAATATTGACCGTGGCAGAATCGTGGTGCGAGTCGATCTCGACGGGGCCATTCTTGTAGTACCAAGGCTGTCGCGGCGTCAGAGGGTTGGGGAAGCCGCCGCAGAAGTTTTGCGATTCCAGATCTTCGTCGAACCCTCGAGTGAGCGGGTAGTCGAGGGTGAAGTGGGAGAGCGCGGAGGAGGTGAACGCGAACAGAAGCGTCAGTGTCGAGGTCGTTGAGAACTTCATGATGGATCAATGAGAGTGCTCCTTCTCTGCGTAGCAAGGAAGAAAGGAGAAAGGACGTCCTGGAACGATGTTCCTTCGGGAGGTATGCTCAGAGGTGGGAAGTGCGGATCTGGAAGCAAGAGTCTCGGTCCATCGGATCGACATCTTATAGGGAACTAACTACAGTATTCAATCGTGACTCGGGAGTGTAGAGTCCACGCTCGCGCACATGAGAGTCTCGTGTCCTTCTCACCAGGACCAGGGGTCAGTGCCCCTCGTCGAGCAAGTGAAACGAGGGCTACCGCTGTGTTGGACCTGCGGGAAGAGCCAAGTGCCGAACGAATCGAAAGGAAAGGCTCCGAGCCACCCGTACCTCCAGAGGAGCCCACATCAAGGTGAAAGAGACACAGCTTGGACAAAAGCACACATCTTCTGCAAAGGAGCCGCAAGACGCAAATTGCATGTCCGCTCTGATTCTAGACGCTCCAAACCAGCGTGCAGTACTGAAACTGGGAAAAAGGCTCCGACCGTACAGCCATGCACAAATTGCACACAGCCCTGGCAGGGTTGCCACCGTTAAGCGCATTTCAGCAACTTGTAGTGGAACAGATTGACATTCATGCTTGATGACACAGCTGATGACTCGAGCACGTGGTGTTCAGAACTCGATAAGGGAGGGCGCGGGGGAGCGAGATTGCTGATTTCCTGGGATGGATGATCGTCGAGCATCAGGAAAAGAAAGCTTGGCTCGCTAGCACGTGGGGGAGGGACCCTTCTCCGAGGGTCACCAGTTCGCCCTCCTAGCTGTCCCGAGAACCGTTTTTCAAATATGTTACATCGCAATAGTTTTTCGCATTCCGAATTGTGTGCGGGCAACAAGTTGTGGAGGCTTCTGCGCAAAGCACGCTGATGTCATGTGCAGTGCGATCAGTGTGGCTCAACAGCCTCGACGCCAAGGCGTTTCGAAAAGCCAGCGACCCTGAGCGAGCAAGACACGACAACGCCGGATTAGTAATGACCGAAGGTCCGGCCTCGAAGCGGTCGACCAACAGGCCTCGCTCGGAACGTGTTGTGTCCGTTCGCAGGAATGGAAATGTGTTGGATCGACTACTAGAACCGCTTTCAGCCGACGCTACGGTGTACGTTGCAGTCATGGGTCCGCTCCTTCCTCTGTCCACAACCACCACCATCCATCAACTCTTTCGAACACCCGATTCTTATACACGATGTCGCTCTTCCGAACTGCTCTCCCTTCTCTCCGCTCCGGAGCAAGCGCCTCATTGGCTGGTCGTCGAACGTTCACCACCGCCTTTGTAAGTTCCCGAAATGATGGTGCTTTGACCTCTCGCCCGGTCACAAGCTGACTCTTTCCTATTCGATCTCGCCCGTTTTCCAGGTTGCTCGCACGGACGATCCACGCGTGCTCAACAAGGACACCCACTCCGGTGCCTCCGTCAAGGCCGACAAGCACTCGAAGGACCCCAAGACGTTGCAGAAGGAACACGCCAACTCGGTCAACAACCAGTCCGGTTCCGGCAAAGTCACCGCTAGCCCCAACGATGTTCCCACCGACTCCGAGGACAGCGTCCACGGTGAAAAGCACTCCAAATCGCCCGAGCAGTTGCAAAAGGAACACACCGGTAACTAGACACCGCCAGCAGCAAAGTGTCTTCCTCTTCGAGTAAAGGCTCTCCCGATATCAATTCAAATCACAGATGTCGTAGCATTATCGCAATTCCGTAACCCACAAAGTTGACCTCAGCATTGCTTTTTCAGGACCGGAGAAGGTCAAGAGAGACACACGCAGACAAGGAAGATCACGCAAAGAGGCAGATTCAGTAGACAGTCGTGCATGCACAGCACGAATTCTGGAATTTTACCCTTGTCAAGAGTGGCAGATCACCAACTGCCAACCGCCACGCCGACGCCGATGCTTCCCTACCGATTCAACCGAGTCGAATTGGAGAGCAAGACGTTAAAGTCGTACTCCAAGTCGGCAAAGGGTGTTAGTGGCTGCGATGTCGCTCTGACATCGTCCAACGCCGCTGTTGCTCCTGTTGTCGCCGTCCCAAACACCGAGATGCTGTTTGCAGGCGGCAGAGAGAGTTGATACGTCTGCGGCGCTGCGGTGTCCTTCGACACCGCTACGTCGGTATGCGGCGGTCTTGTATTTGCTGTTCCCGAGGGCAGCCCCGAGAATGCTTGCGATACACCCGGCTGTTGATGCCGCGAAGCGTACAAGAGTGCATGCTGAACGTGAGCTTGAGAGGCTGAGGGCGACGGCTGTTGGTTCATACCGCCCATCATGACGGAGGGACGTGGCGCGTCCTGCTGAAGCAGGGGTGTAACTCGTTGCTGCGCGTCTGCATGCCACTCGCCCAGAGGGCTGGCTGACGACATTGGCACCGGCGAAGCAGAAGCGAGGCCGGAAGCGTACATCGGTCTGTGCGGGCTAGCTGCTTGCAGAGCTACCGATTCGTATCCGAGTACGGACGGTCGACGCATCTGCGGGTTCGTCGGATGAGCCGATGGCGTGGGAGCGCTGGAAGCGGGACTGTGCTGCACCATTGGATACGGAGAATTGTGCGAAAAAGACAGACCTCCGGATGGCCCGCTCGACGGCGTGAGCGGCGAACCAAGACCTTGCGATGCGACGACGCCGGGATGCGAGAGCCGTCGCATCGAGTACGCCTGTTGCGCCAGCACTTTCTGATTCACGTGGCCCGGTCCTGGTCCTGGTCCTGTCGCCATCCTGCCGCCGTCGGCGTCTGCCATGGGCGAGTCCTTGCGCTTCTCTCCTGCATGAGCCTGGTGAGAGGTCGACGCCGCCGAAGATGATGCTGAATCCTGATATAACCGCGCCACCAGCGATTGACCCTGCGTCTGCAGTGTTGCGAGCGAGCTAGGCACAAGCGGTTTCGGAGGCTGCAGGCCGTGCAGTTGCGCCAGTCGCACTTGGGCGTCGTTCTGTGCCGTCTGCAGGCGCATGACACGCTTGGCCAGCGCTTGCTTTTCCGCCGCAGTCAACTGGTCGATCTCCTTGCCACCGAGGCTCATCATGTCCATGCATTGCTGTATCACGACACGGCTAGCAAGGCGGGGCAGTCCTAGCTGTTGGCTTGCCTCCAGATCGAGCTGCGGCAGATGTGATACGGATGCCCTCCTTTGTTGCTGCTGCTGCTGTGGCTGCTGAAAATTCTTCACGTCCGGCCCAGATGATCGAGATGACGAGCCCTCTTGTAACATCAATGGTGCGTGCAAAAGGCCATATGACTTGTATGAGGAGCCTGAACCAGTCTGCCACGCGATAGAAGGAGCCTGTGATGTTGTCATGGTAAGCCCTCGACGGTGAGCCTGGGCAGTGGCGAAAGCAGGCTCTGCTCTGTGAACTCCGAGCTGCGAATGCTGACCGTTCGAGGTGATGTTGACCAATCCGGGCGGCCGATAGGCTGCGTACGTCTCAGCATTTACCGAGATGCTTCCGGGTGCAGCTGTGTCACGCTGATGCGACCTGGACGCGAAGATGTCCCAGAAGAGCACCCACCACTCAAACAGAAGGCTTTGAGGAGCATCGATGGGCACTTTGTGTTGCGGATCTAGCCCTGCTTCGTGCCTCAAAGCCTGTGCGGCCTGGTCAAAGCCTCGCTTACGCAGGTAGTCGCATACATAGATGTGGAGCATCTGGTCGCCGTCCCAACGAATCGTCGGTGCTCCAGCCCTGGACTGAGAGGCGTTGTTGCCGCCTTGCGGTTGACCCGAGAGATCCATCGTGTGAGCTTCTTTCTGCGGAGAAGCCGGTAGCCCTCCTCCTGTCAACGCGCAGTTCAACTGCCACCGCTCAAGCCAGGGGGAAGATCGAGAGAGATGCGACAAACATGCGGATACGACAGCGATATTATGCCTTTAAGTTCTTTCGTATGTCGAGCCAGGACTGTATGGCAATGATATGTGTGTGCTGCCTCGTCGACTGTTGAGAGAGAGGCCTGGAAGCGATCGGCTTGAATGCCAAGATGGGGCTGCGAACGGTGTCGTACGACCGCAAGATCAAGGTAGGGCAGGGGCTCGAACTTTCTGTCACGTCGACGAGCGATAGCCGTGCCGAGCTTCTTCTCTGTTCGACACCGGCGAGGTCGATGCACTTGCGCTACCGTGCTGCGGCCAGAGACAAGGTCTTTTTTTGATCTGGGATCGCTTCCAATGGACCGGCGCTGGTGACTCGGAGGCCAATCTTCAGCTTGAGGCGCTACGGAATCCAGCAAGCGCTGGCATGGCCGCTCTTGAATCTGGCGGAAGGGGATGGTGTGCGTGAAGCGAGGTGACCGAATCGCTCACCACTCGAGCAAAGAACCTGTTTGTGATGCGTAGCGCAGTCGAAATGCTGACAAGACAGAATCTCCGGCAGCTAGGGTCGAAAGAAGCAGGGCGAGGCTGCAGACTCATGCAGAGTGAGAGACACTCATCCGACGCACATACAGATGAAGCCGCAAAGCACAAATGAGGAGTATTGGGACAGGGTATGGTTGTTGTGCTGCACATCGCTGCGAATGGACGCAGCTGCGCAGGCAGAAGCTGCTCGTGACTGCATCCACGAAGAAGAAGAGTTTGAACGACGAACAGGGTTCAGCGCCGGCAGCCAGGCAGACGCACCTGTACCGAACACACGGCGCCACAGAGTGTGACTATGCGGCTGATTCGGTCTCGACTCGAGCCACTTTGGAATGCACTCACGCGTGCACTCGCGGATACGCATGAGCACGGCTTTCGGCACGCAAGCCCACGTTGGCTCTGTATCGAGCGTCTGCTCAGATGGCTACACTGAGTTGCTGACCTTGTCAGGCCAACTTTTGCTGTAGCGCGCAATGCGTGGCGTAGTGGCTGACATGGCGACGTGAAGGGTGTGGAATTCCAAACTCAGAAGCGCAAAGCGTGCCGCGACTAGTTGGTTCAAGATAAACTCTGTCTGTAATTGGTCCGAATGAAACAAACTCAGACACAGACGCTTGAGTTCGCTTTTCTTGGTAGTCGATCTTGGCCGAAGTAAAAGTGGCATATGAAGGGGATCAGGCGCGCCGTCTGGCGAAGGTGCAGCTATCTGCCAGGCCTGACGACTCCAAGAGTAGAGCAGACGACCAAGACGACCTGGTCAGCATACCGCAGCAGCAACGGATTCCTAATCGAGCCATCCCGTCCCTTCGCTGATGAAGTGCCTTCAGTTGATCTGTCGGTTGGTCCGGTGGGTCGTGTCAATTGTTCTGTCGGGCCGACCGACCAATGTGGCGCTTCCAGTGGGCCAATCACATCATTTCCCACTCGCGTCTTCTTTCCTTCCTCAGCTATCCGGCCCCATCCTTCCATGCTTGATGACAGCAGTGCCCCCATAGGTTCGGTTTCGAGCCATTAATGCCATTCGGCACAGCAAGGCAATGAGAAGCAGAGAGATAGACCGAGACAGGGCCGACACAAAGGGAAGGGAGGGCGGATAAAAGCGTCCGAAATGCGAAATCGCCTGCATGCGCACATTCTTAGCCGAGGCTGTCTCCAGAGGCACACACATTTTAGCGCACTTTTCCAGGAACAGCAAAGCGCACTGTATCCAGACTCGAGGTCTGGACCCTGTCGCTGCCATGCGTTTACCTCATGCCTTGGACCCTCTCTCTCTGATTCTCAGACGATCCACACGACTCGTCCATGCTGTACAGCATAGCTGAAAAGACAAGGCGTATAGCGAAGGCGCGGGGAACAGTGTTTGCGTGCGACTCTCTCACCATCCTCTCGTATGCGGTCCAGTAAGACATCTAGATTTAGCCTTTCAATTCAGCTAGTCACAGCTGCGTCGCCTGGACGGGAACAACTTTTACTGCATCTCCAACAAACGATCGATCGCCGTCTCGACGTTGCCCTCGCATCCTTGCAGCACCATGTGGATCACACCGTCGTCCATGGTCGGGAAGATCGACTTGAGCGTCTCTACGCTCGCCGAGTTCTGCGCTGCTTGGTCCGCTTGTACTGCACCCAAACGCTCTTGGTCGATCAACGATCGTTGAATCGCTTGCTCTGTCTGCGCGTGTTCGTAGGCGATCTCGTCTCGACGATTGGTTCTCAATCGACCTTGCGGGTCCGTCGCTTCCGGTCCTCGCCTCGATGGCGTACTGCCCACATCATGGCCGCTGGCGGCGTCGAAGCCACGTCCAAAGTCGTGCTGCATTTGCATGCGTCGGCGCAACTGTTCGGCCGCTGCCGCGTTCGGGGTCGATCGCGATGCATCCAGATCGTCGTCATCTTGATCATCCTCATCGTCGTAGTAGTCTGCATCGCGCTGGCCACGACCACCGCTGGCCGTCGTCGCCATCAGGTTACGCCTGCCTGCCGACTCGTCGTCGAACATTGTGTCGTCGATCGAGTAGTTTCTCTGAGGCATGTTGGGACGCAGCAGTCGAGGTGGAGCAATCTGTGCACCCGGATACGGTTGGAAGCCATCCTGGGTAAGCTCACCCGTCGACGGTGTCTGGGGCTCGTCGTCCATCAGCGCTAACGATCTACGTCCCCCTCCCTGGCCCGGATATCCTGCTCCGCGTGCCTGCGTCCCACTGTCCGAGGTGTTGAGCGATCCGAAGAGACCACCAAACAGCTTCGATCCGGACGTTGACGCCGGCAATGCGGTTGAAGAGGAGGCGCCAGCCGATGGAGCCGGTGAATTCTGCCTCTCCGTCGAAGCGCCACTGTCGTTCTGACTCGGTGTGCGAATGCCTTCGATCCCCTCATTGAACAGCCTGCCAAGCGCACCCATGGGTCGGCTGAGGCCTGTTCGAGCCGCCTCCCCTGTCCGCAGGAAGAAGGCACGCGTATCGTCCGCAAGCGTGGCTGCCATGGGCGTGAAGGGGAGCGCCTTTGCAGCCTCCTCGCCCGGCCCGGAGGGTGCCGACACGCTAGTGGCGCTGACGCTGCGTTGATGCTGTTGACTACCAAAGGCAGGCTGACCACCTCGTGGTGGAGGTGTAGTCGGTGGAGCCAGCAGGCTTGCTTCCGATGCGCCAGACGCTGCTCCTGACGCAGTCGAAGCTTCGGGCTCCGGAAGCGACGAGACGGCTTCTTCCACGCGCTTCTCGAACTCCTCCTGCGTGATGTTGCTCAGCGAAGTGTAGTCCATCGTCTCGATGAAGGCGATGGCGCCCATCAAGCTGGACAGGTAGTAACCCGACTCGCTCGAAAGACGATCCGGATTGCGGAAGCGGCTGATGTACTCGACGTTCGAGATGAGGTGCTCCGGGTTCGCCTTGAGCACGACAAAGATGAGGACGGGGATGAATGTGTCTGCATTCTCCTGCGACGATAGATGCCGGATCATGCCAAAGATGACTTTGCAGCAATTGAGGATGCAGATCAGCTTGTCTCGAGGTGCCTTGTAGTGGTTGATCTTGAGTAGCTCCTGAATGGAGAATTCGATAAAGCCGCGAGAATGGTCGCCCACCGGAACGTCGAGGTGCTCCTCGCTGAGCCATCCGAACAGACCGATGCGCTGCCTCAATACCCGGTCGCGTTCGAGATCGTCGGTCTGCACGGCCCAGCGGCCCTCTTTGTGGACAGCAGGCGTGAAAGTGTATGGGTAGAGTCGGTTCATGACGAGCTTCTCCATGGCCTCTTTTGCGTTTTCAAAGTCGGTGTCGCCGAGGTTCTTCCATACATCGCACTCCCTCATACGTGCAGCGATGAAGTCGAGGAAGTCGAAGATGAGCTTGATCTGGTCCTGGGTGCGGTACGGTTTCTTGGAGAAGCCCTTGATGAAACTGCGCACGTACTCGCCCACGGGCTGCGCGCTTCGGTGCTTCATCTGCTCCAGGAAGCGGTTGAAGTCGAAGGGGACTTCTTCGCTCGCCTGCGTCGTCGGAGGTGGTCCCTTTCCAATGCGGATGCCGCCTCGAGGAGCACCTTTGTCGGTGCTTGCATCTGCGACCCTTTCGCTCTCCGCTACGCCTTCCGCAGTTTCTTGCGCTTGGTTCGCCTCTTTTGTAGGCGCTCTTGTTGCGGCTTCCCTTGCTCTCTGGTCATCATCCAACTCCATCTTTGCCTTACCAGTATCATTGTTGGTGCGGTCCACAGGAGTAGAAATGCGTTGTGGCGTGTCCAAGGGCGAGCGGATCGCGGGAGAGTCTCGACCAAAGGCGTGAGCAACGGCGGCTACGCTGTCAGCATCGGCCAGCGCTTCCCGGCTAGGTTTCGCAGGTTGGGGAGTAGCTGGCGTAGTTGACGTGTCTACCTCGGCGGTGCTGGGCCTTGTGTCGTTCGCTGTTGTCTTCTCCGGTAGTTGCGGAGCGTCCTTGCTCGGGAGAGTTGGCGGTGACACACTTTCTCGCCCTTGCGAGGTGGCAGAAGCTTCGTTTGCGCTGCCGCCGGATCCAGCAGTCGCGGTGTTCATCTGATCAGATGCGAGCACGGGCTCCTCTACAGCGACTGGTTGTGGCGGACGCGAGCTGTCGTGGCTCTTCTTGTCCACAGGGGCCGATGCCGGGGCGGCAGATGGTGAATTGTCTTTTGTAGCTTCTGAGTCTTCGGCAGCACCGAGTGAGTCCTGAGCAGGTTCCGCCTCTCCATCTGGCTTGCTTGCACTGACGGCTTCGTCAGCAGCTATCGCGGTAGCTTTTGTGTGTGTTTGCGGCACGTTGGTCCCGGACTGCCTCTCCTTCGCCTCTGCATCAGCTGCATCTTTGCTGGGGCTGTCGGTCTTTCCGACATGCGCTGACGTGGCGTGCAATGCCAGCCGATCGACATCGTCGGCGAGTGCCTCTGTTGTGGTCTCTGTCACCTCTTCGGTTTGCCCCGACTCTTCCATCTGCTTAGGTGCTGATGCTTCTTCTGCCGTTGTGTTGTCGTCTTCGGTGCTGGAGGAGAGCGATTCCGTCTTGCTTTCGACGGGGTCCTCTGTGGTGGGCACGTTAGAATCCACACTAGACGAAGCCATCTTTGCTGATAGGTGTCGAAACGAGACAGCGACCGAGCGAGTGCGATGGCCTTGAACACGATCGATATGGTGGAGAGCGTGAAGGCACGCGAGAGCAACACCTTTCCAAAAAGCGACCGAAAAGTGTTGGTTTGTGCGTGTGTATGTGCGTTTCGGAAAATGCACCATGCACGCGCTGCGTTCGGTCCGGCCACCAACAAAAAGGGTTCGCTTGTCGAGTTCGCGAGTTTGACCTTGCTACGAATACGCAACTTGCCTCCTGCCCGTTCTGACGGCTGATAGGCGTGGCTCTCGCTGTGGTCTCAAGCATCTTCGTTCGGGCGCCTCGGCTTGCCGGCTGCTGTGGAATCGATGACTGTCAAGATCGCGCCTTCAACAAAGAAGTCAAGAACGACTCATTCCGACATTCTCAAACGCAGCCGATGTAGTGTTGCGGGCGAAGTCGATTCACATAGCTTCGCCCACAGCTTCACTCTGTGCCAAGACGTACACCACTCGCAGCACTCAGTGCAGCTCAACGCACGCCTCTAGTGCAGGCGCAAGAGACGAAGAAGTCATCAATGCCATTCGTAGGCAAGTGGTGGCATCAATGGTAGTGCACATCTGATCTAAACACAACAGGCACCCGAGCCGTAACCGTGATCGGGAAGCGTTACCACACGACGCTTGAGGTGGTCGCCATCGTCGGACCCGCTCGATACGCTTGCTGAGTCCTTATTGGCATCAGGCTGGCAACAGGGCGAAACCGTGACGGCGCTTGGATCTGCAATGGTTCCAGCATCCGGTGCATACCCGGCGCCGAGCGGGTCCACGTCGACAAGGTGCGTTGATCCGAGCGTATCCCAGGTGGAGAAAAAGTGGCCGAAGATGCCACCCAGAACGATGGCAATGATGATGTAGCCGTTGAAGGTCATGGCAATCAACATGACCAGATACTGTCGCGGCGGTGCAAAGAGAAGCGAGCGAGGCAAGGAGCGAAAAGTCAGCATGGTTGATCGCGATACGAGCTAACGCGGGGGCTTCCGAATACTTACAGCGCCGGTGAACTGCACGCCGTACAAGAGCGAACGTAGGAGCTGCTGCCACATCTTGGGTCGAAAACGCATCGAGTCGAGTGCGGCCTGTCGACATCCAGACTTGCTCGGGGAGATTCCAAAGAAGATCGAGTCGAGTTGGTCCATCTTTTGACTCAATGTCGAGCGATCCTGCGATGGCGCTGACTCGGCCAGCCGAGAGGCCATCTCTGCCTTAAGGTGCTGGGTGCGACGCCTCGTCTCCCGACGCTCGACCATGGCGCGTTCGAGGATCCATCGGTCGAATTCGCGGCTCCATCTTCGCACAGTCTCGATGAGGAAGACGATCAAAAACACACCGATGCAGGTGCCGGCGAACTGCGCTTCGGTCCTGATGTGCCATGAAGAGGTGAGCACACAAGTGTTGATGGTCTGCCAATTACCAAGCATGCTCATCGAGCAGGCGCTAGAAGAATCGCCCATGTCCATTCCGGACATGCCGTGCATGCCAGAGTGCGAAGTCATGATGATGTATGTGAGCGACCGTGTCGAGCTGAATGGGTACTTGGTGGGTGTTCAGCGCAGTGCAGAGTAGAGACTAGCTGGATGAAGAGATGGAAGCCCAGATCGACTACCGGCAAAGGTCGGCGATGGTGAGTGAGAATGATCGCGAGTCTCTTGTTTTAAGCAGAAGGCAGTGCAGTTGTATCGGCCTTCGCTGAGTCCTGAGCTGGATACGGACGCTTTCCAGAAGATGGAAGCGAGCAATGCGCAGGCTGAATAGCGTGAGAAGCGGTCAGTGCCGTCTGAGATGAGGCGAGACGAAAGGTGTGTGCGAAAAGGCGCCGTTGGCTTTGTATGTAGTGGCCGCTGAAGAACAACGGCGAGAAGCGGGTATGTGGATGGTGGGGATCAGATAGGAAACCCAGATCAGCCGGACACTTCTCGAACCGACCTCTTCCAACGAATGGCTCGTCAGACATCTCTCTGAGGCTCGAGGTGAAGCCCACAGCACCGGCCTGGAAGGCACCGAAAGCTCTCGGAGCCTTTTTCTTACGGCAGAATCCAGCGTGCTCTTAACGAGCGTCGGAGCCTTCTTTCCGAGTTGCACTGCGCAGCCAGCTTGCGTGCTCTGCTGCCTTGGAATTCCACGTGAGACTCTCCCGCAAAACTCTCCGAGCTTTTTCTCGCTGCGCTGCCTCTTGGCAAAGCACTCGTAACCAGCATGGGGGATTTTCACCAACACAGGGGCACACACACCAAGCTCTCGGAGCACTCCGTCTGAATCTCGCCCTGCTTCTCTTGACCTAGCTTCGACTACTACGTCGAGTGGAGCTTCATGTGAATATGTGATCACCACACCGTCTTCGCAGTCATGGTCGTGTGGCTGCAGAAAATGCTTCGTTTCATCTTATCGTACACCCTTTCGTCTGCTATGGAAGTCAATCGCCGCTCTTTCTGTTGCACGGGAGACGGATCTTGCTCTCTTGCTCATCTTGAGCTTTCGGCGTCAGTCGCGCAGGTCGACATTTTGCGAGGCGGGCGAGAGATGCCGGCGAGATGGCTACTTGTGCAAGGGCATCTCGATGGAGCCCATGGACTGTTTTACGTCATGCAGACAAGGTGCGGCAGTGTGTGGTCTAGGTTGTAGTTGGGTCTGATCAAACGAAGCTGATGGACGATGTCCGGGCGCGATTGGCTGAGAGTGCGACTGGTACTGGCTTTCGTGCTGCCACCCTCCGAGGCTTCGAGCGCGAGCCTGGTTTTGGTAGAGCGGCTGATGCGGCTCGTGATGTTGGTGTTCGTAGCTAGCTTGCAGGTGACAAACCGACTCGCCGATGGCGCGCGCGCGCTCTTGGCCAGGTGAGACCCTGGAGTCGGCTGATGGAGGCGGTGTAGGCGGCACGGAGCAGTCTTCTTCGCCGCCGGACACTAGCTTCGCCTTTTTCGCACCTTGCGGGCTTGTCTTCTTGCGCGGAGGACTCGGTCTCTTGGTGCTCTTGGTGGATGACGTGGTCGTCGTGGCCGTAGTCGATGCGGTGGGCACTGGTGCGTCGCTCTTTGGCTTCGGAGGCGTCAGCCTCTTTGGCTTGGTGACGATCTCCTGCAACGACTCTATGCCACCTCGCAGCTCGGCCTGCATTGCCTCCAGCGTGGACTGGAAGTTTTTCTGCGACGCTGCTGAAGATTCTTCCAGCGACTTGATGCGGCCAAAGATAAGCTTGCGGTCCTCGGCGGCGCGCACCACCTTTTGCGCGATTTGCACTTGCAGCGGCAGGATCTGCTCGATCTGCGAGACGATCCTTCTCTGCTCTTCGAACGAAGTTTTGAGCCGAGTCGAGACGTCGTTCAGGTCGTCCTGGATCCGAGCCATTCTATTCTCCGACACGAGCCAGAAGCAATGGATACTCTCCTGAATGTCCTTGATCCTGCCTGACTCCTCGTTCCGATCCCCAAGTTCTCCTCCCGAGGTGCCAGGCCTTGGAGTAAAAGGGGCGTTGGTGTCGGCGGGATGCATTTCGACCGACGGTCTTACGCAGCTTGATTGAGGCAAAGAAGGAGAGGGAAATGGTTGTTGAAAGAGACGACCAGCTTCGGCATTGCGCAGCGGCGCGAAAGAGGTGCTCGGAAAGACTTCCAGTGGACTCCAGTCGATCGATGTCTGCGAAAACGAGGTTTGCGACGACGGAATGTAGTTGGAGGGTCGAGCATTGGCTTGGTTTGGCTCGCATCCATTCGTGGTGACGCTCGCTTCGGGTGCTCGAAACGCAGACTGCACGTTCGATTGACTGAACGGTTCAATACCGGCAAGCAGTGAAGGGAACAAGGTGTCGGCCTTCGTGTCTTCCTGCTTGATTTGCTGCCAATAGTCAAGTTGCTCGGATGGCAAATCGACCCTACGTTGCGACACGATCTGGAAGCCATCCCGGTGCGACGCGTCGCGTTCGACGGGAGCATGCTGGCTGTTCGGGTCCAGGATCCCAGCTTTCGACATGATGCTACGACGTTTCGGTTCCATAGATCGCCTGTCCTTAAAGGGTTGGAGATCGCGGAGCTGGGAAGGGATGCGATATGGCTGTGACGGCACCATGCGTTGTTCGTTGGTGCTATAAGTACGACGTGAAGGCTCACGATGCGCAGCATCTCGAGCATGGTTGGCCTTCGATGCTTCTGGACGGAGCGACATCCGACAGTGCAGCATCTTGCTTCAAGCTGCGGGGGTTGAGGGGTCTCTAGACTCCGCGACTCTGCGTTGAGGGGAAGGTGCGTCGGGGCGAGTCGAGTCGTTTCGAGGCTGAGTCGTCGCGTCAAAGACGTGAACTTGTCGTTGTTGCCACGCGATTGCTTGAGATTGATTGGCTGTTTGACATCTCATCCGCGCATCGACGGCTCAGATCTTTACTCTATGCATGTTCGTAACGCGTCCGCGTTCTGAGCTTATTGCATGCATAGTCAACGAAAGTCGACTAGGGTGCTGTCGCCCGACGGCGAGGTCGCCACCATCTGCACGCGTCCTATGCATGTCGACAGATGTCAACGCAGGCGACGTATTGTGGCGGCTCGTACTCTGTTACTATATAAGTTCAGAATTTGGGCGATCATTCCAAACAAACATGGAGCATCGCTGCAGTCGAGACCCGGCAAGCTGCCTTGATAAAGACCTTCGCTTGAGGAAAAAGCCAGCCGTTGACACTCTGTCGGCTCGATCTCAGAGACCTCGTGACGAAGAGCACCTCACATGGACACTGACGTGTCTGACAGGGAGCTGATCATTTTGAAACGTCTCTTTTGAGCCTTGAGCTGGATGGCGAGGAAAGTACAGATGAAGCGTGAGTCAAAGTGTGTCCATCGAGCCTAAAGCAAGTTCTTCATGGGGTACTCTCGCATCCGCTCGACGTTTCATTTGCTCTTTCCTAATGAAGATTCACGTTGGAGCAAAGTCAGTGATACCAGTGCATGTCGTCCACACTCACCTGCCCATGTCGAGGACTGCATGTCTTGGTCCGAAGTGCTACAATCGCTGGCCAGAAGGACGCTTTGGCAAAGTAAGGCGCGGAACAGCATGCTTCAGAGCTTGAGTTTAACAGACAAAACTCAGGAAATTCCACCGCCAACAAAGATGAGCCATGGCTGCGTTGGCGTTTCTTTTCTCTGGCGGCAGAAGAACAGACGCAGCGCTCAAGCCAACTTCTCCTCAATCACAAAATCTGACGTGTGCCCTTCCCGACATCACACCTTGGCCTTCTCCTCGTCCATGACCTTGAGGTCCACTCCACCCCGCTATTCATTCCCAGCATCGGCCCCGGCTACGTGCATCTGCGTCCTCGAGCTGACGCTGGAGGCTCAAACCTCTCTTGAACCACATCCTTACCGGCACGGTGACACCTCGTTTGCAGCCCAGGCCCCGGCCTGACATCACATCCTGCCTCTGTCAAAGGTTCTGATCGAGGCGCTCGTTCGGGTCAACGCTGTAGCTCGGGCAAAGGCCGTCCCCGTCTTTCTTCGGCGATGAACTCTACGTCGGCTTCCCATCCGAATCGACCCTAACCCTTTCCAGCCGCGAAGATGAGCGCTCCCGGAGCCCGTCAGGACGCTTCGCTCTCGGCAGCCAGCTTCCTTGCCTCTATCAATGCTGAGTCGAGCACCTCCTTCGGATCAGACGCAACTCAATCTGCCGCAAGCTCGGCGCCGTCGCTCCCTATCTCCGCCAAGGTTGCACTCATCGATGCTCAGATCGATTCTCTCGAGACACGCATAGAGCAGACCATCACGACACATGCAGCCGAGCTTCGCACACGAGCGGCCTCCACTCGCACCGTGGACCGCAACTTCAATCAGTTATGGCGGTCCGTTAATCAAGTCAGCTCCCGTCTCGTCACTGTCGGCCCGCAGATAGCTCCCACCGCTTCCGAGTATCACGATGCACTCGCGCAGAGCTCGAAGCAAGGCCTTCTCATCTCGGTCTTATCCGATCTGCTCGCTGCAACGCGCCTACTTGAGACACTCGAAGGGCTGCAGGGTCAGACCGACTCGCCGAACCTCAAGTCTCAGCTCCCAGACGCCGCCAAGCTCATTCAACCGCTCATCTCCGTTCCTGCACTTGGGGCTCTTCCAGCTGTCATTGAGCTTCAAGCTCGCTTCGACCGCCTCGAAAAGGCAATCTCGACGTCCGAATCGGCTTCCCGAGACCGTGGTGCGCAGCTCACACTACGTCCGGATCCAGTTCCGGCTCCTTCGACGGATGATGTCGACCAACGAAAGAGCGTGCTGACGAGCAATGGGCCCCCCGCTCTTTCCCCTGCACTCAAAGTGCTCGAAGCCGCTCGTGCCATTATCGTATCCCGCGGTGCAGAAGCAGGATGGAAGGAAGTGCGTATCGAACTCGACGCCCCTGCACCTCCTCCTCCTGCTATCTCGATACCCGCACCTCCGACTGCACCACCAGACGCAAAGCCGAGCAGACCATCCATGGACGCACGTCCCGATCATCTGCTTGGAGATCAGCTGTACACAGATGCGGCGTCTTTGACACGGAATTCTTCGTCCTCCTCGACAACCAATGCCCGGAACAAACATAGGCCCAAATTAGGTGCACGCGTAATCCGCCCGCAGGACCAGCTCGGTAGCGGTCCCTTCAATGCCGACGACACGCCTCTCGACGAAGATGGCTGGGGTCTCGACGATGACGACGACAATCAACATGTCCCTGCCTCAGCCGGAACGGCCAGCGGCCAGCATGCCGTTCATCAGCCACAACACGCAGACCGTTCAGTGCTTCAGCATGTAGCTGCTCTCGACCGACATGACCTCTCCGGCTCTCCCAGCGGTTCAATGATGATGCAAAGTAGTATGAGTTCAAGCTCTTCGCAGCACAGCACATTCGCAGTCCAAGAGGCTACGTCTCGCGCAGCAGCCTCCGGAAGCAACGACGTGGATGCTTGGGGTCTCGGAGACGAAGACGACAACGGCGCGGCCGATGCCTGGGACCTGGACGACGACGATGGACCGGCGCAGATGCCAACGTCACCGAAGCAAACACGCACTCCTGTAGCGTTCCGAAACGAGAACGTCAAATCAGCAGTCTCGACATCCGCGGTACCTGCACAAGACGCATGGAATCTGCAGGACCAAGACATCAATGACGAGGATGATCCATGGGAAGCTGCAGAACCTTCGAAAAGCTCCGAGACAGCGCATGCTTTTGAGGCAGGCGCAAAGCCGCTGCTATCGAGTGTTGACGACCGCTCTGAGGTGGGCAACCAGCTCGAAGAGAGCGAAATCTCTCGCACTGCTCCAGAGGCGTCTGGCAGCCATCCTCTGGTGGCATCTCGGCCACAACAGGGCAGCATTTCGTCAATGTCTGCCACTGCAATTGGGTTTCCAGACACGAACCACAAAGTCCCTCATACTGAATCATCGTTCACAGCCCTACATCCACAGTCAACGCACTTTGCGTCGCAAGCTCACCAGCAAGCCCCTTTCCAGGAGAAGATTAGGCAGCCCATTGAACATGTCGAATCGGCACGTCAAGCAGTCACGAATCTAGAACCAGGACCTGCTGCTGTCCAGTCTGAAACCCTGACAAACCACAAGGAACAGGAAGCGGACGCGGATGCATGGGATTTCGAAGAGGGCTCGAACCCATCAGAGCCTGATGGCGCTGATCTCGCACCCATCACACCACTGAAGCCGCAAACCGCAGCGGAGAAGCCGGCTGCCGCACCTGCACACGCTGTGACGGCTCAAACCGAGCCAACAGCATATGCGGAGGCGAGACAGAGTCCATACGGAGATCTCTCGGCCAAGCCGACGCCGGAGGATGCGCAAGCGTCTGAGGCCGAATCTGTCTCGAGGCCGTCGTCGCCCTCTGGCTGGGGGGAGGATTTCTCGGACCCCGAATCTACCAGCGTCCCAGCATCAACGTCATACAGAAAGGCTGTAGCGCAAGCTAGCACAAGACGTGGCGTGTCGTCGACCAGATCCGTCTCTGTAGATTCGAGAGCGGCGTCTAATGCTGAGGCAAAGCCGCTCAAAAGTTTGCCCGCGCATGCTCCTCCCATCGCGGCAGCTGTCAAGGAAGAGTGCACCATCAGCCAACGCTCACTTGATCTCGTCAAGCTGGCCGAAAGCACGATGAGCTCGGTGCTGTCAAAGCTGCAACACGGACGTGCTTCCGGGGAGGATTCGGACATGGATGACGTGGAAGCGCTCGCTGGTAGCGTGTTCAAGATCTTCGAGCTGCATCGTGCACTGATGCCAGTCGCTCACGGCGAGGTGCTTCGAGATGTCCCGTCCTTGGCGATGCAATTCTTCAACGATTGCGAGCATCTAGCGCGGGAGTTGACGCGGCTTGTCGGCGACAAGGGTGACGATATCGCGACGGCATGGATGACGCACGATGCCGAGGCGGCGAAGCGATGGAAGACGAAAGAGCTGGCCAAGCTGGAGCGGGAAGCGGTGTCGACACGGAGCTTGGGTCAAAGGTGGTTCGAAGCGCAGATGACAGCGCAGACCAAGATCCTGCTTGACACACTGATGGAAGCGGACGGATTTGCCCGGACCTTCGACGATCACCGCTACGCACGATGCGAGAGGTGCATCAAGCAGGTTGTGCAGATGCTGCAGCAACTCGGCAAAGCCTGGCGACCGGTGCTCGTAGCGTCTCGTTTCCACGCTGCCATCGGACGACTGGTCGATTTGGTACTCCAAAAGGTGCTGCACGATGTGCTCGACCTCGAGGATATCGGCGAGAGCGAGTCGGAGAAGATCGCTTCTCTGGTCAAGACACTGGGCAGCTTGGAGGGTCTCTTTGCGGCTGACGGTGCGGACCAGCCGAGCGTGGCGCCACTCTGGGTGCCGAGCTGGTTCAAGACTTCGTATCTGATCGAGATTTTGACTGGCTCATTGGTAGACATCGAATTCCTGGCTTTCGAGGCAGGTGCGTTGGTCGACTACAGCCGCAGGGAGCTCACGGGTCTCATCAGAGCCTTGTTCGCGGACACGCCGAATCGGGCCAAGCTGTTGAGGAGGATCGAAAGTGCACCTGTTGAAGTGCTGGCTCAGTGAGATTGCGGAACAGACGGGCTGGCGGCGCTCCCTATGTCGGACTGTCCGACACACATCATTGTTGCCTTCAAGCAAATGTCACATTTCGGTTTCCACGCCACAACGCATTCATGTTGGGCTCGTGACCCGTGATGAGCGAACGGAATTACGCATGTGCCATGAATCTGAAGCTGCTCCGTCGGGCTGCGCATGTCAAGCCTCGTCTGTTGCGATGGATCTGCGGTGCTCACTGTTCCCAGATCGTCGGTGTGCTTCCGAAGGAACCATTCGGAACAGCCGCGATGGAGAGCCACAAGCTAAGCGATGGCACGATGTCGAGCGTATCATTGAGGAGTGATTCACGAACGTTGCGACAGACTGCGACAGGCCGCGGTGAGCAAGCTTTGCCGAACAGTCGTAGGAGTCCCGAAGAATTCTTGGTCGTTCCACCATCTCGGTAGCAATCACGACGAATGCGGCCGGTTATCAGCGTCCACGCTCTGGAAGCACGACAACATGCGGGCAGAGCGTGGGCAAGATCAAGAGACAGTAACTACCTTGAGCTGCAGCATGTCTCCAAGACCCTTGCAGACTCTGCGACCGACAACACCATGATCGACTCGGCGCATGCCGTATGCAGTGTACATCGCCTGATGTGAGCTTTGGTTGCAGGGTTTCGTCTTGGCAGCACGACCTGCAGTGCAGAGTACGGGCGCAATCAAATGAGCGGAACGAGGCTTGACTGATTTTGATTGAGCCATCTCTACCGACAGAGACTCCAGAGTCTTGGCGATGCGTTCGATCGCGTAAAGTGCGCGCGATCTTCGACTTGCTAGCCACCTGACCCCACAAGCTTAACCGGAAGTGTGCCGCCCCGCCCCGCCCTGCTGCTTGCAAGAGCGTGACGTCTGCAGAAACCCGTCATAAGCTCGCTTCAAGATAAAATTAATTTTACTTTTCTTTTTGTTCATTTCCGCAAGGGTCCATGCTTCTATGGTTGTCTTACTTTTCGCCCTCCTTTGTGTCCCTTCTTCGGTACCTTTGGCGTTTGGCATCGATCCTGCCACGTTCAGGTAGGAGCGGGGTTTGATTTGCGCCCATCGCGAGGAGCGCCTTGTATATTACGACACGCCATTGATCGTGAGAGACCATCGGCGTGCCCGGTTTCGTCGTGGCATCGAAACACGATAAGCAAGAAGAACGTGATTGAAATAGAACAATTCGTGGGAAAGGCTTGAAAATGGTCTTCCGACGACACAGGTTTTTTTTCTCTCGGCTGTGTTATCGGTTCCCGCCTCGCGCGCAATGCCTGTCTGCTGATCTCGACTCTTCTCAACCTCTGTGGTGCTCGCCTCCTCTGGCAAATTGACGCTTTTCGCTCGCCCTCGCTTGGCGTTTGCTGGACCGGGACTGTCCAGAACGGCTTTCGGCTCTTCCTACGGATGCGAAGGATGGAGGAGGCGTTGGCCTCCTATATACCGTTGCCTTGCGCCATCGGCTTCTCCGTGTTGCCACATCTGCCAAGCCCGTGCCGCGCCATTGCAATCGCTCAAACGCTCCACCACCGCTGGACCCTTTGCGCCGTAGAGCAGAGCGATACGACCCTCCAGAGACAGAGAGAGACTGGACAGGCAGACGGATCTATTGCACCTTCCTGCATTCCCATCAATAGAGCAGCTGGATACAAGTCTCCGAGTTCCTTCTCGCCGGGAAAGAACCCTCGGCTCTCGATACTTACATCCCCTAAATACCGCCTAACGATCCGCCGCTGTTCATTCTCACCTTCTCACTACTCTGTGACGAGGTTGACAGCTGATCTCGCCTTCTCATCCAGCCAAGGATTAGGTCATCGAACGCTAGGTCATCGAACGCTCTGTTCCTAGAACCCATCAGCTGGATACACCCTTGCTTCCCCATCTGGGAAAGCCTCGCACTCAACATTCAGGATGCCCGGTCGTCGCAGTCGCAACCGGACAGTCGAGTCCTACGAACTTCCGTCGTCGCCACCCGCCGCCGCGGTCGAAGAGCCGCTGCTGAACAGCGACAATTCCTTCAACTCCAATCCCGATCGGAGCGGTGATGCATCGCTTCAGCCACTCTCGCCTCCACGATGGTCCCGCGGGAGCTCCCGCCGTAGCCGAGAAGGCCGCACCGACGATCCCCTCTTCGTCGAAGCATCGTTCTCCCCCTCGACGTCGGCAAATCCAGCCGATCAAGCTGCGTCTCAGGGTATGCCCGTACCGATTCGAGAGGGACCTTTCACGCCGCCTCACGCACGTCCTGGCCCGCGGCCCATATCTGCTGCCAGCACGTTCATGTCTTTCCCTCGCTCGAAGAGCGCGCTGAGCGATTACGATTCGGTCTACCAGCTTTGGCGCCGCAGTGACACGCCCAGCAGCTTCATGGAATTCGCCGACGGTGACTCGAGACGTGCTAGCTCTGCCATGGATCTGGAGAAGATCGAAGCATATCGCGCTGGTGGTGTGCATCCCATGTCGCCAGGTCTGGCCCAGAAGGAATACCAAAGTCTACACAAGGGCCAGGCCGGAAAGAAGGGCCGAAAGGACTATCGAGCCGTGGGTCTGGCCAAGTACGGTCGCGGCAAAGACAAGCGCATGTCGGCATCGAGGAAATGTCTCATCATTACGGCTGTCGGCCTTGTCATCGCCATCCTCGCTGTCGCTATTGTGGTGCCCGTGTACATGTTCTTCCTCAGGGACCACGGACGACCGAGTCAGGCTAATTCCGACACCTCTGGTGGCTCTGGACAAGGATCGACACCTTCCAAACCCGGCAGTCCCACGCCGGAAAGGCAGGTAGCCATTTGGGGTACCAATGGATCCGTGATCGATCTCGGCAACGGCAACAGCTTCACCTACATCAACAATTTTGGCGGACGATGGGCTTCGCAGCCGCTCAACAACACGGCTCAGGCTCAAAACTACACGCCTCCTCTTGATCAAGAGTTCGATTTCGCTCGAAACAGGATGCTCGGCGTCAATCTGGGCGGTTGGCTGGTCACTGAGCCTTTCATCGTTCCCGCTCTCTACGAACCATACGAGAACACGTCGAGCCCGGTAGTCGATGAATTCACCCTGTCGCAGCGATACCGATCGGAGGGAGGCGTCGAGAATTTGCGGCAAAAGATGACCGAGCACTACGAGACCTTTATCACCGAGCAGGACTTTGCCAACATTGCTGCGGCTGGACTCAATTGGGTTCGCTTGCCCTTCGGCTTCTGGGCCGTCGAGACGTATGCCAACGAGCCCTTCTTGGAAGGCGTGTCGTGGAACTATGTCCTTAAAGCCATCCAATGGGCTCGGAAGTACGGTTTGCGCATCAACCTTGATCTGCATGCCGTTCCAGGCTCGCAAAACGCCTATAACCATTCCGGTCGCTTGAACTTCCTCAACTTCTTGATGGGTCGGATGGGCCGGGCGAACGGCGATCGGACCATGGACTACATCCAGCGTGTGACGCAATTCATCAGTCAGCCCGAGATTCGCAATGTGGTACCTATGTTCAGCGTCATCAACGAGCCCAATGCTATCAGCATCGGACAGCCGGCGCTCGAATCGTGGTATTCCCAGCTCTACACAATGCTGCGCCGTATCACTGGTACCGGTGCGGGCAACGGCCCTTACATCACGATTCATGACGGTTTCCTGCCTCTCAACTCGTGGCAAGGCTTCCTGAGCGGCTCCGACCGAGTCGCTTGGGACACGCATCCCTACATCTGCTTTGGCGAGCAAAACAATGATCCCTGGGACGTCCAAATCCTCAAGCCGTGCCGCCAATTCACTCCTCTGACCGACAGTGCCCGTTCCAACATGGGGGTCACCATGGGGGGCGAGATTTCGCTGGCCATCAACGACTGCGGGCTCTTCCTGAACGGCGTCAATCAGGGAACCCGCTATGATGGCTCCTACCGAGGAAACGTCGCCGGCGAGTTTCCCAGGATGGGCTCCTGCCAATCGTTTGACGACTGGGAGAACTACACCGACGACATGAGAGAAGGGCTGCGCCGCTTCGCCTTGACCTCGATGGACTCTCTTCAGGACTTTTTCTTCTGGACCTGGAAGATTGGCAACAGTCTGAGGACGGGAAAGCCAACCTCTCCCATGTGGTCGTATTCATTGGGGCTGCAGCAAGGTTGGATGCCCACCAATCCTTTGAGCGAAAGCAGCGGCGCGTGTGCGGCTCAGGCTTCTCGTTTGCAGACCACCGTTCCGTCAGCGTCTTGGACACAATCGTTCCAGGCATGGCAGACGGGCCGCGCCGGTAGCTACTCGCCCAGTCTTGATTCTTGGCCACCTCAATCGCTCCTCTCGGCCAACGCGCCCGTCTCGCAGCTGCCGAGCTACACGGCCACCAAGTCGATCACGCCCCTTCCGGCACCGACGCTTTCGGTCACTGCCACCGTTTCCGGTCAGCCCACAGCGGCGCCGACGATCGGATCATGGTTCAACACGGCTATCAATAGCCCATTCTATACCCAAATTGCTGGATGCAACTATCCTCCTGACCAGTACAATCTGACAGGCTGGGATTCTTCGGGATGGCCCTGCAGCGGCGGGCAGCGACGCCGAGAAGCTTTGCCCCATGCACAGCCAACCATGCTTCCGCAATGATCGCCATCACGAACAATGCGCATACGAACATTGCTGTTTTCTGAACCTGTACTCTTACTTCGACTCCGAATTCACTCGTTTCCTCAGACCGGCATGGCGTAGCGAGTGCGAATCACTCTGAAGTTTCCAATTTTAGCCGTTCTTCCCCGCAATTTTCCGCGGATCGAGGTGCTGAATTTGTGCTGGAAATCCTCGAAACCCCTTGAGTGCGGAATGTGCAGTGCCTGTCAAGGACAGCCGCCACATTCAATCCCCGACTGTATTGAAAGCTCACTCGACTGCAATCTTTTGCACTCGAAAGTCGTACAGTACCCAAGATGGGGGACTGGTGAATGTCGTTGGGACCCTCGAACCCGCTACATCCAGGCGTGGATCCACGGCGGCAAAGATTCTAGCGATTTCGCTAGCAACTTCGGCCCAATTTTAGGTGTAAGACGCAGCTTCGGCAACAAGCATTAGCGTGTTTCGCTTAGCCAAACTAGCGCCGTTCTACAACACACTAGAGTCGAGTTTTCTGGGACTCCGCGCCATCCTTCGAATGGGTATGTCGGAAGCTTTCACGCCTTCATCGTCTTCTTCCTTGAAGACCACCAGACGACTGGCGTGCGTATAAAAGCCTGCCTTGCGCCTTTGTACACACCACGTTTCCTTCAACGTTACTTCCGAGGAGCAGCTCCGCCGCGTAGAACTTCATTCTCGGCGTCTCTTACAACACCTCATCGTCACATTTGGTCTCGAGGCGAAAGCTTACTTCTGCGCTTCTCGCTTTGCCTTCAAGTCGGATGAATCTCACACGATGAACGCCCTCAAGCACTATCGCTCGCAACTGAGCGTACGAGGCAAACCAGATGCCAAGCAGAAAGGTCTCCGGACCAAAGCCTCAGCCGTGTCACTACCGCCCGACGAAGCCGTGGCTGACGATACCGCACCTGCCGCATCGATGGACCGTTCCGGTGCCATCACGAGCGGCAACTCCTCTTCCGCGGCTTCTTTTACCCGCCACGAAGATCACACACGCGATGAGCCAACGTTCTCTCCCCCTGCATCGACGTCTGAATACCAATGGCGGTACCAGTCAGCGCGCAAGATCTGGTATAGGAAGGTTGACTCAATGGCCAACTTCGTCTTGCACTGGCAGAGGCGATTCCACGAGCATGGCGATATGTTTGCCTCATGCACAATCAACGTTCAGCCCTCATCGGCCGAAGCGGGTAACCCGGTGCAATGCGATCTATCCAAAGCTCAGCTGAGGGAAGCTGTGCGAAGATTGCGCCACGACCATCCGACCATTGCGCTGCGCCTGGCAAGGAGAGGGCAAGAAGGCATCGAGCCGCTGTCGAACATTCCCAAAATTGTGGCCAAGAATGTTGATTTGCAGGTCGCGCTGGTGTACGATGTTGTGGAGACGGAAGATGAGGTAGAAAGATGGCTGGATGACGTTGTTATCGTTCATGAGGATGAAGAGAGGTATGAAGAAGGAGAATTCCGAGGTTTCGTAGCAAGGTCAACTGCTGATGGCGTCGCCGGTCGAGATCGACTACGCATTCATTACTGGCCAGCGAAAGGAGGAGTGGATGCAAGGGTGTTGATCGAGCAGTGCCATTCCGTCAGCGAAGGCATCGGTCTATGGCTCGTGTTTGATCTTCTCCTCGCATCCGTTTCGTCTGTTCTCAACAACTCTGCCCCGACGGAGCTCGAGTGGGGACCAGAAGTTACCCGACTCGAGCCGGCGCTTCAAGATGCGATCGCTGATCCACCTGCTACGTGGCAAGTCTCGCCCGCCGAGATCAAGAAGGTCGAAAAGATTAACGCGGACCGCATGAACGGCAAGGCTTCTGCACCTAATGCGATCGACAAGATCGGGACCAAAGTCGTCGCCATGACCTTGGAAGGCCACAACAGCAAGAGCAAGGTCCGCTCCAAAGTCATCAACAAGCCTCTCGTCAGGTTGTGTCGAAGCGTCGCCGAGACGGGCGATATGCTGCCCCTGGGAGTTCTACCGCAGACAGGAATTCCTTTCACCGGCAAAGTGACACATACGGATTTGATCTCCCAGACGCTTGACCCAGAACAGACGAAAGCCTTGCTGGCAGTGTTGAAAAAGCGAGGTATGACTTTGGCGCCTTTCATGGAGGCCTGTAGCTGCATGACGACCATGTGGGTGCGCAAGCAACGCGGACTTGTACCGCGTGGTCAGGCGAAGAAGTACGGTGGGTACGACGACCCAAATCGCATCCTGGGCAGCTTCAGCAACGCCATCAGTAAACGGGATACCTTGGATCCGAAGTACGCTCGGTATCTGGGGTTGTGCATGTCCGGTTTCCCGACCAAAGTCGCTGCTGGAAGCGCAACCTTCTCCCCTTCCTCCGACGCTTCCCCTGGCACGGTCGATGCACTTCCCTCGATCACCGCCACCGACCTCACCACCCTCTTCTCGCTATCCGCCGAACTCGCATCGCAATACAAATCCGGCAGAACCAACACCGATTGGCTGCGTCACGACCAAGCCCTCATGTTCAACACAATGACCACCGAATACCTCTTCCTCCGCGACGCCGCACACTACCCCTCCATGCCTTGGCTCAGCAGCATCGGTCGCATCGACCCCATCTGCCGTCCCTCCCACCGAATCGAAGGAGTCGGAACGCTCGAAGCGCACAACGTCGAGTGTGTAGGTCGCGTAGGCATCCGTCAACCCATCCTCCACGTCTACTCCTTCCGCATGCAAACCACCATCCAATTCTCCTTCGCAGATTGGCTCTACAACCCCCCCAGCGACGCTAACAAGGAGTCGGAGAACATCCTCGCTTTCTGGTTGAAAGTCTTCCGCTCGCTCATCGATGCAACCCTTCAGGCCGAATGATCATCGTCGCAATGCAGGAAATTTTTGGGAGGAAAGAAGATTGGCATGCCAAGAAATTGTGAGACAAGAAGAATCATGTGTGTGTGTGCGTGCGTGTGAGAGATGTCGCGATGGACCCATGAATACAAAAGTCGTAATGTGGTCGAGAAGAATGCCGATCGTGGCGCAGACGTGCCTGTAAAGAAGAAGTAGTTGGGGGGACACGGACGACGAGAGAAAGAGCCGTGCGCCGCATCATCTCAACCTTCGCGCCACGACCTGCCTCGATCGCCCGTTCCGAGCAGCGCGCCGATCAGATCGCGCGCCGTGTTGACGATCTCGACCGCTCTGCCGATGATACCTCCTTCGTCCTCTTCGACATAGTCGTGGGCGAGTGGCACACGCGGCTCCGAGTTGTGTGGCGCTACCAGGGCTCCTGTTGCACTTGTCCTTCGTGGCAGGGTGGGGCTGGAAGGCCCGCCCCCGGAAATGTCGGGTCCGCTGCCGGATCCGGAACGACGTTTCCCGCTGGCTCTCGCGAGGATGAAAGTGGGCGTGTTGAGAGGCGTAGGCCCCACCTCTACGGGTCCATCGGGGCTCGTAACGCTGGTGGTCTTGGTGGCAGGACGTGCGTTGCTAGGGATGTTGGACAGGTCCACGCTCAACTCGCCGGCAGCTGCGCTGGGAGACGTGGATTTCGCTCGTGCAGAGGCAGACTTGGAGCTGCCTCTCCTTTCGTCGGACCAGTAGCTTCGTTCTTCGCCGTACATGAAACGGTCGCCGTCGCGGTCCTGCGAAGACCGGTTGGACCCAGCGTCTTCCTTGGCATCGAGATGCGGGCTTGCAGGAAAATGCGGGCTGGCCAAGCCGTACGAACCCTGACCATCCGAGTCGTAGTCGTTCAGGGACCGATTCGCGAGCGAACGCGCCTTTCCTCCGTGCGTTGCTGCATCTCCAGCTCGAAGGCCATCAGCTCCATCTCGCGAACCGTCTTTGGCGCCGCTCCGAAAGGACTCGCCACTACTCCGTGCATTGCTCCGCACATTGGCAGGCGAAGATGAAGAGGCAGGGCTGGCAGATGCTGCACTGTACCTGTCGTAGCTGCCGTTGGCAGTCGAGTTGGTGGGTGAGTGTCCGGATGAAGTGCCGCTGTTGGTGCGGACGCGCCCTTGCCTGGCTGCATCCTGGATGCGCTCGTAGCTCGCAGAGCTGCCGAGTCGTTGCGAGGGTCGACCGCGTTCCCGCGAACTATCACCCCGCGAAGACTCGTACGAATCTGCAAACGAAGAAGAGTCTTGGTGCGAGGTGCCGAGCACGTCGTAGTCGCCCTCGGCCTCGAGGCTGCGCGACTCGTAGTCCTCTGCGGCGGTCTGGTGGACGATCCTGTGCTTGAGGATACCTCTGGGTGCAACACTGGCCTGCGATTGCTCCGGTGATGCGGCTGCTATGTCTTGAGGCGACGTGGATGATGTGGATCCGTCAGTCCTGTCTGACTCGCTATGGTCAAAAAAGCTTCCGAAGTTTCGGGAAGCATCAGGGCTGCTCGCAGCGTCGCCTGTGTTAAAAACCGGCCCATTCGAGTTGGTGTGCTCGCTCGAGCCGTCGGCAAGATCAGATCCGTCAAAATAGTCGAAATCGCCATTAAAGTCATCTTCGAGATCCCACTGGACGCCTCGTGCGGTAGGGTCGCCGTGGGTTACTGGAACACCAGCGCGAGCATAGCCGTACTGGGCTGGATATGTAGAGACGGTGCTTCCGTTATTGGCGCGAGTGGCAAGGAAACCGGATGGGTCCACCACGGCGGGCGAGGGCGAAGGGTACACTTCGGACGTCTTGAGTCGAGTCGGGGCCAACTTGGCGATGGTGGCTTGGAGTTCCGAAGTTTTGGACGAGGACGCAGAAGCGTGAGAGATGGCAGGAGACGTCCGTGGGCTGGATTTCATCGTGAGCACTTCCTCTTCTTCGCTGCTAACCTCTTCTTCCTCCTCGTCGAATTCGTCCTCGTCATAGTCGTCATAATCCGGGTACTTGTGATCCAATGCAATGCACTGTTCGACACGGTGATTGAAGCTGATGTGACGCTTCTCGTCTGCGCCTAGGCTATCGGCACGTCCAATGCTGGGAGTCTTTTTCTTCTGGGCCGAGACGAGCGGCATGGCACTGGGCGACCCGCCGGTGCGCTTGGGCGCTCTGCTGACGAGGTTGGAATCTGACTTGACGGCAATGAGCGGTTTGCGCTGGACTGCGGTTGCTGCTTCTTGCTCTGCCTTTCGGTCCTGTTCCTGCATGTGTTCATCGATAGGGTTGGTCTCGAGCTCGGCACTGGGCGAAGCGGCATTTCCTGGCGTCGTGAGCATGTCCGATATGGTGCGATGCTTGAGGATGGAGCGAACGCGGTGACCGTCATCCAGATCCAGACGATCAGCGGTGGTGGCAAGCTTGGGAGGCGGAACCGACTCAACGTGCTCGTGGAGAGGTCCGTACAGCCATGTCACGTCGCTGTCTTTGAGCCTGTGGGGCAGTGAAGGAAGGGAGATCGGAAATAAGAATAAGTCAGTTTCGAACACATTGGGCTGCGGAAAGGGGAGCACAAATGAGCAGAACCACATCCGTGCATCGTGTGCGAATGCCAAGAACGTACCAGTTGAGTGTCTCTGGACTGATGGTCTTGAGATTGCCACGCTGCTTGGCCCAAGTACGCCAACTTGCATTTTCGAGCCTGACTCCGTTGGCGATCTGGTTTTTCTGCTTCGTCATTGCCTTCCAGCTGCTCCACACGTCTTCGTCGGTCCACTGGTGACTAAGGTAGTCGACGCAGACGGTGGGCATGCGTGATTCGATCTGGGCATCGTCGGGCGCTGGCACGTTGTTGGCCACGGTGGGGTATGGCTGAGGTGTGGACAACATCTTGGAAAGCGAACAATTCTATCGTCGGATGCGTGGGGAAGAGAAAAAGGCGATGGAGACAGGAGGTGCGTCTGGGTTGCGAGAAGGATTCGAATGCAAAATTGTCCGGGACGGCTGCTGTACGGTGGGTGTTAGCTACACCTTTGAAGCTTAGAGCTGATCGCACATGGGTGATGTGCCGCGCGAGCTCAATGAGTGGAAAAGAAGACCGGACGAGGGTTGTGCGCCACTCGCTTCGGGCTCGGGCTGCTACGTTGAAGGACGACGATTGGATCAAAATAGAGGAGGCCGAAAGAACAGATGTTTACCGATATCCGCGCCAAGACCGAGGTTGCTATAGACTGAACCGGGGCGTGTGTAGAACCAAGTGAGAAGAGTGTGTTGTTGAGCGATATCACCGGAGTGCGCCGCTACGGGAGGATGGAGCTGGCAGCTTCGAAGTTGATACGAGGGGCAGTCCGGGGGATGGTGAAAGATCGTCGACCGCTGCGTAGGTCTACGTTGATCTTTACCTTTAACCGACAACAACAACAACGTCGACAGTGGCGGCGACGGAGATAGCGAGCAGTGGTTGTTCGGTCGTCGAGGAAGGAAGAGAAAGCAGCAACAGAGGCAGACAAACACAACCTTGAAGCCGAAGAGAAAGGTGACGATCAGCCTTCTCTCTCTCTGGTTGTGCCAAGCGGAATGCGAGACCAGAGCGTGAGCAAACGGACGATCCGCTTTGGGAGGCCGATAATGCGGCGTGGGGCGCGAGTTAGGGTCGCGGGCCAGTCGAGCTGCGACTTTGAATTTTAGTTTTATTTCGCTGCTCAGTCAAGGTTGATTCCAACATGCAGCAACAGGCAGGCAGCCAAACGCGCCATCGGCAACCGCGAAGGGGAAAAGGGCAAGCAATCAAGGCCGCTTGTCTGCATCCCGTGCTCATTTTCTCGCTCGTTTTGAGCGCCGACGAGTTGCTCTTTGGATCTCGCGCTGAGCAACTGCGGGTTGGTCCCTCGAAATACCACACAGCAACGCCGGTCAAAGCGAAAACTCACCAGACACCGACCGCTCTGCCCACGCTGTCGATTTCCACCGCGAAATCGAGAAATTCGCGAAATTTCAGAACAGGCGGCAGCAGCCAACGAACGCTCGAGACTTGCCTGTGCAGGATCGACACTGCTGTTGCGGGCAGCTTCAGCAGACCCTTGCGACTGGAGAGCCCTGTCAGCCATCATGGCCCGTCCGCACGACGCAACCTCGTCACGGCGTGATGGCGGGCTGGTGGCGAAGCCCTGGGCGTTCTCCTGTCGACCGAAAATCTTCCGAATCAAACAATGGCTCACTTGGAGCCTCGGATGACGACTTGTTGTTTGACTCTTTCCACCTTGCGTTTCTGTGAGCAGCATGAGATGTGCGCACGATCGATTCCGCCAACTGATCCACCGAGAGCTGTTTGGTGCTGTCGCAGACGTTCTGCGCCGGTAGAATGTGTAGGAGAGAGCCGGCCAGCCAGCACAGAGCGGTGAAGCGATCTCACCGTGAGCAGTGTGAATTGTCCGTGCTTTGACCCAGGTGATCGTCTTCCTGACTCATCCAGTCAAGCTGAATCTACCGTCTGAGTGTCTGTATCGACCAGTCTATCCGGCCCCTGACATGCACTAAGTTATGATGAAGAAATCAGCGCCGAAACATGTGGGCGGCGCCGCCGAATACCGTCCCCCTCTGCCTGCCCGATAACGAAGTTCGGCCTTTTACTTTTGTGGCTTGCACCTTTCTGTTCCTGTCAGCCAGATTCGCTATCTCTCCGACAACGTTGTGTTCTCGAAGCCCTGACAGATGTCTCCTTTTGTCGTCTCTCGGAGAAAAGACACTGCACGATCGACACTGCCCTTTGAGACAATCTTCTTCCGCTTCTGATCGCCTTTCCGTTGGATCAAGAGAGTATTACTGTCTGAAGTATCAAGCGTACCTTGAGCAACATCAGCTGCAAGGTTGACGCACAGAGTCGAAATCTTGCATCGCTTGAAAGTAACCTCGGAAAATCGTCTGTGCTTATTCCTAATCAAGCAAGATCAGTACTTTGCTTTTGCCGCAAGACCAACAGACCTTTGCGTGCAAACCACACCATCTGCTCATGTACACACATATCCTTACCCAAGCCGAAACGTGTGCTCCATCTTTCAGATATACTCTGACCCGCAATGAAGGACGACATTTGAAGAAGAAGAACTCGAAGTAAAGCAGGTGTTGGAGCGTCACCGATGTGAGTGCAGCTGCCGTGCCTGTGTCGGAGTTTACCCACCATCCAAAACCTCGCCTCAATCTCCCCCGCTTCCAGAAAGACCATAAATTTGGAAAGCGCGAGCCTTGCGAGTCAACCCGAGGCTCATCCTCTTCGCTTATTGACAGCTAACACGCACGAAACAGCAGTCTTTCTCACATGGTAATGGCCGAGGCTGCTGCTCCTGTCGATCCATGTCTTTCAAACTCATTCTGGTCTCGATGATCATGTAGTCTGCGGTCCAGCAGTGCTGACCCCGTCATGTGGGGAATCGTTGCCCAGATGTGACCAGTGCTGAACTGAGACATGGCATCACAAGACCCCGACCCTTACCCTCACCAGTGTCCTTCTTTGGCCAAGCCTCAACCCCCGCGTGACCAACATTGTTAGAAAAATTGGCCGATCGCCGATCTCACTTGGTACATCACCTCACCTCACGGACATCTCACTCCGACAGACTCTGCGGATGGTAGCTGATGCGGGATCGTTGATAAATGCTGACGCGCGGGCTGAAACTTCTCTGTGACGAATACAAGGGATGCAAGGGTGATACAATTGAATGTGTGACCACCTTGACGGTGTATTGCTGACTGAGTATGCCTCCCGAAGATCACTTGGAGCCCTTTCGGCGGAGTCGAGCTCGCAGACCGTCAATGAGCACATCTCGCTCGACGAGCTCCGCCTGCATCCTCCGCACTTCTCCTTCGTACGCTGTCTTGAGCTTTGCTACAGCCACATCCATCTGGAAGATCGCCGCGAGTACCTCCGCAGATGCCTCGAAAGCCCTGATCGAGTGATTGCTAGTGGCGGCGAGAGGGATGTCTCCGTCACTGCTGCTGCTGCCAGTGCTGTTGCTGTTGGCATGATCGTCGCTGACGACAGTCCTGGAGGAGGAGCCGCCTCCTAGATTGGTAGGTTGAGGTTGCGAAGCCGACGGCACAGTGTTGCTAGACCCGTTGATGGGTTGCGAAACTTGCCGAGAGGTGGGAATTGCCGGCGCCTTCTGTACGCGCGGATCAGATATATGCGACGGCTCGGGAGGCGATGCTGGGCGGACCCCCTTGCTCTTGGCAAGTGCTTCTCGGACAAAGTCTTCCTGGAAGTACGGCTTGATCGGACGATCCGCATCGGCAAGAGTGTCGCTCTGCTTGGCTCGCTTGTTGGGCTGAGATGCTGGCGCGGGAGACGTCTCCCGGAGGTCGATAACATCGCGAATCCTCGCGCCTGCAGACGATGGACGAGGTCTCTTCTGCGATGATGTCGGGATGCTACCGCCGCTTTGCGTAGCTGAGTCCATTTGATTGCGTCGCTGCATGGTGCTCCCAAGGCTTTCCGCTTCCAGCCTGTCGCATACTTCGACTGAGAGTTCCAACGTAGCATCTCGATCAGTCCGTCATTCAACGTCCGTGGATCCGGCAGTAGAAACAGCAAACTTACAGTCGAGATCGACAGCCATTTGGTCGGCAAACTCGTCTAGCTCGTCAACCTCTTCCTCCTCCGCCATTGATGGTCGGGTCGGCATACTCCTGCCTCTCCGGGTGTTTGCGCTTACGCTGACGACGCTGGATGATACGAGCTGCAGCCGAGGAGGGTTGCTTGAAGATTGAGATCGAAGCGTTCGATCAGATGGTGGTAGTTGCGCGAGAAGGCTTGGTGAGCCAAAAACGTCAATGGGAGAGGAAAGAAGATGTTGCGACGGAGAGAAGAAAGCGGCATCGTTAGCTTCCTGCGGCGAATCCGCGTCCATTGCGGGAAAGGGTTTCATCGGCTTCCGCGCGAAGACGGAAATGGAAGCGTCTCGAATGAGCTTGATCTTATACCTCATCGACCAAGCTGGTCGAGTTCGGGGTGTTGCATGCTACGCCGCGCATCGACAGGCTGCCTCTGAGCTGTCAGAGCGAGCATAAAAACGACCAACGCTGAGACCCTTCGCAAGTACGTTGACGTTCCCACGCCACACCCGTTCCGTCTACTCGACCAGAGAGGTTGCACATGGAAGTGCCGATGTGTCGGAAGTCCAGACTTGCCCCCACAAGACAGTCGTCGGAAGATCCGAGCTTCCTCCAAAACTTTGTCTTGCCCTCTTTTTCACGACCAACATTCCTCCTGCCACCTCCTCTGCCTCTCCAAACCGTCCAGAAACCTCTTGGCCTGATCCTCATCCATCCCACCTTCCTCCCTCGCCACCCTCTCGAACGCGCCCCTCACCTGCTCCGGCATCTTACCCGACGCACCAGCCACCACGATCCACGCATTTGTCTCCGTGATAGCCTCCCACAGCATGCCTCTGTTCTCTTCCTTGACAATCAGATCCTGCACATAGGTCTTTTCATCTCCTCCATCCCTACTGAACGCGGTGTGGAGGTGGAAATGGTTGGCGTGGTGTTGTTGAAGTGCCTGCCAGTCGTTTTGAAAGAGGAAGTCTTTGGCACGGTATCGGAAGCCGAGGAAGAGATGGATCTCCCTCGCAGGATTGGGGGAGGAGAGACGCTGGATGACAAGCGATCGGAGAGGTGCGCATCCGGTTCCTGGTCCGATCAAAATCAGAGGTGCATCTGGTGGCGGCAGAGTGAGATAGCCCGGTTTGATCCAGATCGGCACTTCCGCATCGACAGGTAAGGTGGAGAGCCAGCGAGTGCACAATCCTGTTCGTGACTTTCTTAGCCTTGTTTTGTACTTGACGATGGCTACGCTGAGCTGTATCGCGTGCGGCTGATCCGAAGCATCTCCCTTCGAACCGCGTGACAGTGATGCCGTGGGCGGCGCGCTAGCGATACTGAATTCTCGAGGCTTGATCCAGGGAATCACATCCGCCACATACTCCAACGGAATCCCGACCGACTTGAACTCCTCCAGCACCTCTTTGATCGTCCTCCTCGGTCTCTGTGCGTATTCGTACATCTCGTCAATTCCATCTTGCGGATTTGCTCCTTTTGCAAGCTCGTCCTCGGGCAGGATCCCACAGTATTCATCTAGCTTCTCGCGTTCCAGCGATCCTGTGGGTGAGAAGAGTCGGATCTGCTCGAAGAACGAGTGCGTGGGCACCGAGGTGAAATCCAGATGGTAGGTGAAGAGGTCTCGTACGGATATCGGGTGCGGTGATTGAGGCGCCGTCGTGGGCACGGTGCTACCAGAGAGGGTGATGAGGGTGTCTGGGTCGAGCTTGAGCCGGTCGAGGAATTCGGTCACGGAGAGAGCGTCATTGATGGGATGCAAGCAGAGCACGTCTCCCGGTCGGTAAGATTGGAAGTTGACATCGTCAGATGCTGCAGCGGACTTTGTCGATGCTTCTCCGTTCTCGCCGTTCTGAACAGCTCCAGCAGATGATGGGGATTCAACGAATTCGAGCAAACGAACATCTTGAAAATGATCAGCAGCCGTCATCCGATCGTTTTTGCCAAGTCTCGACATTGACCACCCTTGCTCCAACAAATGCTCGTCGAAACCATAAGTCCCGCCCCCCTCCTCCTCTCCATCCACTTTCCTGATTGTGACAGCTGGAGGCAGCAGCTCATCCCTCCCGACTTCCCTCTCACCCTCCTCAAGCGGACATAATTCATCCATCTTCCCCCAAAACTCCTCCAACCACGGCTTCAGCTCCCCCTCCAACCCCAAATAATGCATCTCATCCCCCTCCCCGTGCTCCACCACCTCCACCGCGCCCAACCCCTTCAACCTCCTACTCAACAGCCTCACCGGCCAACAGAACCTCGGATACGTAGAGTCTCCCAAACCAAACGCTGCAAACCGCACGTCTTCGAGTATGTCCTCCGGAATCCCCTTTCGCAGCAAGAAGTTCCAAAACCCTCTCGAGCTCGTTGGGAATTCACCTTGACCCGTAGTAGAGACCAGGAAAAGCACGTAGTTTTCGGAGACGAGATCGGCAGGATCGTACGAGGAGACGTCGCAGACGGTGGTGGAGAAGCGTTTGCGCTGGGCTTGGCGAGAGATTCGAAGGGCTAGGTCGGACGAGGTTCCTGTCTGGGTCATGTACAGGATCGTCAAGTGCCGCGGTTGCGACGGACCGGATTCGTTGGATGCGGATGATGAGGTCGATGCGCGTATCGAAGTCATCTTGGCTAGCAGTTTGCTGGGCAAAAAGAGGAGCAGGATGGAGGGTGATGATGGTCGAACAGCAAAAGTTGCAAAACGGCAGAGCAGGAAGGAATTCCGGATTACACGATCAACTTCTCGTCGGTCAAATTCTCGGTACATTTTACACAGAGTGGAGACCACGCGGGATGATTCGTGTGCCTCTCTGGCTCGGATCTGATAACGATTTCACGGAGGAATCAGCTCGCACTCATCGGTTCATCTGCCATGCCTCCCCAGTCCAGAACCTCTCTCTTCTATTCGCAAGCGTCACCCCCAAGCGATTTGTCGCGCCTGCTCTCTCAAACTCAATCGAATCGCAAACCAGGAGTGAGCTCGAAGTGGGCATGCAATTTCAAACACCTAGCAATGCAGCCAAAACGCCTACTCGGAAGGGTACAAACTCCTGTTACCCACGCCTGCCGCAGCCGCAGCCGCCACCGGTGTAGCCGCAGGCGGTGGTCCTGCGTGCCCCTTGAGCCCGGCATTCGGACCTGGCGAAGGACCCCTTCGTACACCTCCGAATCCAGAGCCTGGCTGGGGCGCATTCGGATGGCGCCCATGATGCCCCGCAGGCCCTCTCCCCGCACCATTGCTTACCACCTTGTGATCGCGTTCGTCCATCGCACCCACCGCACCCACCGGCATAGATGGTGGTGGAGGCAGATTGGGTTTTGCGCCACCAGTCGACTTTGCCTGCGTCGGCGACTCGACGACACCGCCGCCACCCACGTGTCCATCACGCGGCTGACTCGAACGAGGCTGCTTGCTCCGACCCGGTGTTTTGGCAGCACCACGACCACGACCGCTGACGTGAACGCCGTCCTCCATGCTCGCGCGCTCCTTGCGACCGCCGCTGCTTGCCCGATGAGGCGGTGTAGGTGAAGGCGGCATGTTGGACATGCCCGGTCTCATGCCTGGACCAGGTCCGCCGGCTCCAGGTGGCATGTTGAAGTGTGGTGGATAGGGTTGATACATATCGGGCGGGAAGGGCGAGCTTCGATGGTGAGGATCGTTGAGATCGATGCCCATGCGTGCCTGTTGTTCGCGGTGATGCATGCGCGCCGCACGCTCCATCTCGGCGGCTGCGTACGGATCGAATGGCATCATGCCCATGTCCATCCCGGGGTGCATGTGACCTGGCGGCGGGGGCGGGAGGGCGTGTCCGTGGCGATGAGGTGTGTGGATGGATCCAGGCGTGCCCGGCGCCATCATGGCGCCTGGAGGCGGTGGTGGCAAGCCGCGCGCTCCCGGTGGCAGGTTGTACGGTACACCGTTCATGTGAGCCTGTGCGGCGGCAGCAGCAGCCGCAGCGGCCGCCTCAGGTCCGTACATGGCGTAGACTTCGGGATTCTGGAATTCGAGACCGACAGGGGCGCCGTAGAACGGGTCGTACATTCCCGGCGGCATGCCTGCGGGTCGTATCCCCATCTGCTCGATGTCCATCATAACATCGGCTTCGGCGAGTCCCTTGAGATCGGGATAGGCTACAAACTCGTCGCCCGCCTCGATTTCGCGAGCGAGCGCCTTGCGCTTGGCAGACTGTTTGCGACCAATCTTGGACCCACTGGCTCGTGTCGGCTCGGCATCTTCTGGCAGCGAAAAAGAAGTGAGCGGAATGTGCAAGCGGTCTGGATTGCGCACGAGCTCGGTCTCGAAGATCTGATGCCTTCTCGCCGGACGAGGTGCATCGAGCGTGCGCTTTTCCCGATCGAGGCGTCTGCGTTTCCGGCTGTACTCATCCATCATGTCGCGACGCAAGCCGGCGCAGCTCGAGCGCCAGATGCTCCACGCGGCGAACTCTTCTGCCTTTGCGACGCGCTCGTACTGCTTCTCCTGATGCTCGAACCACATGTCGACGAGCTCGGTGCGACGCTCTCTGCGTGTCTCGATGGCTTTTGTGAGGTGAAGGAGCTCGGGATGGGTACCTTCGAGGATCATGTCACCTTCCTTGGAGATCTCCTGGAGTCGCTCGACGTAGAGTCGGTCGCGAAGCATGGCAAAGCCGATCTCAATCTTTGTCAATGCTTCCATGGCCTCTTGGCGTCGGATGGCGGCTTCGTCGGTGGAAGTGTCGTCGTCTTGCTCGGCGGCGTCGGGCGCGGGTGTGCCGACAGCCGTATCGGGATGCTCGGCATCTGCTTGATCGGCTTGCGCGTGTTTGGCGTCGATCTCGGCGTCGGCATCGTCTGCTTGTTTCGGCTTTTCGGCGTCGTCGTCCTCGTCTGCCAAGGGAGAGGCAGCTCGCGAGGAAGAGGCGGACCCTGGAAGGCTGTCGACGAGCTGCTCTGGCTCGAGGAGACTGGTAGCACCGCCAGTGGCAGCTGCACGCTTCTTCATGGACGCAATCAGGTCGAGATCGGTGTCGCGAGGGGAGCCGGGGTGATCCGAGGCATCGTCTGCGGCGGCGTCGGCGTCTTCGGGCTCCGGGGTGATATCGGAGCTGAGACCGTCGTCATCTCCGCCACTTTGACGAAGAAGGCTGACTCGTACAGGCTTTGCGGCACCACCAATTGCGGCGGAAGCTGTAGCGGTTTCGCCATCCTCTGGGTCTGACACATCGTCGTCGTCTTGGTCGTCTTGATCGTCGTCGGCATCGCCTGCTGTTGCGAGGGCTGCGAGGGCATCGAGACCGGCTGCTGCGCCTGCATTGTCGTTTTCGTCGTCGGCGCCGCCGGTGAGTGCTGCGAGCGCTTCGGCTGCTTCGTCCTCATGGGTCTTGCTGGCAGTGTCTTCGTCATCTTGGTCTTCATCCTCTTCGTCCTCGTCGTCTTCGTCCTCGTCGTCGGAGCCACCGAGGTCATCGTCGGAGAGGGATGACGCGTCTTCGTCTTGGTTCTGCTCGTCGTCCTCGTCGGTGAGCTCGCTCTCGTCGCTAAACTCGTCGCCGGTGAAGCCGCCAGTCTTTTGAGGAGAGCTCATGTTGGAGTTGGGATCGTGTGTGGCGGTGAGCTGGGAGGCGGGGAGGTCTGCTAGATCTTCTGCCTGTGATGGCTCTAGCTGGCTGTCGTTGGATGGGTCCATGGAGACGTCTGCTGGCTCGCCTGGAGCATCTTGGTCGGTTGGAAGAGCTGCGGAGGCAGCTGCGTGCTGCGCGAGCTGATCGAGATCCATGACGTCGTCGGCGGGAGCGTCCTGATCGTCGTCGTCGTCGTAGGGGAGAGGCTCTGTTTCGGCGTCAGAGCTATCGGCAATGTCGAGATGGGTGTGTTTGGTGGCAGCTGCGGACGAGTGAGCAGCAGCAGTATTGGACTGAGAGGCGGCGCTGGATGGCATGATCAGCTGAGACTGGCAGCAGCAGAAGTGCGGCGGCGAGAATGAGCCGATGCCAGCCAGCGATGAGCGTGGCGCTGTTGCGAAATGCCAGCAACGGCGGCAGAGCGGCGGTGGAGGGCTGGAGAGGGGCTATCTGGGCTCGACAAGGTGGAAGCGTCCAGACGAGGGAGTGGAAACGGCGAGGCGGGAAGGAGCGAGCCTATCGCATGACGACAATGAAGCTCGAGGTTGCGACGGCGCGCGATGGCGTGGATGACAGGTCGGAAGAGCCGACAGAGGAAATCACACGATGATCGCCGCGAATGAGGATGCGGAATGTGTGCAGAGAGCGCGGCGTGCCCGAGCGACGATGCGGCGGCGGGCAGTGATTGAGCTGGCGGCGCTTTGCTGAACGAATTGAGCCGACAGATTGTGCCACTGAGATGGTTTTGATGATGGTGTCTGGAGATGGAGCAGGCAGCCGACGGAAATGAGTCTGTCTCGACCGGAGGACGTCGAGCTGGCCTGAGAGAATCGCGGGCAGCAAAGCCAATCCGAGCAGCGAGCAGCGAAGCGTCCTTTCTTTCTTACGATTCACGATTCAAGGGTCAAATCCGTAAAGAATTCAAACGTTGGTCCGGGCTGGCTCGACTTGTCTCTTCCGTCTCTCTCGCCCTCTCCTTCTCTAGCCTGCCTCGATAAATTCTCGGATTTCGCATCATCCAAATGTGCTCAAAGCTCAGGAGGAAGAGACTGACCGCTGGAATGCCATCGGCTCATCATAGCCAAGAACGCAGACGAGAGACGCGTCTCGACTGGACGTGGATAGCATTTTTTGCTTCCGACGTGTTCCCGGTTGACGACGTAACAGTACTCATCAGGCCAAATAATCATCTCGCACGAATGAAGCGGGGCACCCGATGTAACCACAGCTCCGTGCCGGCAGCACTAAACATACGCATCCCGTGCAGCAACTTCCGATGCGACAAGTGTTTCTGTCTGGGGTAAGATCCGTATACAAACTCGACAGCGAATCGCAAACCACCGAGCGATGCTGTAGCTGTATCGTAGCATAGCAAAGTCGTGGACAACTGGGCCCAAGCGATGGCGGCGTATCGCGTCTAGGTGGTCGACGATGAGCTTTCCGCCGGAGAACGAAAAATAAAGAGGGGCTTCTGTCATTAATTATTTTAATCCGGATGCGATACGACACTCGCACACGTTCAGGCACAGCCGACACAAGTCACTTAGCGCCGTGCTGTGCTGTGCTGAACAATTCCGCTTAAGGCGCTTGCGCGTGACGGATCTGCAACGACCGCAGCCAGGGCGTAACTTATTCTACACCACATGGCATCGTCCAGCGTGGGCCAGTCCGGATCTGGCGTCGGAGGTTAAGCTCCGTTCTTCCACACTCGACGCTGCTGCTGCTGCTGCTGCTGCTGCTGCTGTTGCCCTCGATGGGGTTGCGAAGATATCCTTGCCGGTGAACAAGCATGTCCTTCTCTCGATAGCGCTTGCTGTGCTTCCACAGCTTTCCCATCCTTCCCCTTGACCTATATTACCAGCGGTGTTCAAGACAAGGTTAGGCTCAACAACCATCCTCGGTCAAGCAACCAAACTTCCTTGCATACGATGTCGACATCTTCATCGTCGCGAACCTTGAGCTTGCACGAGCGCTATGCATCAGCTCGCCGATGCGTCAACTCGGCCTCGGTCGTGTGTGTCGCCGCCATCTTGCAGCTCGATCCTGCTCAGCAAGAGGACACGATACAGTCGTTCGACGCTTTGCGCAGGCATCTGACACAACGCATCGATCATGTCTTGGAGCAGTTCCCTCTCTTGGGATACTGCGTGCAAGCTTCGCGTTCCAAAACGCCTCGTTGGGCACCTGTCGTTCCAGCACCCACCTCGAAGGATATCCTGCATGTCGGGACACCTATGTTCCAGCAAGGCACCAAGTCGGATACGAGTGCACTGCTGTCCAAGGCCATCTTGGAGGAGCAACTTGCTTTGCCCAAGACTACGCAGTTGGAGAAAGGTCCGCTTTGGAGGGTGCAGCTCGTCCCTATCCGAACCGAGCAGGGTGATACGTCGTCTTGTTTGTTGGTGCTGGCCACCGACCATGTCATCAACGACGGGCGTGGCACGCTCAACCTCTTCCAGCTGCTACTGCAATCATCGCCATCCTCACCATCCCACCCACCCACCGCTATCGCCATCCCACCGGCCTCTGATAAGATCTTCAGCTTCCACCCATCCGCCTCCTACCTTTTGGGCGAAGTGTGGCGCGAGCTCATCCTGCCCAAACTGCCGTTCCCTAAGAAGCTCAAAGCCAAGCTCAAAGGTCCCGAGTCCTGGCCCGCCTCTTCTCCTTCTCTCGCTAGAAAACGCCGTCACTCGGATTTGGAGCAGCCCGAAGTAGTTCGAACGCCCAAAGAGTGCAAACCGGATCTCGAGCTGGTCCTCGTCTCATCGCCTCGTCTCATCAGCAACATCAAAGCGCTCTCTAAAGCTCACCTTCACCCGAAGTCTCGCAAACCAGCAACGATCCACTCGATCATCCACACTCTCTCCCTCGTAGCCCTGTACGCGGCCATCTCTCGATCCCACTCATCCGATGTCTCGCAGTTCAAGCTGAACCTCGGCTCGGCAACACCCATTTCGCTCCGAGAAGAAGAATCACCTTCCCGCAAGCGTTCCAAGAAATCTCCGCATCAACCACTTCCCGTCACTTCCGGCAACTATGTCTCCTCCTTTGCCTCGACGTATCGTCTTTCCGCCCGCGAAACTTTCTGGACTTTCACCCATCGTTTTTCCACCTCACTTTCATCCCCTCGGGGTCAACGATTGGCGAAACAGCACATGGGGTTGCTCGCCTACATCCCCGACTTCGAGACCAAACCGCGGGAAGAAGAGGATCAAGTCGAATCGGCCCTGGGAGGTGTCAGTGAATGGGATGGAAAATATCGCAATGGATGGGAAAAGTTTTTCGGCGATCGTGCTAGCAGTTCTGCTCCGTTCGATTCCGCTCTGACGGTGAGCAACCTCGGATTGGTAGATCTTTCGAACGATCTTGTGGGCGGGTGGAAGGTGGGGGGTGCTAGTTGGGCGCAATCCCACACACCGCAGGGTGAAGCTTTTGGTGTAGACGTAGTCGGGTTCACAACCCACTCCACTTCCACCCGACAGGAGAATTTGAGCATCGCTCTTTCTACTAGACCTGACGCTTTCGCCGATAACCAGCTCTTCCAGCGATTCAAACGATACCTTCGACGTCTCGTATTGGACTTTGCTGCCGAAAACGTGACGGTGGAGAAAGTCAAGTCCTCACAGGAAAGTCACCAAGAGAAGAAGCGGATCAAGTTGGACCTCACCCAGGACATCACCTTCGCAACCCTCGTAACATACCTCATCGCTTCAGAGTAAATCTGGATCACATCGTTGTACATAGAACTCTTCTCGTCGCATTCGCTCGCCTTGTATACATCCCTCGGATCCTTCACGCATTCGCATCTCAAGCATCCTTTTCTCAAATCGCATCCTCGCAATCCAATCTCACGTCCATCATCTCATTTCTCTCATTTCGGACATCACTCTCTCCACACTTCCTCACCCAATAATAACTTCACGCAGTTCAAATTAACCCCCCTTTCCCCCACTCTCACGAACTCCCGCTGGGCTTAAACGTCACCTCGCTGAGCGTATTAAACGCCTCCCTATACGCATCCAACAGCTGCTTGACGCGCTTCCTCTCGCTCGTCAACCCCTCATCCTCATACAGCAGCTCCTCGAACAGGTTCTCCTTGTAGAGACTCGCCACCAACCTGTTCTGCACCGACTCCCTGCTGAAGTTGACCAGCAGATGCATGATCGCCTTGGGCACCAGATCCTGGATGCTCAGACGGACGATGTTGAAGTAGCTCGCTATCAAGGACCGGATCAGGGTGGTCTCGAGCTCTTCGCGGTCCGAGAGCGCATACTCGTCCGACGAGATGGGGGTGGCTTCGAGATGCTTGTCGAGCGACTTCATGTCGTAGGCCGCCGAGTTGCCTTCGAGGCCCGTGCGACCGGTCATGGCGTTGGGCTTGTGCTCGCGAGCCTGGCTGTACTCCGAGATCCTCGGCTGGTGCGCGTGCGACGCAGGTGCGTGGTAGCCAGCCAAACCCGACGACGGCCCCACACCACCAACAGGCAACCCAGACGCTCCGCCGAAAAAGTAGTTGAGGAAAGTGTCTTTCGCTCCACCGCCAGCCGAAGCGCCGGCACCGTTGGCAAACCCGCTTCCCGACGCATGACCGATCGTATGGTGCATCCTGCCGTCCGGGGCCGACGCCGAGTGCGGGCGCGACTCGTTCGTCGAAGCCGATCGCTCCTTCTTGCCACCCCCCGTCTTGGAGCTGACTCCGTTGACGGTGAGGCTGCGCGAGTTGGCGCTGTCGGCATCGTCATCCGAAAACTCGTTGGACACGTCGGCGGGGTCGTCGAACGAGGTCTTGCGTCGAGACGAAGCAGGCAGCAAGGCGACCTGCTTGCGCGCCTGAGCCTCGCGCTGCTCGCGCGCAATGTTGGCCGAGTCGTGCACAAAGGCAGGGTGGTTGGTGTTGATGTAGGCGGCCTGGATCTGGATGAGACTCTGGACGTACTCGGAGGTGGGGCCGAGACGTTCGCGCAGCAGCTCGGAGACCACCTCGATGAGCTGGGCGTGCAGACGCGGAAAGCGCTGCAGCTCGGAACTGGTGCAGTTGTGGCAGATCTTCATGAGCTCCTCATATACCAGCTCGACGCAGCGCAAGCTTGGCGGCTCGAGCAGCTTGATCTGGGGCTTGATGAGCAGCTCGAATGCCGCCTCTGGGACAAAGAGCGAAGGGCGCGGACCAGTCGAGTTGCGGATGGCGGTGCGGATGTCCTGCACGGTGAGGTTGTGTGTCGGGTTGATGCTGGTGAGCGCATGCCCAAAGACGTCTTGGAAGATGTAGTAGATCCTGGCACCACCGCAGAGCTCCTTGGTCGAAATGTCGAAGGTTGTGCCGTCGATTGAGGCGACAAAGTCACGCGCAAACTGCGTCATGAGCTTGAGGACGAGCGAACCACGGTGCTGGTCTCCGAGGAAAGTGGTGTCGCCGAACGCAGCGAGCTCCTGCTGTGTCTGACCCATGAGCGTGTTGAGACGAGCCTTCATGTCGGGGAGCTTGTCGCGAATGTGGCTCATGAGCACCTGATTGAGCGTCTTGGCGAGGTATTTGGTGCCGCATCGATGTGCGATGTTCTTGTATGCGGCGTGCGAACGGAAGAATTCCTCCTCGGCCCTCCTTGCTGCAAGCATCGAGACGTTGCCATTGATGTCCTGTTGCGATCGATTGACGACACCGATGAAGCCGAGTTTGAGCGGGTAGACACGGCCGGTGAGGATGTCGAGAGCGTGGGTGCCCTGGTCCATGAGGTCGAGTTTGGTGAGCACACCAATGGTGCGACGGCCCTGAGGATCGACGGTGCGGGCGAGCTTGAGGCTGTCCGAGTTGGCGAGGTCAACATTGGCGGGGCTGACGGCGAGAATGATGCAGTTAGGCTTGGATACGTAGTCGGTGACGAGGCCACGGATCTGGCGTTCGATGTCCGAGGGCTGGTCGCCGACGGGGATCTTTGTGAGACCGGGCAAGTCGACGAGGGTGAGGTTGAGAACGTTGGGGCTGTAGATTTTGAGGTGGATGGGCAGCTTGGAGACGCCCTTGTTCTGGCCGGCTACACGGAAGGTCTCGTTCTCGATCTCGCGTCGAATCTCGTTGAAATCGGTGAAGCGCTTGTCGAGGTGGAGGAACTCGCCGTACTCTTCGTAGGTAGGTGTCCTGCTACCGCCGGAAGAGGCGTGGGAGCCACCACGCTGCATATCAGGAGCAAGGCCATCGGAGAGGTCATATGAGCGCGCAGACTTCTTGACCTGTTTGACCTGGTCGCTGGCGGAAGGAGTGTGGATAAGCTGGAGGACGAGGGGTCGGCGGGTGACAATACCGTTGCCTCGAGGCAAAAAGTCGCGGCCGACGATGGTTTCGAGGACACTGGATTTACCTGCTGATTGGGAACCGACGACGACGATCTGAGGCAGGTCGACCGAGTCACCGCCAATGGCGGTGAAGGTCTCCTGGAGCTTGTTGACGACCTGGATCAAGTCGACGTCCATGTTGGCTGAGCGAGGTGGTGGTCGTCAGCTCTGCGCGTATGCGTTTATGGGTGGTGTAAGGGGCTTGCTTTCGATGAGCAATGCACTCGAAGCGATAGCAGCGGCGGTTCGCAGTGACGTCGCGGTCGATCGCTGGCAGATGCGGGAACCGAGAGGAACGCTGTTGCTCTTTGGCAGTAGGAGGGTGCTTAGCTTGGAGCTAGGGTCCAGACTTGAGGCTTTGGGATTAGTTGACCGTGAGAGGAGCCCTTTGCAGACGACGAACGAAACGTCTCGGATGGGGTCAACGGAGGAAGTTTGCGAATCGGAGACGCAGATGCGATGAAGAAGAGGAAGAGGGAGCAACTCAAAGTGTGGAGAGACACAATCGAGAGGTTCGCGCCAAACAGATGCATCACTCGCTCAGAGCTCAAGCAGCCTGACAACCCAAGAACAAGCTGCGCTCTCTGCTGCTCAATCTCCCGTCTCTGTTGCATGTTTTCGAGCTGAGCTGCACGAGCACAGTCAGAAATTTCGCTGGCTCGGAAGCTGCTTTCTCGCGAGTTGTCGCGAGTGCCAATCATCATCGGATGTGCCTGCCAGAGAGGCTATTTGTTGTCATTTTCCGGTGTTTTTGAAACCGCGCGCGGCCGTGACACAGCGAAAGACGGGAGAGCAACACTTTTTGGCCGACATTCCTCTTCTCGTCTCAGTCAAAGTGGTCGATCTGACATTTTCTTTGCCCTTGTTTTCAGGCAATTGGCACACGAGACCCGATCACTTTGGCGCAACGGTTTCTCATTCATTCATGATCAGGTATACTGGGACCCTTGATCCATCGATTCACATTCATTGGATCGGCATCGGCGCTGTCCTCTCGACACGCGGCTATATCCGGATAGTACATGCATCACTCGACAGATCGCAATCCCAGCTGAATGCTTAAAAGCCTCGCACAACCTCTTCTGACGCTGCCCTTGCACATCTCGCCCAGCCTGCCCAATGCGGTTCAGTCATCTATGTTCCGTGCTCGCCCACGAGGACGGGCTCTGCGCTCACCATCGGACATCACACAAGCCTTGACAACGACATTTCACATCAAATCTAGCGATACTGTGTATTGATTTCTTTCGGTTTTTCGATATGCACAAGTCAGAGACCAACGAGCCGCACGCGGTGCAGCAGATCAGCCGCACACACGCACAGCTCTGCCTCGACTCTTGAAGAAGAAGAAAAGGGAGTTGGGGTGTCCGATTGGCAACCAGAACGTGCAGCCTAGAGGCTACAGCGCATTGCAGCGTGGCTCACCGCTTAGGCAAGGAATCCCTTGACGTGCTCGGTGATGAGCGTCTTCATCTTGCTGAAGAGCTCCTCGTTGGGAACACCCTTGGAGATCTCCGAAAGAAGAGCGTCCTCGGTCGAGAGCTTCTCACGGAACGAGTTCTCCCACTCGACGATGCGGTCGGCGGGGATCTCATCGACAAGACCGTTGACACCGGCGTAGATGATGGGGATCTGGATCTCGGTGGCCATGGGCACGAACTGGGGCTGCTTGAGCAGCTCCACCAGACGCACACCACGGTTCAACGTGGCGCGAGTGGAAGCGTCCAAATCGGAACCGAACTGAGCGAAGGCGGCAAGCTCACGGTACTGGGCGAGCGAGAGCTTGAGCGAACCAGAGACCGACTTGTACAGCTTGGACTGGGCAGCCGAACCGACACGCGAGACCGAGAGACCGACGTTGATAGCGGGTCGGATACCCTTGAAGAACAGCTCCGACTCGAGGTACACCTGACCGTCGGTAATCGAGATAACGTTGGTGGGAATGAAAGCCGACACGTCACCACCCTGGGTCTCAATGACGGGAAGGGCGGTGAGCGATCCACCACCGTGGGTGTCGTTCATCTTGGCAGCACGCTCGAGCAGACGAGAGTGGAGGTAGAAGACGTCACCGGGGTAGGCCTCACGACCGGGGGGACGACGAAGCAAGAGCGACATCTGACGGTAGGCGACGGCCTGCTTGGACAAGTCATCGTAGATGATGAGAGCGTGCTTGCCGTTGTCACGGAACCACTCGCCAATGGCGCATCCCGAGAAGGGAGCAAGGTACTGGAGAGGGGCGGCCTCGGAGGCGGTGGCGGCGACAATGATGGTGTACTTCATGGCGTCGTTCTCCTCGAGGACCTTGACGAGCTGGGCGACGGTGGAACGCTTCTGGCCGACGGCGACGTAGACACAGTAGAGCTTCTTGCTCTCGTCCTGGCCGTCGTTCCATCGCTTCTGGTTGAGGATGGTGTCGATGGCGACGGCGGTCTTACCAGTCTGACGGTCACCAATGATAAGCTCACGCTGGCCTCGTCCGATGGGCACCATGGCGTCGATGGGCTTGATACCGGTCTGCATGGGCTGGTTGACCGACTGACGGGGGAGAATACCGGGGGCCTTGAGCGAGGCACGGCGACGCTCAGCGGCCTCGATGGGACCCTTGCCGTCGATGGGGTTTCCAAGGGCGTCGACGACACGGCCGAGCATGTTGGGGCCGACGGGCACGTCGACAATCTGGCCGGTACGCTTGACGGTGTCGCCTTCACGGATCAGACGATCGGAACCGAAGATGGAGACACCGACGTTGTCGGCCTCGAGGTTGAGGCACATGCCTCGGACACCAGAGGAGAACTCAACCATCTCCTCGGCCATGACGTTGCGGAGACCGTAAACACGGGCGATACCGTCACCGATGGTGAGGACACGGCCGGTCTCCTGAACATCACCGCCGGCGGAAGCGCCCGAGATGCGCTGCTCAAGGATGGAGCTGACCTCGGAGGCGGCGGGCTTGGCGGTGGCGTAGGTGCGGACGGCGCTGGCAACCGATCGGCGGGCCTGTTGTGGGTGGGAACGTGTGTGCAAGAGAGGACATGTCGAGGAAAGTCAGTACAAAAAATCCCAAGCAAGGACTGGTGCTGGCGAAAGGAATCGGTGGACGAGATGTGCGCAATGAGAGCCAAAACATGTTGAGGACACGAGGCGGGATCCAATTATTTCATGGCTTCAACAATCAACAGTCGCTGCAGAGATTCGAATCGACGAAGCTGAGAAGCCATGAAGTATGGAAGACAGGCATAGAGTGGTCGATGGTAGGCCTTAACTGCTGGTTATCTTGCCGGACGATGGTCGATGCACACCTCTCTTGCATCGAATGTTGCGACGATGACAGCTGCTGCGAGGCTGCGTGATGAACTCGTGTAGCTTGTGTGGTGGTGCATTGAGACTTGGTCGCCGCTCGGATCATGGAGTTGTGGATGCGAGTGCGCTGGTTGGTGCCAATGGTGTCGCTAGCTGCAGATGTCGAGTTGACCTGGTGATGTGCAATTGAGACTGTGTTGCTGTGGATTCATGATGCCGAGAGAGTCGTCGATGCTTCGTGTTCGGACGTGCACTGCACCAATGGTAATCCTCCGTCGTATCGACTAGCTCTGGCTCTTCATTGCGCGATCCACACCACCATTTGATGCAAGGACGAAGAAAAATATATACGTACCACAGGGACGGCGGCCGATCGGGCGAGGTTGGCGGTGGCAATGCCGGCGGAACGAGCAAGCATCGCGGCTACTTTTTGTGAGGAAGAAGGGGGACGATGTTGGGGGTAGTGAGAGGTGGTGAGGAGAAGAAAGAGGAGAGGAGCAATAGGCAGGCAGTGGACGCACACACACACGCTCACACTGAGAGGGCGAGAAGAATCGACGAGTCTGGGCGCGGGCGAGCCAGCGGTGAGACGAGCGAGCGAGAGAGATCGCAGCGCCCTCTGGCGGCCAAGCCCAGCCGGGTGGCAGCACAGACGGGCAAAGAGAGTCGGAGAGAGCGAGAGCACGCCCCGCCGTTGCATTCGTCACATATTCAGGCTGGAGAAAAGGATCTTCTTTTTTGGATCTGACTGGCCAGCCAGCTGTTTTTCCAAATTTCCGATTTCGGACAACGGCACTGGAGCAGTAGCGTCGCAGAGCCTCGAGCGGATTGGTTGGATCGTTCAACTCGAAATCCAACGCGGCTTTCGCAGAGAAGAAAAATCGATTCGAATACAAATTTGGACCAGCAAAGGAATCGCGACATATTAAAATGGGTTGCCTCTTCATCAAGTTGAATACAACCTTGCCTTTCAAAATTGTGCTTGCAGGAAGCGACTCTGAAACGGATCCGACCTGTGTTTTCATACTGACCAGAGAGGCAGAGGGCCACGGTCAGTCAGTTCAAGTGCTTGGGCCGCTTTCTTCTTGTCCGATCGTTCCGTGCTCAACCGATATACAGCACGGCTGCAATAAGCGGCACACTCTCGACACTGTGTCAGGTAGATCAGCATGTCAGATTGTCTATATACTTCCAGTTCTTCAAGACGATGAGCAACCGACGAGTGGTCGACCACCCTGCTGCGTTGGAGCTATGTGTCAGACGTGGACGTAATGCCGTGAGAACAAGGTCGCTGTGAGCGAGGCCGATCACTCTGCAGGAAGGAGGATATGTCCACGTTGAGGCTTCGAGACAGCATCACCGCAAATTCTCAGGATCTGATATCTGGCGCTCGTTGTACCGTGCGAGTGGAAGAAGTCATTTTCGAGGCCGCGGTCAGTCTCGAGCGAATGTCACTTTTTTGTCATTTGGGTTCAACACCATTCGCCTCTCCACAACATCATCATATCTTTTGTCGTCGCCGTCGCCGTCGCCGTTGCATAAACGATGATCTCGCTTAGGACGTCCCTGTCCTCAGCCGCAAGCTCTACCTTCAAAGGTAAGGCCAAGCAGGTCACCGCTCCCGTCGTCTCCTTCATCACCCACAGCCGGAGCATCTCATCGTCCATCCCCTCTGGTTCAACCGCGACGACATCCTCCGAACCGTCCACATCGACGCTTCCTCCCAGCCCCATCCCCATCGACTCCAACTCGCAAGCCCTGTCCCTCCTCAAATCGCAACCCTCTCACTACGCAATCGCCTCCATCACCGGTCGAACCTACCTCGTCTCCAAAGGCGACCTCGTCACCGTCCCTCGGCTCAAGGACGTCCAAGTCGGCGACGTCCTCCTCCTCGACAAAGTTCACGAAATCGGTTCTCGCGACTACACACTTCGTGCACAGGACACGCTCAACACCCGTCGCATCTCCACCTCCGTCGATCTGCCCCCCTCCTCTCCAACCACCGTCACTACCGGACCCTCCCCCTCCATCCTCCCACAACCACGACGACTCTTCACCCGTCTATCCTCATCCCCACTCATCCCGCTCTCCAACACCTGGTCTTCCCGGCTCATCCCCAACGGACTCGCTCACATCGGTGCATCTCTTCCCCCATCCACCGTCAAGATTACCGCCGTCGTAACCGAAAACACAAAGGGCGCACTAGAAAAGATCCTCAAAAAGAAACGCAGAAAGGGCTACAAGAAAACAGTCCAGCACAAACAACCCTACACACGCATCCGCATCGAAGACATTCAAATCCAACCATCCACCTAATCCCCCCCACACCATCTTGTACACTATCAATCCCAGTTCAATACCTCACACGCACATTCAGGATAGAGACCCGGCCACGCACCTATTTGACGCTGCATGAGCAAGTAAAACCCCGTGTTCCAAAGATTATAAGGTGACTGTAAAATAGATGAGATGCTCCATACCAACCACCACCCCTTCACCCGAGCTGCTCACCAACGCTCGATTCAGACCCGGATGCCTGCAGCGCCGCGCGCTTGGCAGCCCTCTTCCTCCTCGCATACGCCGCCACCTGCGCACCCAAGTCAAACGGGCTGTCCGGCACCGGCGTCGCATCCAACCCCAGCGCAGCGGCACTCGCCTTGGGCGTCGACTTTCTCGAACCCGACTCCCAAACCCCCGTCGCCGCACCCGTCCCGTTCTCGGGCACCGACTCGAGCGCCGTCCGCTCAAACGAGAACTCCTCGGAATGTCGAGATATGCTCTCATCACCGCTGTCAAAAGAGTTGCTCGATGCTGACGATGCAGGTCGTGCTTCCAACGCCTGCAATGCCCGAGCGCGAGCCAGATCGAGCGATGAGAGAGACCGACGGGCCAGAGCCGGTTGTGCGTGACTGAAGCTGTGTGAGCCACCGAACGTGCCTGTGTCGCCTGCCGTGCCCAAATCGAGCGGCGAACCCAGCGCCAGAGCAGGTACAGCATCCAACGATGGCGCAGAGAATCCCCGCTGCATCGTCGTGGCCTCCGCTGTCCCCGCAGCAAAGGCAAACGCAGAGTCATGTCGTTGATCGCGTACAGCTTTGCGCGACGTGATCACATCGTTGAGCTCCGACATCATGCCCGTCGGATCCCTCGTGTGACGATGCGACGCCTTTCCATTGGCTTGCTTTCCTTGCTCCCGCTGCTCCCTCTGCAGCTCGATACGCTGTGCGCGACTCAACTTCGCCCCACCCGCTGCAAGCCCCGAGAGCCCAGCCATACCTGCGATGCTCTCAAACACCTGCTCCAATCCTGGCGGCGGCAGCGAGTTCGGCGAAGTGGAACTCAACAGCAGCGCTGCGAGGTCGCTGTCGTCTTCGTCGTCGCTCGCGTCGATAAGTTCACCGTGTCCAGACCGGCTTGCCGACCTCGGTAGGAGATCATCGCTTAATGCCTGTCCTCCGTGATCGCTGCCGAGCGAAGGATCTGCCGCGTCCTCGTCCGCCTCCAGTGGTGACTCCAGTTCGCGTGCAGCGTTCGACCTCGACACATCCACTTCGTTCTCCGTGCTCGGCTGTGGACTCGGTGACCTGCGTTTCTCCTTTCGGACGAGCTGAGTTGTCGCCTCCCATTCAGCAGATAGCCCTAGGAAGTCCTCACGCATCGATTCGAGCATGGTCTCGAGCTGCACGGTAGCGTCCGCGTCGTCGTGGGCATCCTCGGCTCGCGCCAAGTCTCCGTCTACGTTGCCATGCAAGCCCGGAGGTGGTGTGACTCGGATCTCCTCGGCGCACACTCGAATCTTGGACTGCAACGATCGAAGGGAAAGCATCATGGCGTGCAGTCGGTCCTCGATGCCCGGATGTCCGATGATAGACTGCGTACTGGTATCGCCATTTGGCGCCGTCAAAAGTCCATCCCGAGATATACCTCGGGCACTCTCGTCGGCCCGTCCTGCACCAGCGATCTGAGTTTTGGAAGTCGAGACCAAGTCCGGCCCCATCTCATTGGTGATTGTGTCTGCGACCGTCTTGCGGTGAGCCTGCAATGCTAACCTTGCCGATGCAATACTCGATCGAGCCAGCGTCCAGTACTCGTCGCAAGGTAAGCTGCTGCCGTTCGGCAAATCTACCTGTGCGTCCATCTTGAGATTGAGCGCCAGAAGATAGCAGAGCCAACGTCGTCGAGCCCCGTGCATCCACTCAAACTTGGCCTTGATGCTCAGCAGAGACAATAAGTCCGCTGATTCCGTGCGATGGAGAAAAGACGTGGATGTATCGACCTGCGAAAATATGGAGTTGGGTCCCACAATCGAGCTGCGCTTGGTCGCTCTCGATTGCGGGCTGGTGGCAGCCGAATACGTTTGGGCAGAAGAGTGAGGCGGGCTGAAGGTCGAGGAGAGTGCCGATGCGTTGCGCATCACGGGCGATGCCGCTGATGAGTTCGAGTTGGACACATAACTGAGACGCTTTGCTGTGGCCGACTCGTTAGGTCCGGACGCTCCAGCCACCTTGTCGGACACGTACCTGAGTCTCGGCGACCGATGGTGGCCCCCATTGCCAGATTCCGAGACCAGGCTGCTGCGACGTGAATGGGTGTGCGGATGCCGGTCCAGAATCGAGCCTGCGTCAGAGACGAGCGAGAGCCTCTTGTGATTGACCGCGCCCACTTGCGGGCTGAAATCGGGGCGACCGGGCGTGTTGCCGTGGCCATCTGCACCGGCCGACCGGGCGCTGCTGCCGAAATTGCGCGGTGTGGTCGCGAACCAAGCTTTCCGATCCTGCTCGACGTCATGCGAGCTTTCGGAAACGCCCGAAACATCTCCGTGGCTCCACGCGAGCGATGCGTCGCCTCCGACGCCCTGGACGTCTTCGCGTGGCGCATCATCCAGAGCGTAGAGGTCGTGCAGCAGGGCGAGCTCTTCGGCATCGACCATCTCGCGCGGAGGCTCATCTGTAGAAGCAAAAGTGGCACCGACACTGTCCAAGGCTGCAATGATCGTCTTGCGCAATTCGACGAGTCTCTGCGGCGCTGATCTAGCCGTTGCAAGGGTCGATGTGCTCTGCTCCGTCATTGCCTTGTGGGTGAGATCGAGATCGCCCATCTCCAAGGCAACAGCCGGGGAGGCACGGCCAGAAGGACCCAAGGGCGACATACGGCCATTGGACAAATTGAGTGACAAAGGGCGTTGTGTGTGGCGACGAACAATAGGGGCGACGTGGCCTCCATTTGAGAGGGAACGGCCCAGCTTGCCGTTCGAGGGGGCGGGCGAGGCAGCAAGCGATCGACGCTGGCGAGCGGGAGAAGCAGTATTGGACCAGCTGGAAGCTGCCTCGATCCTAGAGATGGGAGGGAGCGGATGCGTGAGTTTGTAGCCGCGCGAGACGATCTCGACCTCTTGAATGGCACTGATGGCCTTGTTGATGGCGATGTCAAACCATTGCGCGGATTTGATGAGACCAGCAATGTCTTTCAATACAGCGCCCTGCAGAAACGATCTTTCTGTTCTGCCGAAGACCTGCGTCGTAGAGAGGTTTCGCAGCGAGGATGGCAACCGGGCGGGGTCGATGTGACTTGGATGCGAGAGTGTAAACACGATCTCGTCGTCCATAGAGCTGTGTCCGAGGAGAATCACGAAGCCCGAGGCTAGGCAAGCAATCAAGAACAGGAAGGAGAACCATAGACGCCACGATGCGCTGATGGGTGGCAGAAGAAAGAGGATGGACAGCGTGGCGACGTTGCGCGCCAGCCGCCCTGCCGAGTCGAGTCGAGGAAGGCGCTCGAGAGTAGCGTCTTTGTTGTCAGGACCATCTGTTGCCGGTGCGTCTGCTGGCTCGATGTAGCACCGCTTAGAAATGGGCCTCGTGAGGCGACGACGCCCATGTACACGGTCTGATACGCGATCGCTTTTGGCGGGTGGCGCTCGATCGTTGAGCTGGGTCTGAAATGGCGGGCTTGACTCGTAGAAGGAGATCGAGAGGGTGGGTGTGAGCAGAAAAGAGGAACAGATGGCGTACTTGAACTTCTCGATGAAGTTGGTTTGAGTGTTATCGGCTGAAGTGACGGCACTGCTCTGCCCTGGATCGGACCGGTTTGGCTCACTTGCATCGGCCAACAAGCTTGTTGGTGGCGGTCCAGAGACCTGATGGGCAAGCATAGTGATCGTTGGCCTCAACAGTTGTAGGATGAGAGCGAGAACGGTGCTTGCGAAACGTAATGCAAGCTCGGCTGGTGGAGCTTGCTGCAGGCCTGGAGGCGACCTGTGTGGCTGTTCTGTGGCGGAGGTGGACGGTCCTGAGCTTTGCGCTGGGCCGGCAGTGCCTCCGGCCGGTATGAGTTGCGGTGCACGTTGTGACGACACGGGTTCGGCGAGAGGAACTGCAGTGGGTGTCGAAGCTGACGACTCGAGCTTCGCGCCAGGTGTTGTTGTTGATCGATAGGGTGGAGCGGAAGGATTGTGCTCTTGAAGGCGTGGGGTGAAAGGCTCTGGCGTTGTACTGTCTCGATTGTGGTCATCGGACTCGGATGCATGCTCTGACTGATTGGCATCGTGGAGATATTGGTCCAGGGGAGACCCACCAAAGATCACTGGCTCTGCCATGGCGTCTGGGCGAACGGTTGGGCCGTAGTCTACGTCAATCCGGTCCTGTAGTCGCCGAGCGCTAGGGATGCTGGGCGGGTGCGGTGATATCTACAATCCAGTGATGGCAAGCTGCAGCTTGGCAAGATCGCTCCCGCGATGGGCTGCAGACCACCTCGGTGAGGGTGTGGTCAGGTTGAGACGATGTTGAGGTCGACGATGACGTTGCCGAGTGAGATTAGAGGCACGGAAGAGATGAAGCAGCCGCTCGGCTTCAGCGCATCCTTCCAGGCCGTCCAGGGAACGACAAGAGTTGTCGCGATGCGCCCGCGAGGTGGTCTGACGGCGAGTCCGTGTGAGCGCTCGGATCGATGCCGACGTGTTGAGCGTGCCTGTTCTCCTCGTCTGCAGCAGGAGCTTGGACGGGTGGCACGAGTGAAGCGAGTCGGGACCCTTCCGGCTCTAAGACGGGAGCGATCGAAAGGCGCAGCGTGTTCACCGTGCGATGCGCCTTTCTGTCTGCGGCGGCCTTGCCGGTATAGCGATGCGAGGATGGTGTGTCTGACAGCGTCGTTGACTGAAGAAGGATGTGAGGGGAAGGCGAGGAGCGCGCTTGTCGTGGCAGGTCCGGAATGGTCAAGGAGAAGCGGTCGATTCGCTCCGCAGTCTTCCTTTTCGGGATCAAAGTCGACTCGGGAGTGGAGATGAGCTATCGGGAGTGTTGGTCTCTCGTGCGCTGCAGCGCTCACGGTTTCGGTTTCACGCTCGTAAAGGACACTCGCAAAAGCCAAATGGTGTAGCGAGGTGGCCCGAGGAAGCCATGCAAGTCGTGCATGCACAGAGGCGATCGTAACTCACAATACGTTACCAGCCCAATCGCTCTCGCGTTCGATTTCGGGCCAGAAAAGTAACACGGCTCGCCTCTCGGTCCGCGTCTTCTCCAGGCCATTGACACGGTCACAAGGCGCTAAGCGAGCGAGCGGCGTGTGCCAGCCACAAGAAGAACGCGTCGAGAAGCAGCGAGCGTGCAGCAAAGTTAGAAAGAGGCGGTTGCGGTGAATTTAGAGCTCTCCTCTAAATTCATCACGAGAAGCTGCGCCCGCTTCCCACAGATCTGAACACCGCGGCGGAGCAGAGCCATGCTGCTGGTTTCTAGTATTGTAGTGACTGCGTGACTTCTAAGCACATTGCTGTGTAAGCTCACGTAAGTCAGGATTCCTGCCACCCAAGAACACAATCAAAAATCAAAAAGTAAGCGTCCGGACAGCCGGAATCGAACCGGCGACCTATGGTGCTTTTCCGTTAATACCGGATTAGGGTTTCCAATTACAAACCATCGCTACTTCCAACTGAGCTATGTCCGGCAAGGGTGTGCGAAGGCAAGCCAGCTGCATACATAATCCACTACGTTGACGGCGTGGAACTGCTCACGTAGCTGAATGGTCTTAGCTGGTCCACTGTTTGGTTGTTGGGTTCTGTGCAAGAACTGTTCGTTGACGCCACAAGCGCAGTGCGCAGATGGATTTGGACATGACCTACGAACGAAAGGGTATCAACAACCACACAGCCGGACACAGCAGCGGAGTCCCGACGCGATACTGTAGTTGTCCGAGGTGATCGTGGACGGACCCTGAATAACGACCGAGTTACCAGTGGTTCCACGTCTGATGATCTGGCTCAGGGAAAGCGCCTCTGGAGGAGTGACGCTGCTCCTAGACCGTACACTGTACAGGACACAGGACGCTGCTGGCGTTGGAATCGCAGAGCGTGTCCGAACCAGCCTGCAGACTACACCGAGTCTGGATTCCTGCACGCCGCCACGCTACGGAGGGCTTGGCGATCTGTCTGACGTGCGGACCGGGTCGCGTTCCGCTGGATCTACGACGCCGGCGGACACGATACCGCCTACCTGTGGTTCGGACCTGACTCGACAGCATCTACTGTGCAGTACGTGCCCCTTCTTGAGAGCACAGACGGTGACCCGGAAATGGGTGAAGAGAGGGTTGGCTGCAATCGCATTTCATGTACACAGCCTTGCATTCATGTCGCTTGCGAGGGTAGAAGCATCTGTCGCGGAATTCCACGAAAAAAATGCCGAACCAAAAGGGGGCGATCCATAGAAAACGGATTCGGAGCATGGTACTCAAGCAGCAGCGATCAGGGTCGAGGCTACCCGGTGCGGCGCGGAGTGTCCTACCGCTCGCGTTGGAAGGCAGATCCAGAATCGAATCCGCCCAGATGCGCGGGTCACATCGAACACAGAGTCGCGCTCCGACAAGGATTTGGCGCCGGTTGACAGGCGACGCGCCAAGGCTGTGCACGCCCAGCTTGTGAGCGCCAGACAGATGCTTCGAGAAGACAAATCTCGCATCATGTTACAGTACTGTATAGAAGATGGCGGCAGCAGATTCTGGCTCGACCAAGAGGAGGTAGCGAGCGAGGCTGCAAACAGGAAGACAGACAGCGGATTGCATACGAGGCTGCTCGCCAGTGTCGGCCAGTTTCGAATCTGCTTGGACCGGGATTGCGCACCAATCGTCTGGCTTCTGGTCTGGCTTCTGGCACGCGCACACGCACCTGCACACGCAGCAACACGCATCACACACTCACAGACTTGACCGACGCACCAGCATCCAAGATCGGCTGGCTGCTGAGTCCTCTTTTCTCTTGATTTTTGGAATTAATTTCGCACAGAGTCGACGCTGACTTGGCTCTGCTGTGCTGTGTATTTGCCTCGGGGAGCTGCACCGCACATCTTCGCGTCGATTGGGTGTTGTCGTCGTCCACATTTTCGACTTGGCTGGGGCGTGCGGATGTGCCATCGACAGTGACACCGCTGCGTCGCTGCTCATCATCATCATCATCGTCACAACACCCTCGCTACCTCCTACTCGACTTGTTCATTTGCAGACACGCTGCTCGTTTCCGGCTCTTCTTTGCACAACACCACCACCTCGCCACTCCTTTGTCCCTTTTCCTCGATCCCGGTCGCTTCCACGCATCACACGACTCCCGACCGCTTTTCGCAACGTGAGCCCAAGCTGCCTTGTCTCGCCGCTGATTGGCTCTGGCTCTTCGGATCGATCTACGATTTGCACGCACACCCGACACTTCCTACAACGGTCGTGCCTCGAACTATCGAGCTTCACTGTCCAGGGGGGGGGAGTTCGAGACAACCTTAGTTCCAACGATATAGCACCTCCAAGTCGTCAACCCCGTGCGGTACTCTCTTGCTCTGTGAAACTTGAGGCAGCTCGTCTCGTCCAGGCCTCGGCGTCGCCTTCTACCGTGGCTCGGTCACGACCATGTCAGAAAAGCCCGGCTTTCTCTCTCCATCCATGTCGCCATCCTCGTCTTCCTCCGGCGGCAACCCGCCACCGCCCTACGGCTTCCACCACCTTCCTCATTCTCCCACAGGCTCGCGCACTCCTAGCCGTCCCGGCTCTCCACCACATGGCGGCAGCGTTCCCTCTCCCGGCGGCATCCCCGGCACCTTTGTCCTCAACCTCGGCAAATTTGGCGGCTTCTACATCATCCGCCTCCCGCCTTCCGTGCAAAGGGTGCTCTCCCTCCTCCTGCGCAAGTGGAAGACGCTCATCTTTGTCGCCCTCTTCGGCACGCTCGCCGCCTTTGGCCTCTTTGGTGCCATGTCCACAGAGTGGCGCGAGATGACCTACTACCGCGTCGATCCGTATCCTGTCGTACCCGCCGCGCACAAGGCTGGTCCCAGCGCCTCCAGTCCCTTCCACCCGCCCTCGCGGCCCATCACTCCACCAAAATTCGGCGCCTGTCTCGGTCCCAAGGGCGTCCCCATCCCACGAGCACCCGCAGAGCTCTACGAGACGCCCTCCGCCCATCCCATCCCTCTCGTCGGCAGCTACGAAGCCGCCGGCATGGACTTTGGCAAGTGCATGACCTACCGCTCCAGATACCAGATGTATTCGGACGAAGCGCTTAACATCACCTACCGCAAGGACATCTCCGAGCTCGAGCCCTTCCTCGCCAAGGTCGAGGACTACGACGACGATCCTGACAACGTCAAGCCCATCAAAGCTAAGCCCAAAACCTCCACCCTCCTCAACGGCACCACCACCACCACCAACTCGTCCTCCACCAAGATCGACGCCTCGTCCCAGCGCGAAAAGATTGACCCTCTCTACGGCCCGAGAAAGCCAGACAAGATCAGCGAAAAAGAGTGGGAAGGTCGTCTCCGCGACCGTCTTTGGCGTGCCAACGTCATGAGCGAAGAACTCGGTCCCTCGAGCTTCCCAGACTGGCGCGCCCTCATGGACGCTTGCTATCAGAAGCGTCTACACGACCGCGGCATGGCCGGCGGTGTCGACCACTTTGACCCTCACAATCTGCCCACCACCGAAGAGCCCCACACCAGTGGCAGCCGTCCGCGTGTCTTCACCACACCAGAGACCAAGCGAACTGCGGTGGTGATGCGAGCCTACGAAGGATATGTCTGGCGCGAGGACGACATCCTCAACCTGCGGGCCCTCATCAGCGAACTCTCGCTCAACAATCCCAACACGCCCTACGACATTCGCATCCTCATCGAGGTCCATTCGGACAACCTCGCCGTCTTCACCTCAGAATGGGACCGTCTCAACGTGCTTCGGTCCAGCGTACCGCGCGAGTTCTGGGGTCTCGTCGAGCTTTGGACTGAGGATGAGATGCGCGCTCTCTACCCAGGGCTGCCCGGAACGTTCCTCAACAACATGTTTGCGCAGACCTCATACCGATCGTGCCTCATGGCATTGCAAAAGTTCTACCTGGACCACCAGGAGTACGACTTCATGTACAACTGGGAGATGGACGTACGATACATCGGCAACTACCTTGACTTTTTCGAGGGCATCGAAGAGTACTCGCGCAACGAAGCGCTTCACTCTGGCATGGACAAGTACGACACCTGGCTCGTGCGCAACGTCACCGTCTCGGAGGACAACTGGCGCGACAACAGCAGCATCGCCATCGGACGCGGAGAGGAGGCGGATCTCATCACACTCGGCCCCATCTTTGACCCACGCGGCTCGGGATGGTTCTGGGAGTATGACGTGCAGAATTACCCGCCAGGGAAGAACACCGATCGACGAGCCTCGATTGGCACCAACATGCGCATGAGCCGCGCTCTGCTCGAAGCCATGAATGTGGTCAACGCCGAAGCCAAAAAGTCGTTGCATTGCGAAGCCTGGCCGACGACGCTGGTGCTCCATTCGCAACTGCCCATGTCGCACGACCACTCGTTCTATCCAGAGGCCGGCTTCACCCACAACCTGCCGCTGCCATTCAAGGGTGTCTTTGTGCCGCATCCGGTCTACTTCCGCCACATGTGGGAGCCCGAGGTGCTGCACAACCGCATCAATCGACCCGATTTCTACAAGAAGATCAACGAAAAGGTGATGCGCGACAGTTCGTTCTACTATGACGGTCAGCACAGCAGAGAAGTGTACGTGGGATGGAAGGAAAAGGAGAATGTTTGCCGTGCGCCCATGCTGTTGCATCCGATCAAGCGGGTCAACTAGCCAGTTGGTCGGCCATTTCGCATTCCTTCCCTGTCCCTCTGTCCCTCTGTCGTCCTTTGCTTTCCCTCTTAATGACCGACCGGCTTCCTCGTGCTCGCATATCCATCTTACATACCCACACGAGGCGCATCGACCCGTCTCGTCGATCTGTCTCCCTTTGACCTGACTCAGAACCTGCATGCAGACCCCTGAGCGCTTTGGATGGAAATCCCACTCACACACTTTCAACTTCTTCCAAAAGGTCCCCTTTGCTTGCGGCTGCAGTCGGTCGAAGAAAGGCTCAACGCCGTTCGCCCTCGCCGTGACTTCCTTCGTCGATGCATAGATCCACTGCATCGTTTCCAGGAGTGGCTGACACCCCTCGATCAGCGCCTTCGTCTCATACGCTTGTACCTGGGCGTCTGCACTTCGGCCAACCCTGTTTCTTCAGCTTACAATTAGCATTGCCGCGCCGGCATCCATGTAAAACACGACTTCCTCCTAATCTTTTCCGCTCGAGGCACTGCCCTCAGGCATGTAAATAGCTACATTCCAACATTAGCAACGAACATTCAAGATGACAAGGTATATCACCGCTTACCTGTTCGCTCGAGAGTGATCCGCCAGACCATGCAGTCATGTGGATACATCAAGGTGTTGGACAGATGAATTCGTTTGAAAATGTTAGATTTGCGAAGCCAGGCGCTCTGGGCGGATCCAGCTTTGTAGGTGGAGGTTGGGCACATGACGAGTGTATTCAGTTTTTCTCTTGACCGCATTGGGCTTGACGTTGCGAGTTCACCCTGCACAGCGGAGCCAGTCACCTTTTGTGGCCGATGCTTTGTACGATTGCTCTCGGTGCAGGAAGGTGATGAAAGCTTCATGGACATTCACATTGCTCAGAGGCATCTTGGCATCTCGGATGCGGAAGCGCTGATTGAGAAACGCGGAGCTGCCGAGGACACCTGCAACCAACACTTGTCGGCAAAGCCGCGTCCCGTTGTATTCCAAAACAGGTGTTTTTCCCGTGTGACCGTCGAGGTGACGTGCATTTCGAGACTTGGTCCTGATGCTGAGCCGTGCACGAGACACCGCGGACAGGCTTTCTCCAACATCTTCGACGTCAATCACATCCTCAGACTCTCGTCGACGCTAGAGTGCGTTCCTTTGCCGATCTCTGTCTGACGACCTCGGATCGTCCGACAACCACCAGAGTCTCTTCACCCAGTCGCCGACGCTTGACAGCACATCGACCATGAAGAGCAGCGAATAGAGCTCGATAGCTCTCACCCTACCGTGACCGCCGCGACCGCTGCACCTCCCATCGGCGGACCCGACCTCTCGGCGTGTCTCGAGTGCAGCGTGGATATATCAGTGTGTCCGCTGAGCTCGTATGTATCCCTCGACGGTCAAGATGGACGACGCTTCATCACTGCAAAAATCCAAAGCGCAGTGGCTCTCTGCTCTTGACGAGGCGCTCGACAACTTCCGCAAGCTTGTGGCCGAATCCTCTTCCAAGGCATGGAAGCCTGTCAGTCTCGTCGGAAGTAGCCCGGCAACACCAAACCTCGCATCACCTTCGTCGTTTCCAACTGCTGCGACACCGTCTACATCACAGAATACCTCAGCCTCGCTAACGCCGAAAGGCAGCACATCGAGGGGCAAGGCGCGTGAAGCATCGTCCTTGCGGCATGTCGAATCCATCGAGGACGTCTCCACTCGATATTATTCCACTGCCTCTCCTCCCAAGCTAGCAGACCAATCCCAGGCGGCACCGCCAGCTTCCAGCTCGGAGCCCTTTCGCCTTGGACGCTTTCGACCTGATCATGTCGCTGTACATCGCAAGAGCTCCAAGGGTCCTGACGTATATCGGGCCGTCTCAGAAGTCGCTTATGAAGGCACGGCCGACCTCACAGCTTTCCGCTCCGTTCTACAGACCTCGGAAACTCGAGCTTCGTGGGACCGGCTCGTACAGTCCGCAGAGCTCGTCGAGCAGCTCGATCCCATCACCCGTATCAACAAGGTCCAATACAGGCTGGGCTGGCCTGCAAGTCCCCGAGACGCTATCGTCATCAACAGAACTTTGGCAGACGAATCTACACTCATCGACATTGCCACCTCGCTGCCACGGTCTCCGGATGCACCTTCTTACCTCCGTCCTGCACCACCTTGTGTGCGGTCCCATGTCCACCTCATGGCCTGGTGTGCGCAGGTGATTCCACCGGACAACCCATCCACAAAGTCGGCGGCCACTTCGTCCCCGCTTCGATCGTCACCGCGCATCAAGCTCACCGTCTTCTGGTCATGGGATCTTCGAGGAGCGTGGATGGGAATGCCTGCTGGCGGTCTCGGCATGCATCTGCCCGAGCTCATCAAAGGTCTCCTCAACCATGTTCGCGAAATCAGCGACAAGATCCCCCTGCTGAAAAACTATGGCAACTGCATCGAATTGCTCTCCAGCAACTTTGATCCGACTCGCGATACCCTCGCTGCCGAATATGCCGTGGTGGTGGAAGACGCACTCGCCCGCGAGGCTGAAGACCGTGCAGAGAAAGATCTGGATACACTTCACCTTCTCCGCTCGCGCCGGAAGCTAGGAGCCGCGGTAGAGTTTTGTCTCCCAGCCGCAGAGGGATGGGACGTCAGGGTTGAGACGAAAGCACAGGCGGCGTCTCTGTCCGACCTTGAGCCATCCGAATCCCACAAATCCGCCTCGTCGTGGCACGCCATAGCAGAAAGGCCTTCAGGATCTCAGCATATCGCCCTGACAGTACGTCACGATGAGCTCAAAGACGTCGAGGAGATGATGCGGATCAAGGTGAGGATCCAGCGCGTGGTGGCCAGCAGCGATCTAAGGCTCAACGACGAGCCTTTGCACGTCGCTCCAGTCGAGACACGGACCCCCGCCTCTCTCGCACAGCCTTTGCTCGAGGATACGGCGAGCATCTCGGGCATCAGCGTAGCAACAGCTTCCACAGGCAGCGCCGCTTCCGTCAATGCATCGACAAATGCGGGCCATGCGGCAAACGCCTCCCGGACAGGTACACCAAACCTCGGATTTGTCAGCCAGATCAACTCGCAGATCCGCCGCAATTACATCTACTTCACCAGCCTCCTGCAAGAGCCAGAGGCGAAATGGAAGGCGGTCAGCGACTTGAGGGGCGTCACGGTGACACAGCTTGATTCGATCGATCCTACGCTCGTCGTGTACCGCGCCGAAGCCACCTTTGTCGGCGTCAGCGTCTGGGACCTTTTTTCCACCATTGGCAATCCTGGCGCACGCACCTACTGGGACAAGACGCTGGACGATGCTACGCTCCTCACAGACATCAACGAGCTCAGCTCGCTGTGGCACACCAAGACAAAGCCCAGCTGGCCCGTCAGCGCACGCGACACTGTCATCATCCAGACCGCCTACAAGGCGCCATCGTCCGTCCACATCTTCTCCTTTTCGACCGACGATCGAGCGCAGTTCCCTGCCATCCCGCAGGTGGACGCAAGCACCATTCGCACCCAAATCGACCTTCGCGGCTGGTCGGTCGAGGCGCTGTCTCCCACCACCGTGCATGTCACTATGCTGGAACAGTCCGATCCCAAGGGCTGGACGAGCAAGTCTGCTACTCCAGCTGCCATGGTGGGCGCTGTTGCCGGTGTAGGTGAATACGCCATCAAATTTGGCGGGCCTCCCGTCCTTACGCGCATGCTCGGAGCCAAGACAAAAGTGTCTCGCTATGACCATGACAAGGCCACCTTCCGTGTCGAGTATGCAAGCGATGCGCCAGCGAACGAGGACCTCACTGATGCCCCTAACGTCGAATGCGAGATCCGCTGCGACATAGAGACGTGGGCCAGCTCGCTGGATCTGGTCGTCGACCCCCCGCCCATCTCCATCTCATGCCTCCGCCGTCACAAGCTCTCGCAAGGCGGAGGCGGGCTTTGGCTCACTATCGAACATGCTGCCGCATCTCTCGAAGATGACTCGGCGCGCATCACGATCCGCAGAGGGAACTCGCGCGAAAAGGGCACCGTACACGTCAACGGTGCCAGCATCAAAGTGGATGTGGATCAGCTAGATGACGAGCAGGTGCAGCAATTGAGTCGCCAGAAGCGCTCTAAACCCCAACGTGTGCCTCTCGACCTAATCAATCCGTCTCGAAAGGTGACGGATGATTCTGTCGTTCCCGCGAGCGCAGACGGTTCAGGAGGCGGCACGCCATCAGTAGCCAACGAAGCAGCCAAGAATCAGTCAACTTCCCAGTCGAAAACTTCTTTGGACAACGAAACGGAGCCCAGCGAGGAGCCTGGAAAATCCTCTCCTGCACTTTCATCTGCCGGCGATGAGACGATGCAACCGCGCGACAACCTCAAACCGTTGTCGACGGATCCTCCCCTCAGCGCCGTCCCCTTTTCGGACGAAACGCCACGCCAGCCAATGACGTGTGCGCTCGACGTCCTCTTCCTGCTACGACGCATTCACGCCGAGCGATCCCCTGACCCCGCTGGCAGTCCTGCCGGATGGGCGCTGGTGACCGAACGGAACGGCCTCTACGTCCGACGCAAGCTCATGGAGTCGATATCGAGCACGGTACTTGTTCAGCGCGGTGACAAGGTCGTCCAGGGACTGTCCGCTGAAGACTTGCTCGACGTGGTCTCAAATCCTCGCAGTCGAAAGCAATGGGACGACAAGGTCGACTCGACCACCTTGCTTGAAAGCTATGGAGATGGCTGTTTCACATCGTTCATGACGACTAAGGCGAGCTTCCCCTTTCGCGGACGTGCATTCCACCTGGCCAGCCTCACCGCACGAGGCATGCCGCCGTCTACCCTCGGAGCGACCAGCCCCGGCGCTGACGGTGTCATCTCGAGCTCGGCTTCCTCGTGGTCGGGACCAGCCGTCTACTTTCACGCCTCGGCGTCGTTCCCGCAGCAAACTTCGAGCTTTGCGATGGATCGCATCAATCCGACCCACTTGCCGCTCGGCAAAGTGCTCATCGACGGTTGGATCTTGGAGACGCTTGATCCGTACAGTTCGACTAGCTTCCAGATCCCGTCGACGAGGTGCACGCACGTGATCGCTGTCGATTACGCAGGCAGCTTGCCGGTCGCTGTCAACACGATGTGGAACGCGAATCTACCGCGATCGGTATTGTTGGTCGAGGAATACCTCAAAGCGAGAGGCTCAATTCCGTCGATCAAGACTCCACCGCCGTGTCTGCAGGTGCTTGGTGATGGTCGGGACGAGGATCAGGGTTTGGTCTGGTCGATGAACAGCCCAGACCGCCAGGATCTGCTCCTTTCAACCAGCTTCGATCCGGTGACGCGAACGTATGTCGCGATGAGCATGCGTCGCGCTATGCAGCAGTCAGTGGCACCCTCAGCAACAGGACTCCTGCCTGCAGCTGACATCGTGGGCAACGGACAGGGTCGGTCTTGCCGGAACTCTGACGCCTCTGTGACCAGAGGGGTCGCGGAGAAGCTCGCGCAGGCTGTGAATGCCGCACCTGGCACACCGACCGTGTCATCGGCAGCGCCGCCTGTCAATTCGGGCGGCGAGCAGGAGTCTGGGCTCACCCGAGCGACCAGTATGCAGTCGATCGGTGGGACGTCGGCTGTGAGCGCGTCTTCGACTATCCGCCGTCGGCCCAGCTCGATTCACACAGACTCGCGCAACGCCACAGACTTGATTTTGATGGAGGTCGAGATCGAGCTCAGACATTATCACAAAGGGTACGACGTCCAGGTGTTTTCCGAATTCGTTCCTCGCAGCGCGACGGGTGCAAATTCGCAGAAGTCGAATGACCAAGTTATCGAGAGATCCGCGACGCCGGTTGGATCGTCGGCTTCAAGGAGCAAAGCAGGGGAGAAGGAAGCAAATTTGTCGCTCGCGATGGCGTCAGAAGCGTGCAGAGATCTGCCTGTGCAGCTCAAAGTCTACGACTTGCCGCCTAGCGCTGTACTCGCCGCGACGCTCGATCCTTCTGCGAGACCGCGCAAGCACCTCGTCCGTGTGACCGTGCCGACCACTGCGTTCCTCGACCCAGTCGAGGACCCGCTGACCGGATCAAAGGCGCCCGACATCCCAACCTGGTACACCGCGCTTCTACAGCAAGGCGCCGTCCTGCGAATGGTCGTCAAGCCGCTCACGAGCGAAGGCGGCGGCACAGACTCGAACACTGTCGGTGCCAAGGACTCGACCACAGGCGTCGTGTCGACATTCGCCACGCCGACAGGCAAGGTCACAGTACGCAGCGGTGACGCGAAGCTCGACATCGTCCATGTCAACCAGACGTCGGCGATGCTGCAAAGGGAACAGATCGGAGTGGAGCCCATGACGCAGCTGAGACGGGTGGCTCCTCCGAGGCCGAAGTCGGGGCGAAAGTCGGGTGGAGCTGGAGAGGTGGCTGCGAAGGAAGATGTGCGGCTGCCGGCGGCTTTGCGTCGACCTGTTGCGACTCGCAAGGATCTGCTGATTGCGGGAGCGGGTAGTGAAGCAGCTTCGATTGAGTCTAAGGGTACAAAGATGGGCAACGGGAGCAGCTCGGCTTCGGGAGCAAGCGGGACAGGCAAAGCCGCGACTTCAGGACTGAATTCGACGGTCGACACGACTGCAGACAAAGCGAACAAGCAGGCAAGCTCTTTGTCGCCGAACTCGGCCTCAGGCTCAGCCAACGCATCTGCAGCAGGCTCGGCACCCCCGTCTCGCTCCGCGACGCCGTCCGCACCCACGTCGGCGGGGGCCCAGATCATGAACATGTTCGGCACCTATCCGCTCTCTCGTCTCGGTACTGGCTCTGCTCTAGCCTCATCCCTGACCTCCGTCTCTTCGGTTACAGCACGAGGCAGCAGCGTCGCTTCATCCTCCTCGGCAAAGACGAACGCCGAAGCGCTCGCCGCCAACGATCGAGCCAAACACGGCGCCAAATCCGGAGAGCACAAGGACAAGCCCACCGGAACCGCAGCTGGTGACAAAGCAGCGGACGCAGCCGGCGGCGGCGAGACTTCGGCCGGAGAAGCGGTGGCGGAAGCAGCGGCCAATGCAGGCAACACGGTCGCGCAGCTGGCCAAGGACGGCGCGAACGCGATCGGGTCGTTGCTGAGCTCGGACAGGCGGTTTGCGTTGTCGACGTTGCTGTTGGTGGCGCTGGCGGCGTTCTTGTTGGGGTCTCTGGTGAGGTCGTTGATGGTGGGGACGGATTTCGTGTTGGTGGGGACGCGGCAGAAGCCGTTTTTGACGGGTGCAGCGGGCTTGGGCAAGTTGACGGGGAAGGGGGAGGCGGCGAAGAGGGACTTTTTGGAGCTGGTGGATAAGGCGAAGGCGGTAGGCGAGGGAGCAGGGATGGTGAGGCAGGTGCAGTGGACAGAGATGAGGAGGTTGCTGCATGTGCCGTTCCCAGGTGTGGGGTGGGATCTGGTGGTTGGAGGGGTGAGGAGACGCGGGTGATGGAGAGAGGATTCTTAAATGGAACAGATGGCTTTTTGAGCAGATGGGAGCGTATTGTGGGTTGTGTGTGTGAGAGTTTGGAAGTGAAAGTGGGGATGATGTGAGTGCGTGATAGATGGTGTGTGTGGGGGAGGGGAAGAGGTTGACGACGTCTCATGCAGAGGCGTTGGAGGACGTGATTCGTGAACAACTTCCTCGACCATCCCATCTTTGACCGAGGTGATCCACCCACCCGATCTCGTCGTCAACGTCGGCCCCTGCCACTTCCGCATCCTATTTCTCCACCCCTCCAAAGCCTCCAACAAACCTCCCCACTCCGCCCATCCACTCCGGCCACCTCACCGCCAATCCGCACACCACCACCGCCATCGCTACCAACACCGTTGCGACAAGCACCTTCTCCCACGGCTCCAACGCTATAAACACCCACGAGGCTAGCAGCGGATATTGAAGACGCCAGAGTGTGTCGTACAGCCTGTTTGGGAGCGTTGAGGAGGAGGAGGATTTGGATGGGGTGGAGTGGTGCGGGGTGCGGGGAGAAGGGGGATTGGAGGGTGAGGAGGGGTTTGCAGTTGTGGAATGGGGTACAGGTGAGAGAGGTGACATCGCAGGCGTTGAAGTGGTGATGTTGACTGGGTCGGCTTGAAGGTATGAGTTGGAGAAAGCGGAGGAGGAGAAGGATCTGTTTTGTACGAATGTTTCTTCATGAGTGAATAATGTCGCACTGCACCTTTGCACCCGGGCTGATGCATCATCACCTGTCAGTGCATCGTCGACGACCATCGCCTACTCGAGGTGTCGAAAACCTTTCTGCAAAGTTATGGTCAAACGCCAAAGTCTCCTCTGACCTACGATGACCGATCTCGAAGGTATCAAGCGGAAAACTCGAAGTTGAAGTTCCTACCACCTTGCCAAGGTTGTCGCGGCAACCGCGACCATTTCGAACAGTCGACTGTCGATAAGTGTCAAGCTCGACATTCAACAGAATACGACTTGACGAGCGCAACAGTCATGCATGACGAGCAAGCCGCAGCTTTGTCCCAATTGCCAACGGATCGTGAAGTGCACGTCTGTAACACAGAAGCCTTTTGATGTCAAATTCGTTCACTTTGCGGATGCCGATGTAGAATTACAACTCGTCACCATGCGACGTCGTCAATCGATCTCAACCGACCAGACCCGTCACCCTCAGGTTTTCCCTCAGGATCGAATCCTTGACACTCATCAGAATCGCTCTGATCTGCACCGTGCTGGTGGCCACCGTCGTATGAACGTACAGCCTCCTCCTCTGCCCCTGATCCAACCTCGCTTCGTCCTCTGCCCTCCTCAACGCGTCCCTGAATTTGGCTCTGAACCATCTCCACACCGCCTCGAAATCGTTGTCCCCCACATACTCTGGCCAGTACTTTTGAAGCCGTACACCCTGTCGAAGCTTTTTCTCGAGAAGATCGATTTTGTTGAGGAACAGAATCATGGAAGCGTGTCGCAGCAGTGGATTGGCGACGATCTGGTTGAATAGTGTGAATGTGTCGGCGAGTCGATTGGTCGAAGAGTCCTCCACGAGCGGCTGGTCGAAGGCCGAGAGCGGCGCGAGGAAGACAATGGACTCAATGTCGTCCAAGAACGGAGCCCAAGCGGCTCGTTGTGATCGACTGCCACCGACATCATAGATGCGATAGATGAGCGAACGATCGACGCGAAAGACGTCTTCCGTAACACCGACGGTGCGGACGCGCGAATGCAAGATGTCGTTGTCTGTTGGCTCATATGCTGATTCAACGATGCGGGAGTAGCTGTCGAGGAAGTACGATGTCGCCGCATCCGATTGACCATCGAGAAAGAGACCGCGTTTGCGAAGTGCGCGGCAGCTAACGTCGTCGGTCCACAAAGCGAGCACCTCCGCCTGGACAGCGCGCAGAAGCTCCACTGACTCGTCGCTGTGATCGTCGCTACTGACACCTTCTTCACGACGTGCGCCGTCTCGAGTTGCTTGTGCCGAAGAAAATGAGCGACGAGCATAAGTGAACAGACGTGCCTGCCAGCCCGGTTTGAGCAGCAGAGGGCTCTTGTCGCCAGACTTGTACCTTATGTCGCTGCTGTTCGCTTGACTTGCCATTCTGGTATTCGCTGTGTCACTGTGTCCCGGCAGGTGCACATCTTCTCCGAAGGCACCCAACTCGCTTCGAAGCGCCTGTTCCAGCTGCACAAATTTGGGAATGTGTGCGGTCCATGGCATGCTCGAGGTGTTGATCTCATTCTTCGGTCCCACCTCCCTTGCGAGCTCCATGCGGGTTGCTTCGTCCGCGTCCTCCCCTGTACGCAGAGCATTCCCCTCGAGTCGACTCATTTCGCCCGACTTGCGTTCAAGTCTCTGATCGTGATACAGCGAGAGAGTCTGCAGCAGGACCCGCACGCTCGAGATGAGATTGAGCAGCACAATACGTGCCCATCCCTGTCGCTCTCTCTCGTGCGCCTGGGGGTCGTACAGCAATCTCATCTGTTTGAGCACTGTAGTTTTGCCCGCCCCAGCTTGACCGAGCAACACCATCTTGTAGACACGTCCCTTCTTGTTGCCGGTGGCCTCGGCTGAACCCGAGACTGCAGAAGGTAGCTCATGAGAGGCTGAATCGTCTTGCTGTTTGAGAAATCTGTCAATCTCGTCTGATCTCTGCTTGGCCTGTCTCTCCTGTTGAAGACGTGCTTGCTTTTCATTGGGCGTCTCGTTGACTGGAGGCTGGAGGACGAGCGATAGCGGATCGCTGTGGTCGGGTCGAGAGAGTATATTCTTGGACTTGATACGTCGAATGGGTGGGCCGGAAACTGACGGCGACATGACGATAACGGATCGGTCAGAGCGAGCAGACAGGTTGCGAGTACTGTGAGCCGGAAAGAAGCGAAGCAAAGCCCTGATGGATGAAAACGATCAGAGATCGATGAAGGAAGGCGATGAAACGGGGAGGGCCCGCTCAAACTGAGCCGTGGGAGGCACGCCTTATATGCCTTGAATGAATCCCGCGGAACCGTGGGTGGCCAGCTGCACCAGACAGGCCAAATGAAAGAGACGGTTCGGTGGCTTGTGAATTGGGTTATCAGTGGGATTGAGCTCGATGGAATGCGATTGTTGGCGTGCGAAAGATAAAGCTGTGGAAGTGGTGCCCGTGCTTTCCGATTTATAGTCGAAGCTCGAGCGTACCCGCTGGAGCAAGATACTGTAGCTCTTGGTCCCACCTTCGGCCGCGTAGCCGTTTGTGCGAAAAGAGCACTGTGCTGTAGGTCTGCCTCGAAGGTGTTTTGCGAAAATGAGTTGTGCAGATTAATGAGATGGTGGTTCTCACTTGGATCAAGGTAGCCACGGGAGGGCGCTTGCGGGCCCGAGAGATGTGGTCAGAGAGCGCCTAATCGGTTGGTGGGTGGTGAGCAGCCGGCTCTCGCGGCTGAGGACGTGCTCAGACCTCGTTGAAAGAGGGGTCAAGGCGTAGGAGACCCTCAACTCTGTTGACGTCGGCAGAGATCCGAGAAGGGGGTCCCAGCGATGGAGGAGAAAAGGAAAGACGCCTACGTCGCAGAGCTATCGAAGGGAGTAGCGAATCGATCGACGATAGCCAGTCGGCCTGTGCTGCACAGGGCTGAGCTCACGTGTGACGAGCAGCCTCGAAGCCACAACAGCCAAGCCGCCTTTCTCCTCTTCCTCGTCGTTGAAAGCGAGCGCTTCGGCGACAACGCTGCATCGGAAGCCGCCCGAAGAGGCCGAACAACCGGCCTTTCTCCCACCGATACCACAATCATCAATATGCTTTCCCCTCTCATTGATAGCCTCTACCAAAGCCAACGCAAATTCGCTTTGATCCACAAAAACATGAGTAGAGATGGAGCCATTCGAGGCCCTCTGTGTGTATGCAGCAACCGACCTGTCAAAGCGCTTCTCCAGCTCGGATAGACCCAGGGTCCAGCCTCGCTTGGCGTTTGTCACCTCTCTCTCTCTTTCCCTTTGGTAAAATTAAGCTTTTTCCACTAGAAGCATCTTGCATCTCGCCTATGCGCTTGATGAACTGTGTGCCTCCGTACTAACACGACGCAGGTGAGAGGGCACCGGTTGTCGCGGGATCGACACATGCTCCACCAACACGTTCTTGACCGCCCATGCGAGCTCAAAGGGCTTAGTATGCCTCGAACACCGAAATAGGTTGTCATCGGAATCAACTCCGACAGACAATTAAGAGGTTGGCCATGTGAACACGGAGGAGGGAGGGAATTTCATTCTCAGCCCATTGCTTAAATTGATTATTTTCGTATGCAAGCGCCACACACGGTCTCCGTCGCAAACAACTGCTGGGAGAGCCGGACGGTTCAACCGGGCTGTCTGCAGATCAGGTCGATCTCAAATCACATGCGGAAGCAGCCGAGGCAGGGGTCCATTGCTCACGATCACGCACAAGCCCAGCCTTGGCAGCATTGCATCGAGCTGTCATCGCTCAGAGCGTCACGCACAGGCGATACATGATCGACAAACCACAGCCCTGCTCATATCACGCAGAAAACCGGCAAAGGAACTGCAAGAATGCTGTTTTGCATACAAATACAATAGTGACCGGGACAATGCTATATCAAACAACCTGCGTCTCGTCTTCGTCTTCCCTTTGCTCACACATCCATAACCGCAACACACCCACTCGTAATCATATCCGTCACCCCATGCAGAGGATGAACGCCATCCAACGGACTGCCGTCAGGCTTCGTCGGTACGGGTACACCTGCCAGCTTCAATGCTCCCCATCCTTCCGGCACCATCTCGAGCCCCTGAGAGTTGTTGCAGTAGCCTAGCACCACCGGGAACGTTCCAGCTTCGGGCAGACGTGGGTCCAAGGACGACGCAGAGCTGCTCGATGTCCAAGGTGCGTCGTGTACCACAGCTGTGATTCGGAACGGCTCGAATGCTGCTCTTGGCGGCGGTGATGCTCGTGCTGCGTCGGATGTAGGTCGTGCAGCTTGTGGTGCTTGACCGCTATTGCCATTTGCGTTTTGACCGTTACGATTGCTGGAGAGACCCAGTTTGCGTCTCCAACTCGACTGTTCCGACGACTTGACTGCGCCTGCAGCAGGGCGTTGCTCGGTCAGCTGATTGCTGCTCGTGCTCATGCTGTGCGACAGAGAAGCCTCGGCTTCGGAATTCGGCGACGCAGCGGGGCCTGCACCCGCTGTCGCCGTTTCAAAGTCATCGCTGAAGCTCTTGAAGGGGACAAAGTTGACGCGCATGTATCGCAGCGCGTCCTGCACCGTGTTCCTCCCAATCAGAGGCAGCGGAATGAGCATGGTCAGCGCTCCCGCAGGTACCGCGTCCAGGCCCAGCAAAGCGCATTCTTCATCCAAATCTTCGAACGACATGGCTGCTGGCGCGTTGACACCACCCGCCACACGCTGAAACTTCTTGCTTGCTGCCTGCTGCGCATCCCACCCATACATCTGGGAGAGCGCCGAATGCACCTCTTGCCGGTTGCCGCTCCCGGTGTTTGCCTTGTGTTCCGACGCCTGTACAGGTGTATCGACAGCCTTCTGAGTGAGAGCTTCCGAGCCCCTCCTGGAGCCCATGATGGTCGACTCGGGAGAAGCGGGTCGGAACATGGCTCGCTGAAAGTCTTCCAGCGCCGTCTCTGTCAGCGGTGTCGATTGCGGCACCGCATTCTTCGAAGGAATCTGCAGCGCGTTGGCGAAAATCTGCGAGCTGACGGCATCGCCGATCACAGGGCCGGGCTGTGCTCTCTCGCCAACCTTGACGGGCGATACAGACATCGCAGAAGCACCGTGCTCCGGTCGGCGCTTGAACCACGAGCTGAGCATCTTGTCTTTCTTGAGCAAAGCCTTGTGGAGGCCTTTGCGACTGCGGCTCTGCTTGCTGCTGGCACTGAGCGACGTGGTCGCCGATGCACTGGTGGGTGAGGTACTCTGCCAAGAGTCGGCCTCGTACGAGGGGCTGCTGGCGCCTTGCTTCAGATATCCTTTCTGCTCCAAGCTGCTGGGCTGCCAACCGGCCAAACCAGCCGATGTCTCCGAATTGTTGCTCAGGCCACGACTCCCTGATGAGGCAGGCGAGAGGGACCGCAGTGCTCCGGCAGAACGACTTGCTCGAAGGGCGATCGGAATCGCCAAAGGTGCAGGAGTTTGGCCATCGCTTGGAGCAGCCTTATCGTAGGACGCCGAAGAGGCGGAGCCGATCATCGATTCGCGCATGTTGGTCGCCGAAAGGCCTGCCTCGTCCTCGGACGTTGTGCTGCCAGCTTCGTTGCTGGAGTCCGAATCATACGACTGCATCGAGTCGGAACGGCGCACTCTTGCTGAGGGCCAAGACTCGCCCGGATGTGCGCGTACGAGCGGATCGCCTGGCAGCGACGGAGCAAACGATTCGGGGTTGAAACCGGTGGGCGGCGCTGCCTGCAATGCTTCCTGTCGTTGCGCAGAGGCACGCAAATAGGGCTTTGAACGTGAGCGGCGCAGAGCTGGCTGCGACTGGCGCAAGTAAGGACGCGATCTGGATCGTCGAAGAGCCGGATAAACGGGAACGGGAGCTTTCCTGTCCAGCTGGCCGGAAGCGGCTGGCTGCAAGCGCGGCGGATTGGGCGTGCTCTGCGCACCAAGTTGCTTTCGGTAGCTCTGTAGGAAGCGATGAGTGGAGGCGTTGGCAAGGTAGACCGGAGGGCAGATTTGGCCAGTGGTGGGACGAAGCAGGCAAAGCTCGAAGCCAGCCTTGCCAGAGAAGGGCATCGAGCTGCGATGAGCCGGTGCGACGGCTGCGCGACGGTCCTGCTGCGATGACACCGGCATGCCCGACGAGTGGGCTGAGACCACATCTGCAGCTGTCGCTTCAGCTTCGTCGAGCCAGAGCGATCGGTTGCTCACAATGACAGTCCTCTCGGCCTGCTCGCTCGGTTTCAGGTCCTGAGTGACGCCGCAGGTGATAGTGGCATTGGGCACGACCACCCATTTCTTGTTGCGACGGTTGGTCTGGGCGACGGACCATTCGATGCGTTGATGGCCGTTGATGGGACAAAGAATCTCGGCAGAGAGTTTGCATCCTTCCCAGTCATTGAGGCTGCCCACGTCGAGACTGTGAAGGCCCATCTCCTCGATGGAGAGCACGTCGAGCGGTTCCAGAGGGTTGCAGGGCCGCGCAGTAAGATGCGCCCATTTGGGCGGTGGGTCGTGCGAAGAGGCTGCAGAATTGCCGAAGCTGTCACGCCACTCAATGGGTGTGGCAGGCGACTCGGACTCGTCTGTGGATGCCTCGGTGACGGTTCGGGCAGGCCTCTGACGGTTGGGCTTGGGGGGCTTGAGAGGCTCTGGAGCCGCCTCTGTCTGCAGACCGAGACTTGCGAAGCCTCCAAGCACCTGGCCATGACTGATCGAGTATGCGCGCGATCGCTGTGAATGCACTGTTTCGAGGCTCGGGTTGCGATCACGCTGCTGCTGCTTTTGGACCACAGCGTTGAGGACGGTCTGAGACGACAAGATCTCGCGATAGTCGCTGCACTCTTCGCGAAGATGAAGCGAGAAGCTGTCTTCGATGCTGTTGGGCGCGTTGTTGGGATTGGCATTGTGCGTACACGCTACGCAAAGACTCTCTGGGTCGACGGGAGCGGCACTGTAGTTGGGGATGTGGAAAGCAGGTTTTGAGGCGGCCAAGCTCAATTGCGCGGTATTAGATCTGGTTCGAACATGAAGGGTCGCTACGTTGGTGGCATCGAGAGGCGAGGCGAAGGGTGGGTTGCCGCCGAGATCGAGACCGTCTAAATCCAGACGAAGGCTCTCGACAGAACGCGGGCGCGGAAGCCTGGCAGCGCGATCCGCGGAAGGACGAGCGGCAGCGCGCGGCGGTCGCATGGGCGCTTGTGAGGGTTGGAGGCTAGGAGCCTCATAGGATGTGCGGTGTTTGCCAGCGTTCGGATACTGGGCTGGCTCGGTGGACGCAGCGTCGCTACCAGAGCTGATGCTGGCGGTGCGCTGCGCAAGATGCTGTCGAGGCGGGGCGTCGTAGGATGCGCTGTTTGCGGGTGAGAGTGGCATGCTTCGGTGCGAAAGAGAGTTGCGACCTGCCGAGGCTGATATTGACCTGCGGGAGGGAGTGGCAGATAGAGAAGAGGAAGAGGATGCGGATGATGCGAGTCCAGCGTATGGTGAAGACGAAGAGGATGACGCTGAGGGAGGCGGGGAGGCCAAAGGAGCGGTGGCAGCCAGAGAGCGAGAGGCAGAAGCGGCTTGGCTAGAGATGGAGCGTCTTGTCGGAGGAGGAAGGGGAGCGCCTGCCCTGCTTCCGGACGCCATCGTGTCGTGGTGCATGGCAAGCAGCTGGTGCCCAGGATGAGATGCTCAACTTGTACCAGCGCTACGCTTTACGCCGAAAGTGTGAGCTTGGATGCGATCGCTTCAAGGCGATGTGTAGGTGTGAGACGGCATGGATACGAAACTGCGGCGATCAAATGTCGGTACACCAGCACAAGGTACGTCGTGCGATTCGACGAGTGAGTCGACGCTGGTTGGGAGCAGGGGATGGATGCTGTGCGTGCGCGCGATGCAGGTGAAGCCAATATCAAAGTCGATTGTACTGCGAATAGCCGATGCGCGTAGGGTCTGGAGCGATGGCGTACGAGATGAGATGATGGTTGCGCAAAGCGACGATGAGCGCAGATCGATGGCGGTAAGGTAGATCGTAGATGCTATGGAAGTCGAAGCGAGGGACAAGGACAAGTAGGGCAGAGCGAGTGTATGCGTGGATGAATGAAGGAACGAGTGAAAGGTGAGTGCGTGAATGAAAACGAAGCACCGGAGAGCGTGAACCCGCAGTAGGGCTTGGTGGGACGTCAACGGTGGGGACGACAAAGAGGCATACCCAAGTGAAGGCGAGTTGAGTATGATGAGAGAGGGATGCGGGTAAGTGGGTGATTGCTTGTAAACGACTGAGTGTGACCGAATCGAGTGTGGCTTAGCAGCTTTGACTTGGCTCGCAGCCATTTCGCACGCGGACGCCGAGTTGGTGCATAAAACCCTGACTATTTTCCAACGACTGGATCGATGCACCGCTTGCCATCGCACCATCTACAGGCCGGCATTTTCGAAGCGAGGGCGATTTGCAATCTGGAGTAAAGGTCGCCTCGTCTCGCCTCTCTCCTCTTTTTTTTTTTTAGCAAAAATTGGAAAATCCAGACTCTAAAAATTCATCACCGCATCCTACCCGAGCCACGCCGAGCTGCAACTTCTAGCCATGCGATGCGCCTGCCGCCCAACTGACAACGGCGCGACTGCCGCTGCCTGTGTTTTGCCCGCTGCTCGGCGCCTTCTTCGGCCACGCGAAAGAAAAAAACTTGCATCGAACAGACAGCACGCGAGCGAACCCACTCCGCAAAAGCCTGTTTCGTCCAGAGGTGTCTCCCTGTCTGTCTTGCTGCGCTGGTATAATAAGATGAGGTTGAGTGTGGCCGTGCAACTCTTCAATTGAATGGCTCAGCGAGCAGCGCATTCGGGTAAGATGCGTTAATCGTCAACACTAGACCAACCAAAGCGGACAGAACGAGCTGAAAGTCTTGTCGCCTGTAACAAGCAGCTTTGTACAGCCCAGCCCGCAATGACATGTTGTCACGCCAGTGTCGCAGCGGAGTTGGTCGTTCAACATGATCATGTTACAAGATTGGACCATTTTTCCATGTATTTCGGCCACGCTTCAGAACAGAGTGAAAATTTCCTCGGTCTGTTTCTCTCTGCTCAACCAACAAACTCCATGGATGATCGCATGAAACCGTTCTTTGCAATTTCGGCACCACGAAAAAGGCGTTCTAGACCGCTCCTTTTGTTCGTTTTTTCTAGTGTGTCGTTGCAGCGGATGGAAGCACTTTACGCATTCAAGCAGTTCGGAGTTGCAACCGAAAAGCACACTATTGTATCTCTAACTTACGTACAGATGTACAGTACGCCTATATCGGGGCGCAGACCGGGCGATGCAATTTTTCTCTCGTAACCTTGAGGGTTCTCTTGCGTGGTGGGCCCGGCTTACCCGGACTCCGAGCTCTCTGCTGCGGCTGCGGTGCCTCCTCCCACATCTATCGGCACGAGAAGAAAGGGCAGCGTGCGGAAGAAATTGGAGACACCGAGGCAACACGGACATTCATCGAGGAACAGGGGGGAGAACGTTTTTGATGTGCGATCGTGTCTACGCTGTTGTGTGCTTAGCACCGACTGCCCCCCGGTTCGTGAGCTTGGAAATCACCTTCCACAGCAAAGCGACTCAACCAACTTAGTGGTCACTCGCTGCACGTCGAATCGAATTCGACGACATGCAGCCACGAATCGCAGCCTTGGTCGTGGAGCTTCGACCAACCACATCGGTCGACGCGCCCTCGAAGCGGACCAACATGGTTACCAGACAGCAGGACAGCGGAAACAACATCGAATTCGCATTTCCGATGCATTCGGCGTGCGTACGTGGTTCGAAACAACCGCGTTTTTGCGGAACCGAGCTGCACGATGCAAGATGCTCCGCAATCATAGGCCGAACGGATTGGCAAGTCTCACTGGCTGCAGAAACTTTGCCCTTTCTGGCTTGGCTGGCTTGTGATCTGCTGTTCCTGCTTCTTGCGCCTCCTACAACGAACCAATCAACGCTCTATTTTCAGACTCGCCTCGTACAGATGCACGGAGGACAGTTGAGTGAAAACTACTCACTAAACAGTACCTGATCGACAGGTGGCAGATGGATGCAAGGATCCAAGTACACCACAAGTAAAGTGTAAGTTATGCAACCGTCTCTCACCAGAGTCGGAGCTTCGGGCAACGTTCCTGAATGAACGCATGAAATTGGAAGCGTGCGAGCTTACCACGCAGTCGGTCACATCCTGCAAATCCATTGCACAGTCTGAACCTTGATGCTCCTGGATTGGTTGCCGGTGGTGGATGTTGAGCACAGAAAAGAAAGAAAAATTAACAAAAATGGAAAACGAGAAAAGAAAACGGAAGGCCCGAATTTTGGTTGCTGCTGCCAAGGCCCGGGGATCACCGTAAGCGAGCTGTCAAAGCGCTGCGCCGCTGCGTGTGGCTTCTTATTTTCATTCCCGTTTCGTCGCACCTTGATGAAGTGATTTTGGTCCTCCGCTCCAGCCCCCTGTTCCAAAACAGGAAGGACCACATCCCGCATCTAGCTCCGACAAGTTGATGTATCGGACTCGAGGCAGCCTCATGGGAGTCTTCGACGGATCGCCGGTGCAGAGCCCGTACGATTCACGAATCGCTTCATGAAGCGGCTCGATGTTTGAGATGGATCATGCACTACAGTACTCGGTCGAATCTCGGACGTTCTAGAGGCTTGACCTTGCCACGATCTTCCATGCTCTTGGGAAACAGCGGTTTGGAGCCTACTGCAGGTACATCACCCGACTGGCATGCGGGAAAGGACAGGACACCCGTCGTGTTTTGTTCCCGTGTGCCCGAACTGTTGTTCCTGAATAGGCAATTTGTGGCGACAATGCGACCTGCGCCACTTTTGTCCTGCGAAGCCACGATATCATGTCCGTCCAAGGTTTCGCGTCTCAAGCAAGCGATGTGGCTCTCGCCAATGACGTTATGGCTTGCTACGTCGGACTTGGAACGCTGAAACTCAAACCTGTGCGCTCCGACCTAAACACTTGTGACGAGATCAAAGTCGTCTGCTGCTGCACGGGTTCGCCAGATTTCATGCGCAGACCCTATCGTTGCTCGATGCAATCGTTTGCCGAGACCAACACAAACTGTGAGCCAAATTTCCACCTACGATCGGTCTTCATCTAGAAGCATGCAAACATAAGACGCGAGACGAGTCGGAATTTGATCGCGAAGGCCGCTTGCTGAACACCGCATTCACCGGGATGATTGTTCGACGTGCATCTCGCTTCCACAAGAACAACGTCTATCGCTCTTGCCAGGACCGGCATCGTGCGTCGACTTACCTGATCAGCTTTCGTAATAGCCCCGTTCGTGGCCAGTTTTTCCGGCCGAAACCCCGATCGAGCGGTGAGGAAACCCAGAAGCAGAGATACGCCGGTGAGGTTGACCGATCTGGTCAGGTTGCGCTAGAAACACCTCCCGCCGTGATCTCGGGCTCATCGGTCAACTCGGTCCACATGTACATCCTCGATCCCCGCGCTCGGATCGCTCGCTTAGATCACTTCGCATCTCGGGGCTCGAGATGTCGGACAAGAGTGTGTGTTCCTGCAGTTTGCCCCCTTGGTGTTTCCGTCGTTCGGCGTAACATTGTCGCATCGACAGCACGCGAGAGAACGACTTCGTAAAAGCCTGTCTCTCTGTCTTGTTGCTGTGCCTTGCATAAGGGGCTGGGTGTCCCGCTCTGTGTCTTCACGTTTCGCCGCCTGGGCGAGCAGCATAGAGGGGGGGAACATGCTAACCCAGGCGCTTCAGAACAGAAGCCGGACGGATCGTTTTGGGCCAACTTGTCATTTCGTGCGCAGGCTCGTTCACCTCTACCTACCTTGGTGGCTGGGTGGCGTGCCTCGCAAGTCAAGTTGAGGTGAATTTGTCGTGGTGCGTTGCCGGTAGCCATGTTGTGTGATTGGACATGACAGCAGACGTGTTGGCATTGCTGCTGCATGTATTGGACCGCTAGCAAGATCCAGAATGGCATATTGATCACGTTGCATACATGATGGAAAACGTATACAAGGCTACGTGATCAGAAATCCGTGGATGCGAGCCGGTCAAGTTGTAATGGAGAAGAAGTTACATTACACTACATCATCAATTATCATGAGTCGTTCGTTTCGCAATGCTCGGCAGGTGTTGTGACTCCAGCTTGAGAGAGATAGCTTGTGACGCTAAGGCCAAGTTTATCTTTGATGAAACGGTTGCAGAACCTAAACAGATCGCCACCGAGGACGCCGCGGCTGTCCGCCGCCAGTGGCGACTTCTTTCCCAGCTTGGCAACTGGCACCAGATACGTTTCATTGCGGCCAAGGCGATCAGCTTCTGGCGACGTACATGCGTACAGCTGCGTTAGGGCGCCCTGTTCAGGAGCGACTGAAACAGCGTTGGCAACCTTGAGCAGGAGGGGCCCGATGAAACCAAGCGATTCGGCAGGTGCACGTCGCAGGCCGGTACGCACATGGCCGGGATCGAGGGAAAGCGACCTGACCCGAGCGCCGGCCGGGAAGTACTTGGGTAGTTCGTTTGCCATCAAGATGTTGGCTGTCTTGCTCTTACCGTATCGATTCCAGGTCCCCTTAAACTCGGGCCAATGCTGCTTGTTCACTGCGTCGAGATGTTCAAAGGAAGTATCCGATGACGCAAACTTGTGTGCCACACTTGCAATTTGAACGATACGGACTGTAGCTGATCCTGCATGAGTATGTTCATGTAAGGAAGAGGTCTTGATGAGCGTTGGTAGGAGAAGCATCGTGAGCAAATAGTGACCCATCACATTGGTTCCGAACTGGAGTTCCAGGCCGTCCTTGGTGTGCATGTAAGGTGTTGCCATGATCCCGGCATTGTTGAGGAGAACATCTAGCCTGGACTCTTTCGACAAAAACTCCTCGGCGCATCTTTGCACCGAGGTGAGCTGGGCTAGGTCGAGCTGTAGAAAGTGAATGTCGGCATGAGGATGATCGGTAGTAATCTCTCGGATTGCGGCTTTGGCACTGGCCTCTGATCGCGTCGCCATATACACCTTAGCGCCGCTCCGAGAAAGCTCTGCGCAGGTGACTCTAGCCGATCAAATTGGGCCTCATACGTCAGCGATGGTCCAGTACACAGTGATCATTTAGCACGACTCTACTTACTTGCCAAGCCCGCCGTTGCCGCCAGTCACGATGACAACCTGGCCGCTTAAGTCCGGTATGTCAGCTGCTTCAAAGTTCGGCATGCTTGATGTGATCGAAGCTGACCCGTGGGTGTAGCATCTGCATGCGTGCCGTTGTGCACAGGACGTGCGACCAGTTCTAGCGGGCTATTAAATGCGTGCACGCTCAGCCAGAAGATGCAGTCAGGGCTGTGGAATCATGTTGGGGCGACTGCGCACTGCGACCTGTCCAACAGTGCTGGTAGCTGCACGTATAGACCCACTGCACAGTGAGAAGGTGACTATCACGAAGAAGACGCAGGTTGGATTGGCAACTGAAACTTGAGCAACAGGTCAGGCAGGGTTACCGGAATGGTGTCCCGAAAGGCTCGCGCTTGGTTGCCACCGGAGTGGAGAGCGGGATCCGACTTTGGTGAAATATTAGCATGCATTCGGGATGGATGCGATGGCAAGTGCGCGAACGAATGGATGATCAAGCTCAATACTGACGCCATTGACCACTGTCTGAATCAAATGGGCCAAAGAGCACCTAGTGTTTGTTCGAGTTACCGCTTGTCCATTCCACTCGTTGCTCACAATCACATCTCTCGCGGACTAAGCGAGGTCCATCATCCGCGATAAGATTTTCCAAATCGGCCATTTCGTCGAGTTACCGCTCGTCTGACCCACTCCTTGTTCGACTCACTGTGGTCTTTGACGCAACCCACATTGCTCTTGTCTTGCTTGTAAACGCTTCGAAGTCAGATCACTGCAACGACCATCGCAGCGCCTTGTCACCATGTTGCTAGTCACACGAAGCGTCCTCAGCCAAAGTAGGCGGTAACCATACGGAAATAATGCATCCATCTTGGTGTGGCACCGCGAAGCATCAAGCGCATTCTCTGGATGCGATGCAGAAGTGCAGATGAGCCCACTTGCAAATGTATATAACATGGAGGGGGGGCTCTCAAGCGACTGAAGGGTCTCCCAATAACCCTCTGCATCATGAGCGCCACCAGGACACCAGTGGATTCGAAGGTCTACACCAGAGAGGATGTTGGTATTCCTTGTAAGGGCGGTGCAACGGCCTGAGTACGGGCAAGCCGAGGAACCTCATCGACCCGGACTGGCAATACGAAGATTTGCTTGCCGCTGTCCGTTTTGCTCACGAGCTCAAGCACGTAGATTCGCGTCGAGTTGGAGTGCTAGGGTTTAGTCTGGGCGGCAACCATGTTGCGAGGCTCGCTGCCGAGCAAAGCCAGCTTGTCAAGGCACTTATAGGAGTATGCCCTATGACCGATGGACTTGAAGCAGCCTGGAGAATGTCTTCCTTCTCGCAACAGGCAGTTCTCGGATGGTATGGTCTGTACGACTACTTGATGGGTACCGACGAGCGACCTGTTACAGTCTCTCTGATTGGTGACTCAGGATCGGGTAAGTAGGCGTGCCAATCAGTGTCTGGATTCTTTGAGGTCTCGAACCTTGTCGAGGATCGCTCGCAGGATGACTGACAAGCGAAACGAGCAACGTTCTGATTTGCTCTGTTCCATTTGCAGCATTTTCTTTGATGAGCTTGCCGGGAAGCTTCAAGGAAGTCCGTCACCTCATTCCGGCTGATATGCTGCTGGAAACGATGCAACGCGCCTCTCGTGTGCCGGCACGTATCGCGCTGAAGATGCCATTCCTACGTCCGAAAAGGTACTATCAACACATCACGATACCAACTCTGGTTTTCGTCGGCACCGAGGACAATGTCACGCTCCCTGTGGCTACGGTGCAAAACGTGATCGCGACACCAAGGCTGGACATGAAGGCGTACGAATGCGGTCACTATGGTTTGCTGCATGGCGAACTTTTTCCAGCAGCGATGGCAGACTGCATCGACTTTCTGAAGCGTCATTTGGTCCCCTCAAGCGATTAGGAACAAAGAGACGTGGGAAAGTTATCTTCGGATAGTTATCTGGGGAAAGATGTCACGTATGGCGCTCGGGCGATGCAAGCTCGGTAAGCTATTCTGCGCGAAAGAAGTCGTGGACACTCCGGTAATGATAGACCCTTGCTGAGAGCGGTAACTTAGTGCTCGTATCAATCAATGTACCAAAGCAATTGAACGACAATAGCAAGACACACCCTCTGAGAGCGGAGATTGAGAACCGTGCAAGCTACACTGGTCCTTCTCCAAGCAAGTTGGTTTCGAAAGGCAATCAATTCTATCACTGCTGGGCGACCCTCGCACTAGATGAGGAGAAGGAGACTGGATTGCTGCAGCAGAGTCTTGAGAGGACAGCTTCGAAACATGTATGCGGCGGACATCAACATGGTCCAGTTGCATGAGGCACAGTCAAGAAGATTCGTTTTGGTGTTAAGCCGAGATATTCTAATCAACATCGTCGAAACGCTCTAACATGTTTTTGAGTTACCGGCACGTGATGTGGGATTTTTTTGGTCAAGTGGAAATTTTGAAGCGACAATTGACACCAAACCCAAAAAAAAAGCTTCTCCAGCCTGCGCTTCATTGCGCATTGCTCAGCAGCGAGACCCTTTCAACCCTCACTTCGATCAACCACCAAAGAGCTCTCTCTTCTTTGGTCACCACGCTAACGTCGCAATCACCGCTCTGGTCGGCCTCAGTAAAGACCGCGCGCTCGCCATCTCTTGCTGGACAGATCCATACTTCCACGCAGCTCAACCTCTCCAACGAACTGGTCCACGTTTTCATCCGACTCACTGCTTCTACCGGTCGCTTCGACCATCGACCTTCTCCAAGGATGCAGTCCGACGACGTGATTTGGACCATCATCGGTCACGAATTCTGCTCGTACAAGATCAAATCCAAGACGCACTCGACGTTCTGTCGAAACGAGTACAACCTCACGGGTCTATGCAATCGACAGTCGTGTCCGCTGGCCAATTCGCGCTATGCAACTGTACGGGAACGGGAAGGGATCGTCTACCTGTACATCAAGACCGCTGAACGTGCGCATTCTCCGAAACGTCAATGGGAGCGCGTCAAGCTGAGCAACAACTACTCGAGAGCGTTGGAGCAGATTGATAAGGAGCTCATCTACTGGCCGAAATTCATCACGCACAAGGCGAAACAGCGGTTGACGAAGATCACACAGTATTTGATCAAGTTGAGACGGATCAAGTTGAAGGAAGAGGAACAACCGGAGCTGGTCTCAATCAAGAAGAAGACCGAGAGGAGGGAAAGAGGACGAGAAGGGAAAGCACTCAAGGCGGCAAGGTTGGAAAAGTCGATCGAGAAGGAGCTTCTGGAGAGGTTGAAGAGCGGTGCCTATGGTGATGCACCACTCAACGTCAACGAGGACGTCTGGATGCAGGTGTTGGAGGGTAGAGAGAGGGAGAAGGAGTTGGAGCTGGAGGATGAGGAGAGCGAAGAGGAGTTGGAGGAGGATCTCGACGAGATGGATCGCATGATGGAGCAAGAGTTCGAGGACGAAGAGGGTGTTGGCGAGAGGGAGTTTGTCAGCGACGACGATGAAGACGAGGAGGATGACGAGAGCGATATGGAAGACCTGTACGATTCGGATGGAAACACGATCGAGTTCGCCAGTGAGTCCGACGCCGACGATTCCGATCAAGACGACGACGACGAACCCGCTCCAGGCAGCAAGAGGAAAGGTCCCTCTACAGCACCCGACAAGAAACAGGCGCAGCAGCAGAAGAAGAACAAGCGTGGTGGTGGCAAGAAAGGTCCCCAGATCGAGATCGAGTACGAACAGGAAACAGAACCTCTTACAAAGGAGGCCCTCGCAAACTGGTGATCTCGCGCGCCCTCACATTCGCTTTCTCCTTCAAACCCTCACTACGCCAAATCGCATGCTCTTCCCCTCGTTCTCACTTCGTCCTTATCACTCCTTGACATCAACCCACCACGTTTCCCATGTCCCCTCACTCGTCGCAATCTTCTCGAACCTCTTGTACTCTAGCACCTCATCCACCGTGCCCCATCTTGGCAATGTTGCATTCTTCATCCTTCCCAGCATTCCACAATCGAACCCGCTCAGATAACCCGTGTGCGTTGAAATCAATCTCCGAACATGCCTCCCATCACCAGTCACCCATCAAACCTGCTCATCTGACCATCCCCCAACCTTCTCGCCATCGCACGCACCACCACAACCACACAAAAGAACAGACCGTTCAAATGAAAACCTTTTCAAAGATTCCCAAGAAAGACAAAAGGCCGACAAGGACACGAAAAACAAGCAACAACGGACCATATAGACAAGAGGAAATCAAAGCGTCAATGCAAAGTCCAAGAGAAGGAAAGGTGATGGACTGCACGACAAGCCATGAGAGCATTAGGATGCGGAAAAAGAGAGACGGGATTTTTGTGGAAGCGGGGGTGTCGACGCAAGAATGTTCTACTGCGGACAACTTGTGGAGAGTGAGGCTTTAGTAGACGCCTCCGTAAGCATCTTCAGGATCGGCAAACGAGCTAGCGGTGGAGACGGGTCTCTGACCTGCAGAGAGTCCACCTGCGCCGTGGGGTACGAGGTTCCTGACCGACAATTGCTGCTGGTCGCTGTACTGCTGCTGCTGTTGCTGCTGCTGCTGCTGCTGCTGTTGCTGCTGCTGCTGCTGCTGCTGCTGCTGTTGCGGGTAGTGGTGGGGAGCAGGGTTGTCAAAGGGGCTGCGAGGAGCAGCGTGCTGCGAGCCGTCACTCGTGCGGTGGGCACCAGCGACGTCACCGGACAGAGCGTACGTCTGCTGAACGTTGGGAATGTCCGGAGTGCCAGATCGGCCTTCCGAGGTGCCCGGTCGGCCCGCAGTGTCGTATCGGGCGCCAGCATCGTGCTGCGGGCTGGCCGAACGGTTGAGCGACGACTGGTGGGCAAGACCGGCAGCGAGGGCCTCGGCAGCGTTGATCGATGCATGACGTTGGTCGGCAGAGTCACCGCCGGACGAGACGGATCCAGAACCGGCAGTGTGACGGGGTACGACAGAGCCGGGAGTGAAGCCAGAGCCGCCGTGCGATCGGTCGAGATGGGCGTACGGGTTGGCGACATTGTGAGGCTGCTGCTGACCACGGCCTACACCGGCGATCGAGTACGGGTCGCCACCAAAGGCTGCAAGAGGGGGCAGTTGGGGAGCGGGCGAGATAGAGCGTTGGGTCTGACCGAATCCGGGTTCCTCGAGGTACTGCTGATCAGCGTGGTGGTTAGCGAAGGCGGCAACGGGTGGAGCGTGGAAATCCGAGTGAGGAGGCATGGGGACCATCTGGTTGGAGAAGTCGCCATCCCTGTAGTATCCGCCGACCTGAGGCTGGTTCTGCTGGACGCCGGCGGCGTGCTTGGCAAACATGGTCGGGGGACGGGGACCACCGTTCTCGTTGTGAGCAGCCATGGCGGTCATGGCACCAGCAGCACCGGCGCTGATGCCAGACTCGTACTGAGGGCCAACGTTGTTGTACTGCTGGTAGTGCTCCGACATTTCGGGGGACATGCCGCCTGCACCTCCGTGACCCTCGTCCGACTCGTAATGGTCGGGGATCATGGCAGAGTGGCGTTGGAAAGCATCCCTGTCGAATGGGTTGCCCTCGTAGGGGTCATCCTGCTTCCTGTACTTCTTGAAGAGGAAGCCGATGAGACCGGAAAGTACAACGACACCAACAAGGGCACCGGCAACAATGCCGATGATAGGACCAGCGGACGAAGAGGTTGACTTGGGTGTGGTTGAAGCGGCAGCAGCGGCAACACTTTGTGTTGGGGTAGCGGTGACGACAGCTGTGGCAGTGATGGGCACGATCGAGGTGCGCGACTGTGTTCGGATCGAGAAAAGCAGGAGAAGGGAACCAACGTTAGTCACACGAACATGTATACGAGAGAAAGGTTAGAAAGAAGAGAGAAGAGAGGTGAGTGTGGAGGGGTCGGTTCTTGGAGAGTCGCTTGTCGGTGAATTCGATGTCTTTCTTGCGGGTGATGTGATGTTGATGACGCATGTCGGGCGCGAAAGGAGGACGAGAAGATGCGGATGAGGCTAAAGCTGGAAAGTGGAACTAAAAACAGGACAAAGACCATCTAAGGCCATGTAAAATCTCTGCGACGAAGCGCATTGGGGAGCGAGGTGGACAAGTGTAAGGAGGCAACAAGGGAGCTAAATGATGACATGGATGTGGGGGCCAACAAATAGAAGAAACCAACCGATGAGTTCTGATTGTCGTCGTCGCTGCGCGTAGAAGAGTCGTCCGAATGATTTCGATCCGATGCGGCTGCTGTCTGTGGCTGTGTATTCAGTATAGGGGAAGATGTGGGGACACTAACCGAAGATGAGGAGCTCGAAGTGGAAGTGGAGCGGGTGCTAGAAGACGAGGAGGTGGTGGATGAGGATGAGGAAGTGGATGTGGAGCGGGTGCTTGAGCTCGATGTGGTTTCGTCACCAAGAGAGCCGAGGAAGCCTGTGAGCGAATCGATAAGGCCGCCTGGTGTGGAAGAAGATGTGGCGGTGGGGCTGTAAAGGTTTCGAGTGGGTGTAGCAGTAGTGGATGTTGCGGTGTCGATTGTTCGTGTTTGCGAGTCAGCGTTGCCGTTGCCATTGCCGCGGCCTCTAGTGGAAGTGGCGGTGGCAGTATCTGAGTTCGCGTTGGCGCCGGCGTTGCCGAAACCGCCGTTGCCCATGGGTGGAGCGTTGGCGCCTGCTCCAGGGCCGATGCCGTTTGCACCATCGGCCTGACGAGCTAGAAGGGGAGGCGCTTCGTCAACGTGCTGATCAACAAAGGCTCGAACGGCGTGAGCGAGTTCGGAACCATCATCGTTGATGCGACGCTTATGACGACGCATGCGAGGAGCATTCTGGTTGATGGCAGACATGTTGGATGACGAGTCAAAGGGGCGAGTGCACTCAAAGTTGCTTGATGGCGATGACGAGCAATGTAGGGTAGCAGTGGAGTGTTGAAAAAGAATGTAGAACTGGCCGAGAGACTGTGATGCTGACTGGTTGAAGTGTCGGAAGACGAGGTAAGCGATGGATCGAGATCAACGTGCCAGCCGTGGATGTCGAAGGGGAGAGGATGGGATGGACGGCAAGGTGGGACTAGATGGAAGTTGGAGATGGTGGAGAAGCAAAGGATGCGTTTGGAATGGTGAGGAGGGCGACGAGGGCGAAAGACAGAGGGGAGAGGGACAGACAGACAGACAGGCAGGCAGGCAGGCAGAGGAGCGCCAAAGGACTCGAATACTGGGGTACCGTATTGGCGAAATTGTCTTTTGAGGCAGCAGATGGCGGCGGCACTCGTCTGTCTAAGCCATGCTCTCGCTGAAAAGGCACACTTTTGGCTCCTCGAACACGGCTCTCCCAAACACGCACGCATCCCACACAGACAGAAAAGTGACAGTGCCAAGGTGGGCGAGGCGAACCGACAAAATGATCGACACAGAGCAGCCGAGGCTCTCTCGTTTCTGTGGTCGCCCGGCCCCCTCTTCCCTCTGCCTCGTCGAACCAAGCCTGCGCTGAAAGGACCGCAAACAGGGTAGAAAGACGCAGTGGCGAGGAAGGGGGCTCGCGACGCATTCCAGGACAACACGCACGTCTTGCCCTCTCTTGTCGCAAAGCAGCCGAACCAAGCGCACATCGAACTGACAAGACAGATCGGACACTCCGTTCGTGGCGGGATCGCTGTTGGTCTCAGGAGGAAAATGTGCGTGTGCGCGAGCATGTGTGGGTATGCGCTGTCAATTCCTGGCCTCGCGTTCAAGCACCTGCCGAGACACACACCTTGTCGCTCGCACCACACTGCTGCCGTGCCCGAGACGCGTTTGATGCGCGCTCTTGGATTCGAGAAACTGGCGTGGGACGGAGTTGGAATTGGCCAAAAGAAAGCTCTCCTCTCACACCGCTCCTGTTCCGCTGCTTGCTGCACATGCTTCGGCGCGGGTCCGAGGTCATGGCATGAGAACTTGCTCTCCGCTCGGCTTGCTCAGACCTTCGCTCTCAGATGCAAAGTCGGTGTTGTTTTTTTAGGGGTTCGTGAGGTCGTCCCTCGATTTCATGCTCGCCTTGGTCAAAGCCCGGCTCTAGTCGTGTGACGCCAGAAGGCCTGGCGATTCGAGTATAGGTGCCTCGCTACCTCGCGGCGTCGAAGTGGGCAGCCTTGTGCCGTCGAAGCATCGTCTGCAACTCGTCGATCGTCCTTTGACGGCAGATTGTTAGGCTTGGCGTCTTATGACAGCGACGCAGAGTTGTAACAGCCATTGATCGACGACGTACAGCTCGAACGCGCCGCATCCCTTGCCGGTCCACGTTCATGTCGGCATCATCCACTTGCGAGCTTCTGTGCGACGTCATTGCGGAGGATACGGTTGTACCGCATTCCAGAGGTGGTGCTCAATACGCCCCTTGCTTTGGCTTGGCTTTCGTCGTGTGGCCCTGGAGGGGAACAACGTCACCTGCGGACCCCTTCTTGATCGCCGCGTCTTACAGGGGTCTTTCCTGCCAGCACATCGGCTTTCCTCCCTCCTTGCGACTGACGTTAGCGCATGATCGCGACCTCGTCAGATCTCGCTTCTCGACACACCTTACCCCTGCACCATTGGCTCGGGAACACCAAGTCGCCGTTGAAGCATGACGTTATCCCATTCAAAGCGGATTTGCTGTGCAACATTAGAGTCTACCCGCGCTGTATCGTCGAGCTGCGGTCTCATTCGAAGGAAGCGTCGAGCAGGCGGAGATCGGCGAACAGCAGAAAGCCAGCAGTGGCGGTCCAGTGTCCGCTTCATGTCGGGAACATTCTTCGCAGAATGCGCTTAACCAACAACGCGAGGCTGACCAACACCAAGCGAAATCGAATAGTTTCTAGCAAAGAGACAACAAGGCTAGGGGAAAAAAAACGAACCAAAACAATGGCACGTTTATTCGTACCAGATGCCAATTTTGGTTATCGATGTTGGAACTGGCAGATCAAACAACGTTTAAATTATTTTGAGCCTCTCGACCTTGGTCCATCGTCTCACACGAACACTCACTCTGGACCAATCAACACCCCGAGAGACTCGATCGAGGACAAACAGAGCGGAAGGCATTGAAAGTACACATTGAACAACAGCAGGGTGACACCACCGATAAAACAGCGATCCAGCACAGTCGAGCATCACTTGTTGTGCCAGAACAAGTTTCGCAAGCTGTCCCACTTCTCCGCGCTGTGGTAGAGATCTATGAACGCCAAAACGCAGCAATGGAAGGTGTCAGCCATCTCGTCTCTCACATGCTATCTCGTGCATCCATCGCAAGGTCGTTGTCGTACTTACAGTCCATACTGTTGACCATACCGCTCTGGATGGTCTCCCTTCTGTACTGGTGGAGGTACATGACCACACCCCAGGTGATGGTAGCGTAGGCGGCGAACCAGCTCTTGTCTGTAGGCTTTGGCTTGCCGACCGGATAGTCCTTGGGTGTTTCGGCTCTCGGCAAGAACGAGGCAATAATCCTCGACGACGTGTACAGCACGATCTACATCGTACATATGAACGATCTTGTCAGCACGACCCTTATCAAACTCCCTCGCAGGATCTTTGCCACACTACTTACCTGTTCATTCACCGGTGTCCTCTCACCGAAAACGTAGTATCCTCCGATCAAGCCGGCGACCAGACTGTGCCATTTGGGTACCGGTCCTTTTCCACCAGTAGCCTCGAAAAGCCGACGCATCGCAATGGTCAAGAACTTGTACAGGGGCGTAAAAGTGCCCAAGTTCAAAGCGTGCTGTTTCGTAGCTCGTAGGATGAACGTAAGCTTCTCGCGTGGCGTGCCTCGTCCAAAGAGGAACGTCATGACGAGTGCATGAGGGAAACGAATCTTGGCTCCGTAGACCACGCCATTTCGGAAACCCTGCACTCGCAAAGAAAGAGGAGCATAGAGGAGATCAGCATGCTACAACGGCGTCAAGAAAGCTATTGAAGCTGAGGCAGCAAGTTTAGTCTCACCTTGAGGATGGTGAAGAGGTCATGGTACGCTGGGTTGAGCGCAACCTGCGTAAGGCTCTTCTGAAGATCGGACATGCTGGGACGGTTCTTCTATGGTTGCTGCTAAGTTGCTTATCTATTAGAACGAAGTGAGTCCGACAGGCTTTGCGGGACGAACTCGAGGAGTCGAGTGGTATCTATTTACCTCAGCACGCAGAGATGATCGAGATGAGGTGGTTTAAATGAAGTTTTGCCGCCGGCGCTGCACCTGCAAGTCTACTATGGACGCCGAGGAGGATCGAACCTTGAAGGGGGTTGATAAAGGGGGTAGCTCGGAATGCTCGGATGCTGCCTTGCCGATGCTTGCACTTGATCGTGTCTCGAACCGAGCCTTACAAGCGTGCTGAAAAGAATGTTTGAGGTATTGACCTTCGAGGTGATTGCTCTGTGATGATATGAGACTCGAAGGAAGACGCGGTGGAGCAGACACCATCCGCTTCAGATAGCTCGATGCACAACTCCGGCTACCAATATAGTGAAATTCTGCCGGACCGCTCTCTCTGTCTCCACACTTTTTAGGCGCAACATTCTCCACGCCCGGACTCGCATCAGCACCGATTTCAAAAATTTCATCGTGAAAAGACCCGACGCGGGGCGGGGATTCTGCCCTCCTCAGACTGCGAAAATCCACTTAATTGGCATTGACTTCCTTTTTTTCCGCACGACAAAACCACAGACAGCGCGAAATTTAGCGCGAGAAACGACTCTGCTTCCTCCCGCTCATCCCTCTGACGGCTCTTCTCTACTTCTTGCTCACTCCATACAATGCACACCATAAGCTATACACCAGAGAGTTTGTTCGAATGAATCGTATTCTGAAAAGACGTGGAACAAAACATGGCAAAAAAACACGACACGCAACGTGCGCCATCTACTCTTGATCAAAAGCGAGGCTCGTATGCGTCGACGAAAAAACAACCGGCACAGCCAGCTTTCCATCGTGGGCGAGGCAGAAAAGAGAAGACACATGATGAGAACGAAGACAAAGAAGCAGCCGAAGCCAAGGTATGAAAGAATCGAAAGAGGACAAAAGAGCGAGGCAGAAGAAACCATTACAGCATAGCAAAGGGAACATCGGAAAGGAGGAAGACCGGTTCTGTTTGTTCAACGAGAGTGGTTGCCGTGGTCAATCATCTCGTTGTAGCCGACCACATCTTCCTCGTTGAGACTCGAGCCAGCCACAGACATGTGAGCACCGGGCGTGTACAATGATCTGGAGCTCGGCGCCCTCGCGTCGGTCATGGCAGAGTTGGCAGCGGCACGCAGCGAAGCATAGTGCTTCATCGCCTCGTCTGGCGATGCAAAGTTGGAAGGAGGCGCCATACCCGTCTGGGCCGAAACGCCGAGCTGGCGAGACTGTCCGTAGTGGTGGTGGTCGATGTAGGCATCCTGGTTGTCGTGCATCGGAGGAGCTGGTCCATCGAACATGTCGTGACCGTCGCTCGACTCTCGTCCAGACTGAACCATGCTCAAGGCCGGGTAGGCGAGCATCGAGTTGCGGGCGTTGGCATCGAGGCTCTGACGCATGCGGTCGACGTCGCCGGCACCCAGAGGGCGAGGTCCGTCGTTCTGGGTGGGGCTCATGAGCACCTCGTCGTCCTCATCCGTCTCGGCGTACACGAGACCGTCCGAGAAGCGCGCCGAGCGACGAGTGTCCTGGCTGGTGCGGTAGCGAGCGTCAAGGTGAGGAACGGCGGGTGCATCCGGGTCGTAGTACGAGTCGACGAGCTGCGAACGACGAGCGTTCCCTGCGCGCGGAAGCTGTGACGACGATCGACCGGGGACGTCGGTCGAGTTGGCGTAGCTGATGCGCGAAACACGGTCACCGCGCGTGGTGTCGGCGAAAGAGATGCGCGAGGTGCGGTTGCCCTCTTCGTACATGGACAGTCCTCGCGGCATAGCTTCGCGCATCTCGTCCTCGGTGGCGTACTGAGGCGTGATGTCTTCCATCTGTCGGGGCACGCGGGCGCCAGCGCCGCGGCCGGCAAAGTTTCCATCCAGGTCGCGCGAGGGACGCGACATGTACGAGGCGGGACGAGTGCCGGGGATGGGACCGGCAGAACCGTCACCACCGGCGGTCCAGTCGACCGAGATCCTGCTCATGCGCTTGTCCATGTGTTCGGCCCAGTCGACGGTCTTGTTGAAGCGCTTGATGTGGAGACGACGGATGCCGAGACCGAGGACGACGGCGAAGACGACGAGGGGGCAGACGATGGCAGCGGTCTTACCAGCGGGGGTGAGGTGGCCATTCTCGAGGAAAGCGGTCTTGACCGAGTTGGAGAGCTTGCCGAAGAACGACTCTGCCTTGGAAGCACCCTGGTTGGGGACGTCGTAGTTGGCGGTGAAGGTGGGACCCATAGGGTTGGACGAGTCCCAAGGCTCGTTTCCGGAAGGGACAATGTTGAACGAGACGGGGACGGACGAGTTGTGTCCGAGGTCTCGACCCCACCATCGAGGGTCGAGCTTGGTCTCGTACATCTGCTGAGACTTGGGGATGCCCTGGAAGACGTGGATGGGGAGGTACTGGTTGGGCATGGAAGGGGAGTAGACGTAGATGTCGATTTTGGATACGGTGTTGTCGAGACACGACTGGTCCCAGCGGATGTCGGTGACGTTGGTGACTTGAACCTCTTGTCCGCTGGCGGGGGCGACGTAGAGACCACCAGCAAGACATTTGGCCGAGTTGTCGATGGTGGAGGCGGACTGGCGCTTGATGACGCGCTGCGTCTTTGGGGTGTGCACGTTGCGCTGCTTGAGCTGGTGCTGGTGGTGCTGCTGCATGTGGCTGCGAGTGTCGAGCGTCATGATGGGCAGCTAGGTCGGATCGAGAGAGGGCAAACTAGGCCGATGATGACGATGGCGAGCAGATGGTCAGATAGAGTAAAGAATGTGTTCAAAGGAGCCGACCGGGGCTGATGTCGATAGATGAGCGAGGCCGATGGAGAAAGTGGGAAGGGGTGGATCGAGACACGAACGTGCGAGGAGGGGAGCGGGGAGGTGGATGAGGTGGTGAAGGGGCCCAAGGGGTGAGGTGAGATGAGATGAGATGGTGGGAGTGAGCGAGTTGGTGGATTCGAGTCGTGTCCAGAGGATCGTCGCGGTGCAGCCAGCTGCTACTGTGCCGAAGCTCCTCAAAGTTTACGAGCGACGACGAGAACGGGGAGGAAGGGGGCGGCGAGCACCACGAGCGACGAGCGGGCCAAAACCTTGAACCAACGCTCGCCTCGCACGAGGCGGGGCAAACAGGGCAGCGCAGGTCGACAGATCGACAGTCGCTGTTGACACGCAGATCACACGGCTCGAGAATGACCAGGCACACGAGCACTCCTTTGTTGCGAGGCAGGACAAGCCTCGCGACATTTGACTGGGCCAGAGGCTGACCAAGGGCGGTTCGGCAGCCGATAAAGTCGAGGGGAATCAAAGGAACACGAAGAAAAGGGGGGCCAGCCTAAAACATACACAGAGACAGTCACGCACAGCACAGCACACGAGCGCAGGTCGGCAGAGTGGCTTGGACCCAAGAATGTCGTGATTGGTGGGGCACTCGAGCAGTGTCTGCGCAGAAAAGTTCGGCCAGCATGGCCGAGGGACAGCGGCAGATTCCACAGCAGCAGCACCCTGACAGTGTGTCAAAAATTGATCGACACAACACAGCTCGCCAAGGATTGCGCTCGAAAATGCACGAGGCAGATTTCCCAGCGCAGTGCAGCGATTTTGACCCGAACGATGTTGAGTGCGTTCGGCGTGGGAACAGTCACGGCACGCGTCTCGTCTGCTTTCACCTCAAATACAGTGTTTGTGAAATGGTTTGATTGCAGCCAAAAGTTCACACCTGCACGAGTCTGTTGGTGGAATTCCGCCTGCGCCCGCCTTGCACGGTTGCAAAGACGATGGCATTGTGCCGACATGGACAGCAGAAAAAGGAAAGAGCTGCTAAGCTGCTGACGAACTGGTGGATCTGAGTCTCGTAGTCGACAGTCGCAATCCAGGGAGACAGTTGCAACAAGCAACGACGGCAGCTATCGTCCCCACAGACCTGTCTCTTCGTCGCAGCAAGACTACTTTCCATCTACTGCATAGAACACTTACTCGACATGGTGCCAGGCAGCGCAAGACATCATATCAAGGCCTTGCTGCATCACGGCAACGTATCAGTGCATCGGCTGCTTTCTGCTTGCAGTTTGCAGGTTGCAGATATTGGAAGTTGTTTCCTTTCGTTCGGTTCTGCTTGCCGAAGCGATATTATAAAAGTGTTAGAGTGTTGGACTCACTGCCGTGCGACAAGACTGAGTGGTGACAGAAGATCGGGAATCGGTCAATGATGATTTTTTTGGCTCGACGACCCTGGATGAGAATTTTAAGAACTTTGGCAGAGGCGGGCGGTGGAAAATTGCATCAACTGCAGGCAGCACAATCGCACAAACTCCTTGGCTGTCCAAGGTCACTTGCCATCATCTGCTCAACCACCTCTTCCTTGCCGTTCCTACAAGGTCATCCATATCAACATGGCCAAGAAGGGAAAGAAGACCAGCGCAGCTGCGGCACAGTCTACAGAAGCAGCGCCTGCTGCGGTGGCTCCACCAGCAAACTTTGACTCGGAGCTCGACGCTTTCTTCAAGGCTGCACCACCAGCTCCCGCTCCCGCCAAACCCACGGCCGCACCGACTGCGGCGCCCGATTCTGCCTCTGCTGCCGGACCTTCCAATCCAAAGAAGCGCAAAGCAGCGCAACAACAAGTGCCCGAAGAGCCCGAGGTCGAAGAGGATGATATTCAAGACGCTGTTGAGGATGACGATGACGATGATGATGATGACGACGACGACGACGACGACGACGTAGAGATGGAAGAAGGCGACGGAGATCTGTCCAGCATTGACGAAGACCTCGATGATGAAGGCTCCCTCCTCTACAGCCAGAGCGAATACGAAGGCTCTGCCGACGAAGACGACCAAGACGATGAAGCAGATGAGCCATTTGTCCCACCTCAGCACGAGTCAGTCATCAAATCTCAGACTGCCGAGCCGCCAAAGAATCCCAAAAAGACCTTCAAGGAAGAGCACGAGCCATCAGAGACACGCGATCAGCGCACTCTTTTCATCGGCAACCTTCCCATCGAAGCCGCTCAGTCGCGCTCCTTGCAACGCAAGCTCATCTCCCTCCTCGAATCGTTCTCGCCGTATCCCATGATCACAAAAGCGCATGGCTTGCGCTTCCGCTCCGTAGCATTCTCCGTACCCACCGTTCCCCTCGACGAAGCTGGTGCTGACGACGACGACGCCGGCAAGAAGAAGAAAAGCAAGAAGGGCAAGACCAAGGAGCGCAGCCAAAACTACCGTGAGGCCGTCGCAGCGGTCGAAGGCGGAGAGAATGCACAGGCTCCCTTGACAGCACAGCAGAAGCGCAAGATCGCCTTTATCAACAAGGACTTCAACGAAAAGGCAAAGACCGCCTCTGCCTACGTCACCATCGCCCACCCAAAAGCGGTCCTCGACCACCTCTACGACATCGCCCCTCCCAAATCCAAATCCAAGAGCGCCGCCAAAACACCGACGCAACTCATCCAAATCGACCCACGACTCACGGGCGCCGTTCTTGCCGCTTTGATCGCCTCGTTTGCCGACGGACAAGACTTTGAAGGACGTCATCTTCGTGTCGACTTGGTAAAGTCAGTGTCGCCCAGCGAAGTGCTCCCCTCCGGTCTCGAAAAGGTCAAGACGTTCGATGGCACCCTCACCGGCTCTAGCAGCTCCAACGCCGATCTCAAGAGTACATTGTTTGTCGGCGGTCTCGATTTCGAGATGGACGAAGAAGAAGTTCGTGCATTTTTCGAAGCTTTGCTCGTCGAGGAGCTCGGACCGGCAGGCGATGCCGTCACCATCCCTATCACCGGTCTCGACGGCCAGCCAGCACCGAAGGAGCTGCTCGACTCCTTGTCGAGCGAGTTCCCCTTCATCCTGCCGGAGAAGCGAAAGGCGCCAGAGACCGTGACACGCAACGCCGAATACGTGCGATCCGTGCGACTCATCCGCGACGCAGCCACACAGATGGGCAAAGGGTTCGGCTACGTCCGTTTCGTCTCGCAGCAGTGCGTCGACGAAGTCATGGCCATCTACAACGCCGAGCAGGCCTTCCTCGAATCCATCAAGGGCGTCAAGGGAAGTCTCGGCGCCTCGGCTGCCATCGCTGCCGGTGGTAAAGAGTTCAAGCGTCGACTCAAGCTCAAAGGACGTCCCATCCGCGTTTCGTACTGCAAGACTCAGACCAAGACGTCTGCGCCTGTCAACCGAAAGAACCGATCCGCTGCTCAGAACGACGCTGCTGAGCAGGAGCCGACTACACCGCAGCGCAAGGCGCCTCGCTACGAGCGATCCAGCGGCGCACCTACACCCAACGGCACTTCGCCCCACGTCATCGGCAAGCGTCAACGCGTAGCTCCCGGCGCGACCAAGATTGTACCGGGCAGCCCTACCGCTTCGCGATCCGCCAACCCGGCAGACATTGCCAAGAAGGCCGAGCTGTACGCAACGCTGTCCAAGGAGCAGCGCAAGCAGATGAAGAAGGACGATGCCGATAGGGTGGGTCGTCGAATGGCGAAGAAGAACAAGAAGTTCGGTGGAGCTGCGGCGGCTGGCGGCAAGGTGGACAAGAGCCTGGCTGCCGAGGGGGCAAAAGCGAAGAGCAAGGAGAGGGTCAAGTTGAAGCAGCCAGCTGGTGGGGCGGGAGGCGCGAACGGAGCTAAACGCTTCAAGAGCGGTCCTCCAGGGCAGAGTGGCGGTGGGGCTAGGAGAGGTCCTCCCAAGGGCAAGTGAACGTCCATGCCCGCCATGCCCACATTGTCATTCCCGGTAATAACATCACGAGCAAGTGGGCTTCATTTTCTCATTCCCGGTCCCACGTGTCTGTGTTGTTTGACGTGTGCATTTGTCTCAAAAGTCATCATTGCGTCCTCAAACGAAGAAGTCGAGCTCGTTGGCGATCTCAACGTTGCAAGTGCCCAATTGTCATTGTTCTTATCCCCTTCGAAGCTGCATTGAGATGCTTTTGCATTGCGATAAAGATTGCGTGTAAATGTGATTAAAGGATCCTCGTCTTTCCCACTTGTTACCACTCCCAACTTCTAGTCTACGACTTTTGCGCCTGCTCTTCGAATTGTTTCTGGAGCGCCTGACTGATCTTACTCTTTGCCCTGATCTTCTTGCCGTAGAAGAACAAAATGAATGGCACTACACCCAAAACCGCCCCCAAGAACGCCGAAAGCGTGCTGGCCCACTGATAGCCCAATCCATAGTACATTTTTTCGACAAACAGGGGGAACATGAAGCCAAAGATGTTCCTGGCAAAGCTCTGAGCTGCTAGGGCTGAGCTGGCGTACGAAAGGTACGAATCGGCGAGGTAGTTAAAAACCGACGTGTATATATGGTAGATGGATGTCATGAGAACGACGACGCCGACGATGGGACCTGCGATGTTGGTGTGAGGGAAGCTCGTCCAGGCGTAGATAAAGCAGCCGACCGGAAAAAAGATGGCGCTGACGCAGGCGAGATAAAGTCTGGCTTCCGGCCCACGTGTGGGCGAATAGCGTCGGTAAAGAAACTCCTGCAGTGGGTTCATCATGTTCCCGATGAGGGCTGCGCCACAGATCGCCAGGAAGACCAGCCCAGTCTCTCCCGGTGTGAAGTCATGCTGCGCCGTGATCAACCCGATCGAGCTAAGCAGCATGTACATGAAACCCCACGTGAACGAGATCCACAGCGAAAACGCCGTGACAATGGGTTCCTTGACCAAAAACACCAACGGTCGTGTCAACGAGTTCTTGATCAGCACGCTGACCGACGCGCGTTCCAGTTCCGCTCTCGCCTTGTACCTCTGATCTCCGGTCGTCTTGCGCAACTTGCTCGCTCTTCTCGTCAACAGAATGCTGCCCCTTGTCTCCTTCAAAAACACCAGCAGCAAGATCAAAATAAAGCCCGTGTAGATCGCCTGGATGTACTGGATCCACCTCCACTGCAATCGTGGATTTTGCTCGACCCATCCGGCCCAGACGGGTCCGAATCCAGTACCGAAGATGGCAGCGGTGGCGAAGAAGGCCATGGGAGTCCCTCGTTCTTTGCTGTTCCAGATGTCGGAGATGGTTCCACCGACCATGGTGCTACCGGTGCTACCGAAGGCGCCTTGGAGGAAGCGGAGGATGATGACGGTGGCGGTGTTGTTGGCAAACCCCAGACCGATGAAGAGGACCGTGTAGCAGAGATGACAGACGAGGTACATGGGGTTTCTGCCGAACACTTCGGATAGCGGTGCGAGGACCAGCGGAGGTAGCGCGAATCCGAGGGGATAGATGGCGATACCCAACAGACTGAGCTCGTGATTCGTGATGCCCAGATCGCGCTCCATGGATGGAATGCCCGGAACATACGCCGACGCCGTAGCTGCCACCTCGGCCGTGAACAGAACCCCGAGAAGCGTGATGCACCATTTGCGAGTCTTGGTAAAGTTGAACGGATTCTCGGGATCGTCCGGTGGGAAGTCGACCCAGATCACATCGTCCTTGGCCTCCTCTCTGAGCATCTCCGGATCCGCCTGTGGGACCTTTTCGAGATCTCTCGAAGCATCGTCGTGCGCCGCGTGTTCAGAAGTGGCAGAGTGGAGCTGTGCAGGTGGGAGAGGTTTTGAAGTAGCGTCCGCGTTGACGATGGTGCTGCGTGAGACGGGAGAGGTGTGGTGGGAAGAGAGCGAATCGGTACGCGTGCTTCGGGAGGACGAAGCTTCTCCTCGAGTCATGATGGTGTTGGGAGTGCTTGTTCCTTCTGCGATGGATTCAGAGTGCGGGTGGTGGACGTCGATGGCATGTAACATGATCGCATGGGGTTGTCTGTCGAGCGATCCGCTTCGTGCGTATTATGGTAGGAAACCGATCAGCGTCGTCGTACAATCATGCGTGAATGGTCGAAGGGAAAGAGTGCTTGCCGAAAATTTGGACCGAGATCCAAGTCCTTCTTGTATTGCCGGACACTATATGGCAGTAGCAGTGTTACACCAAAAAAAGAATGCCCGTTCTGGGCGTCTCTGGGTAATCCTAACTCATTCCGGCCAAATGACCGGAGGGAGAGAGAGAGAGCAACAGTCATGCATTTTTGCCGAAAGGGAAAAAGGCGGCGTAATTTCGGACTCGTCGTACAAACGGCTGCAGGAAAAGGCAAAACCAAACCACACCACATCACGATTGATTGGCGGGAGCTCACGGATTTGCACCACCACGGACTTGCACGCCACACTTCTGCCGCCGGCGCTTGCGAGCACTATTACGCAGATGCGATCGCAAATATCCATCCCAAGCCACAACAGAGGTACCCAATCATACATGCATGCTCGGATTGCGCAACCTGCAGAACGGCTGTCATCGGAAGATTTCTCCGATGCCGAACGCCAAATCACCTGGCAGGTCGAACAACGCACGTTCGGATGATAGGGTCGTTTCGGGGTTGGTCTCTGACTCACATCTCAGTCAGAGGTCAGACGTGACGGACTGGTTCTGGCTGTGCTCACCGCGGAGGAAGATTCGGCGTGTCCGAGCATGACTCGTGCTGACTCCCCGGGCAGGCGTGCAAAGACATGCGAGAGAGCCACGAGTCCGGGCCGCGTTGGATGCCGAATACACCGGACGGGTCAATCCTATGTCATACACAGGAACAAATACACAAAATGGATTATATACACAATGTAGGGTATCAAGAGCATGGTCGGGGGTTTAGCTCAGTTGGTAGAGCGTTCGCTTAGCATCTCGAGGTGTCTAACTTGCGAAAGGTCGCGTGTTCGACTCATGCAGTCTCCATTCTCCTCATTCTTTTTTTATCTGCTTTTTGCTCGACTTGTCCTCTGCCTCCTGGCTGCATCCACATCAGCGACACACGAGCAATGTACACGCTGTCAGACAATGTCAGAGCTCACACCATGACTTTGAGGCAAGAAATGCTCCCGTATTGTCTCCGCTACGACCGTCGTACAGGATGCAACTTGTTAGCCCTCTGTTCGAACGCATCGATCATCTGAGCGCTCATCTGTTCAAACACGTTGCCCGCCACCGCACCATACACGGGATTCCTAAACGCATACACCAACCCGAATTCGACCAACGTCTTTGCTCCTCCATCAATCGGATGGAAAGTCCATTTCGTCTCGAGGTACGAAAACACCGGGTTGGGTTGCACTGCCTCTGCCACTACACTGCTGCTACTTTTCCCGCCTTGCGCAGGCGAGACGAGGGTGACTTGAGAAGTGTAGGTTTCGGAGAACCTTCCGAATCCGACGGTGAGATCTGCGAGGACTGCTGAATTTGTCGACTGCTGCTGCTGGGATGATGTTGGAGGAGCGGGTCCGAGAACGCGCGAATCTTGACAGTATGGTACAAAGTGCTTATACGCATCGACGTCAGCCACCACCTCGAAAAGCGTATTCGCAGGGTGCGATAGGATCTTGGACGTCTCGTACACCGTCCTACCCTGTGCGTCTCGGTACGATCGACTTTCTCCTCCCTTCCCGCCAGCTTTCGGTGATGCTGCGGAAGATAGAGCGCCGGATGCCAGCTTGCCTAGATCGGGAAGGCTGAAGAAGCTTCGCTGTTGACCTGCGGGTGTAGCGGTGGCAGTGTGACGCGGAATGTGCGTCGAAGCAGGTCTTGAGGAAGCGGAAAACGGTTGCTGGTGATTCGAAGGCCACGGTCGTGCTGCACCTGCCACACTCTCGCCATGAACACTGGCACCTAGGGAGGCTTCGTCCTTCCATCCAGCCAGCTTACGAATACCGTACACGTCCACTGCTCCGAACACGCTCTGATCCTCGATAGCAGCGCACACCGCTTTGGCTACGGTGTCGATGTGCAAGGGTGGCGTAGTGAGAAGCCGTGCGATCGACTGAGATGGACTGTTGGCGGTGGCGCTGCCTAATTTGGCGATCAACTGCGCTGGGGTCGGGATGGGAAGAGGCAGCGGTGGAGATCGATGGAGTGCCGCTGATGCTTCGAGGATTGCGGCGGGTAGTGTCGAGGCTGGTCGAGTGTGCGGATGGTACATCAATCCTGGTCGTAGAAACACCGGCCGCACAAGCCCTTGCAACGCACTCGATTGCGCCTCTTCCCCGGTGTAAGCAGACCCCGAGTCAGCCGCACTCTCGTCCCGAAGCTCGGCTTCCAAGCCTGCACCGTCGGAATCACTCATAATGTGGGCTTCCTGTTGCAACGTGCTGCGAGGTCGAGGAGCGTGATGGTGAGCAGCGAGGCGTGCGATGGCCGATTCTGCTTGACGCTTTGTGCGAATGTATCTGGCATCGACGACCGGTCGGAAGAGGTCTTCGGCCGAAATGTAGATGAACGGTGCGGGCTCCTGATTTGATGACGAGCTGGATGTTTCTACGGCCTGCATGGAACGATGTCGCAAGGAGGACAGGAAGGTATGTGCGACGGCGATGGCGCTGTCCCTATTCATGTGCTCGTAGCTAAACTTGGACGGACTGCGTTGCGACGAAGCCTGTCCACCTGGGTACTTTGCATCGTGCAGCGGATTTGTGTCTGAGTTCGATCCACCAAGATTCCATCCCCAGCCCTTGGCGACTCCGGCGATGGCATTGCGAATAGGCGAGGCTGACGACGTTTTCGACTTGTAGTCGGACTCGAGAAGGATGCCGACGGTGTGTACTGCAGCGGTGGCGCGATCTGCTAGATGCGAGTACGAAGAAGGATCCAAAGCGTCTGCAGCATGCCATTCGATGTTGGGACTCGACGACCACGCCGGGCGATGTCCTGCAGGTGTGTGGTAGGGAGTTCCCGATGGCGAAATGGAGAGGACGCGCCAGCCTTTGGCGAGGGCAGCTTTGGAGATGGCGCTGCCGAGGAAGCCAGCACCTCCCACGACGAGGAGAGTGTGCTGTTGCATTCTTTGAGGAAGCAACGACGCTTGTCTTATCGATTAAGGGAAGCAAGAAGAAGGCGGCGAGAAGAAGCAAAGTGACACAGAGCATCACAAGCAACCTCGACCAATGTGGAGAGCGAAAAGCAGCACGTATCAGCATTATGTAAAATCTTGCCTCATCAGTGTTAGGTTCACAGGGTCTGCACCCTTAGCCAAGCCGACAAGTGAGAGGTTGAATATCGCTGATGAAGTGCCTGGTTCGCCAAATGGACCCTGCAGCAGTGACGCGCGCTGTCGGACAGACAGACGTTGCGCCGATTCGAAACGAGCAAAGGCGCCTGCAGTTGGCCATCGACAGCGCCGCCGCTGACAATGCCATGTGCATGCACTCCCAGTCCATTTGTCGCTGTCTTCTGTATACACCTGTTGCTCGCACATTTCCCCTAACCTTCCTAGGTCGAGGTCGAGGTCGAGTCGAAGCAAACACCAGCGATTGTGGGCCACCATCGTTGATGACCAAGTAAGGCGGAAAGGGTTCGAGGTCGAAAGCATTGCGCGAGAGTATGCATATGTCAGAATGTTGAGATCCGCGCCGACTTGTCGAGGCACGTCAGCTGTCACTTCGAATGCCGCTGCCGCCTCATTGCCGCGACACGAGCGTCATTCGTTGGTGTCTCGTAGCTCCACGACCGCCTGTTTCCGACTCGGTGTACCGTACAACCCGCAAGCGAGGCCCATCCCGACTTTTGTGCGTTGTCTGACTTTGGTTGTGCTTTCCTTGTCCTCGTGTTCGCTCCCACTCCATCTTTCTCCTCGACGCTTCGACGACTTTAGCCGAGGTTTCTCCCAAGAATCACCTCTCTCTAACTGACACCGCCTTTGTGCTCATCGCATAAACAATCGCTCATTCGCTTGACCTTGCTCCGACTTTTGCTTGTCTCGCTCACGGCCACTTTCCACCCTCCCTTTTTGGCCTCGACTCGGCGATCAACAGAGCGGCTCCTATTCCGACGACCACCTAGATCGTGGTGTGGGCTATCTTTCTCTTTCCTTTCTCTGCTATCATCTACCCTTCCACACACCAAGAGCGAGTCAGCGATGCCTCCCTCTGCTACGACCTCTTCCAAACCATCCTCCTCGCCATCGCCTCCAATAGCAGCTTCTTCGCAGTCGGCTCCCCTACGCTCTTCTCCCGATCCACCTTTCTACCACTCACACAGCTCGACGCCTCGCACCTCCGTCTCGCAACCTAGAAACGGCAAGGCTCGTTCATCCTCCAAACAGCGCTACCTCGACGCCGAGGAACAGGACACCACCTCCACCGACGACTTTTACGACGACGACGAGGACGAGGACGACGATCAAGACCAAGGTGCAACAAGGCCTTTCTTGTCCCAACGCAACAGTGCTTCTTCTAGCGTGCGCAAGAGCTGGCCGAATTCGCGTCCAGCCAACAAGAGATCCAACTCGATCAAATTGCAGCGTTCCAATTCGCACAGGATGACCGATCAGTACAAAGACGACGAGACGGCTGCCAAGTCCAACGCTGCCGATGGCAGTCCTTCTGCCAGCCTATCCCAGAGGAATGGCGACGGTCACAACGGTGAAGGCTCGCGTGGACCGGGCGATGTTACGTTCGACGACATCTTCGACCCTACAAAGACGCTGCGCGAGAACAAGTCGATGATGATCTCGGCCGAGCTCGACCGTATGGGTATGGGCAGGTACCAGATCTGCATCTGGTTCCTCTGCGGATGCGGCTACTTCATCGACCTGCTGTGGGCACAAGCGCTCGGGTTGATCGTCACCCAAGTCGCCTACGAGTTTGCCGACGAGATCAACGGCCAGACCGGTCCGCTCCAAACCGCCTTTTCGACGGGTCTCACTGTCGGAGCGTTCTTCTTCGGTTTCGCCGTCGATGTCGTCGGCCGGAAATGGAGCTTCTACCTCACCACCCTGATCGCTTCCATCTTTGGCATCGCCAGCGGAGGCGCACGGAGCTTCGACACCCTCTGCGTTCTCTCCGCCTTCATCGGCTTCGGGATCGGTGGAAACATTCCGATCGACGCTACGATCACCTTGGAGTTCTTGCCGACCAACAGGAGGTTTTTGGTAGCCGCATTGTCGCTGTTCCAACCGCTCGGTGTGATGGTGTGCTCCGGAATCTCGTACGGTCTGATTCCCAAGTATGCCTGCGGATCGGCTGATGGGTGCACCCGAGCTAACAACATGGGTTGGCGATACACGTTGTATACGCTCGGCTGCATCACCTGGGTCATCTTTGTCGCGCGTTTCTTCATCTTTAAATTCCGCGAATCGCCCCAGTACCTTCTGGCTCGTGGAAAAGATGCACAGGCGCTCAAGATCATCCGTCAGATCCTCGAAACGAACAGGAGCAAGGTGGAACCGCTGTTCACACAAGCGGATTTCCACGAAGCAGCTAGACGAATCGCCGAACACGAAGGTCGAGAGTACAATGCCGAGGAGGAGGAAGAGAGGGAAGGGTTGCACGCGGGTGGGACAAAGACCTCTCGTCTTCAGAGTGCCAAGAAGTCGGCCAAGGAGATGGTGGCGTTGTTCTTGAACGCAAAGACGCTCTTCCAGAACCGCACCATGGCTCGCGTAACGATCATCATCTGGATCACCTTCATCGCCGACTTCTGGGGCTTCACACTCGGAGGCTTCTACCTACCGCAGATCCTCCGCGCCAAAGGAGCAAAACAAGACACGTCGATCGCCACGACCTATCGAAACTACATCCTGATCTACTTCCCGGGAATCTTCGCCGTAGCGCTGGGTGCTGCGATGATCGAAGCTCCCAAAGTAGGACGGCAGTGGGCGATGGTAGTCTCCTCAGCGTTGATGGCGATATCGTTTTTCCTGTTCACCTTGACGTCGACGCAGGCGGGCAGTGTAGGGTTGAACCTGCTGGAGTACTTTTTCCAGAGCCTGTTCAATTCGATCCTGTACGCGTTTGTTCCGGAGATCTACCCGTCGCAGGTTAGGGGCACGGCGAGCGGGTTGGCCTCGACCTTGGGCAGGATCGCCGGGATCGTGGCTCCGTTGGCAGCCGATCCGTTGTTTAGGGACCAGACCGAGGTGCAGGCGAGACACGTGCTGTATTTGGCGGGAGGTGTGACGCTGTTGTGTCCCGTGGCGTTGGCGTTCTTGCCGTACGACACGAGGGGGATGCGCGTGTATTGAGGAGGAGAGGAGGGGGAGGGGAGAATGGCAGGTGGTTGCAATACGAAAGCTTTCCTTTTCTCGCAAGGATGAACGGGGACTGCGAGGTGTGATTATCAGATACGGATCGACAGAACGAGGTGAGGATGCAAAGATCGGTTCTGCATAAGAATGTCTGCGTCGAGCAGAAATCAGGTACACATGGTTTACCTTGACAGCGACGGGTGTGAGCGTCCAAGCACACGGCTCGCTTTGTTGCGTGTTCGGCACATTCAGGTACAAGTGTTGTCCAGATCGAGTCCGATCACTTCGATGTAAGAGAGGCCGTCAAGATTGAAGAACCAAGGGTGGGAACCGGTTCGATAGCCACCGCAAGCGCTTTCGAGTCGCCATGTCGCCGGGTGAGACACTTTGAGTGTCCAAGGGGGGCTGTAGATAGGCCTTGTTGCCGAACAGCAGCGCCATCTACCGGGTTGACATTTTGGCTCTCGCACAAGTGACCCAAGCTGATCATGCTGCTCTTGCACGTTCACTGTCGCTGTAACACAGCACGACAAGGTCCCGACAACGTTGGTGACGATCCACGCGAGGGCTGTTGGTCGACCCGACATGCAATTTAAACAAGGAAATAATGTTGGACCGGAACAAACTAACCCTGATTTTCCCCCAAAAGTTCAATCCTATCGAGATCAATCAGAAAAGAGCCAAGCTTTTCTCTCGCCGCAAGGTCGCATTTCGAGCCCGTCTCCGCTCTTCTCTTGCTTGGCATAGAAGTCGGACAAAGCAAAGACGGTCGCAGTGTGAGAGCGAGGTTGAGTGAAGAAGCCCGGCAATCGAACACAGGAGCAACAATAACGAACGGCGAGTTTGTACAGGTAGGTCGGAAGTGGGAGGTGGTGGCTCGCTTTTCGCAAATGGTTCGAGGAGAGACAGTGTCTGGCGCAACTACGCTTTCTTGTCGATCCGATTCGATTCGCTCGTTCCTTCTAGCTCAACGCGAAAGAATGTATATGAGAGTGACCCGCAGAGCGGCGTAAATGCCGATGCCTGGTCTTTGCTCCAACACGTGGGTGGGATGCCTAACTCGGTTGACGGCTTTGACGGCGAGAGATGACAAGGTGGAACGGTGGATTGGCTGCGTCTTTGCGTGGTTGACACGAACGTCAGTGAACTGTTCCTGATCAGGCCAAGAACGAGCAAGAGGAGCCGATCTAAAAAGGTCAAGTGTGCCCAAAGGCAACGAGGCTGGGCTGAAAGCAGAGGAGAAGCGAAGGGAGTGGGCGCAAGCACTTGCCGAGAGTCGGATCTGACCTTCCACACAACCCAACTGCGCCAGCAAAGGTCTGCCGATTTCGAGAGCACGCGCCCGGGACAGCCCTTGCTCGGGGCTCAATCGCGCCCTTTTGCGAGCAGACGACAGCGTGGTGGATTTTCATGCAAACCTTGTTCGGCTCAAACAGCCAACTTGCAGTGGGCAGTGCAGTAGCAGTGAACGTCTGTAAGTTGTCGCGGCGCTTTTGGCGATTCTCGCAGTGCAACAGCCGGAAAGAGGATTTTGCCGCGGACCAAATGAGACATTCGACCCTGAGACCAAAGATGAGACTACAGCATGGCAAAAACACACAGACGAGAGGCTGTCAATCGACTCTTTCGTTTCATGCATCTGGTGGGAGTTGAATCCGCGCGTCCCTGACAGCGACCATGAGCTCAGGTACAGAAGTAGTGTGTTGCAAGTACTCTTCTTGGGCAGTGTGACTGCTGATTCGCCCTTTTTTGCAATTCGGCACAGTGAGGCTGGCTGGCGGGCGGGCGGGTTGCTGCAGCGTGCCGCTTTCTCGCCTTTCTGTTGCTTGCCTCGCCAAATTTCGGCAGCCGCTGCTCCCGTCGAAATACCGAAAAGCAAATTCGAAAATAGTAGATTGGTTACAGACAGGCTGTACCACAATTCGCGAGTGTGTCCCTGCGTAGGCCAAGTCTGGATGCAATCATCTCAAGTCAAGAGATTCGGACTGAAAAAAATATTCCAGCTCAGCTTGCCAACGAAACCTTTTTGCGGAATTCATGCTGACCTTGCGTTCCGCCCTCCCGCCCTCCGTCCCGTGCTCGCCCCCCCTTTTTTGTGTGGTTTGCCAGCTGGCTCCCCCCGCTCGACCATTAAGTCACAAGTCATACAATTCGAGAGTGTCCTGAAGAGGTTCAAACTTCATAAAGATCTGGAAGGCTAGACGAAAAGCGTTGGCACGAGGAGCGATCTCGAGAGGAGATGGGAGATTCGGAGCAGCAACGACAGAGAGTGACACGGACACTCCGATACAGTTGAAACCAAAGCATCGGAACCGGACTGCAACTCAAGTGCGCTCTGGTGCCTGATTGACACGGTCAGAATCTCAGCTCGCTCGAGACACGCGCCATTCCAATAATATTTTTGCGCGGGTGAGGTGCCGTTCTGAACTGCGTTGGCAGAGAGGCAGTGACCGTGCGTGCGTGTTGCGTGTTCCTGCGCTTGTCATGCTGCTCCAGCTCCGACGAGCGACAAGAGGGCAAACACTACACTGAGCACATGTGTCGGTATCCGTGTCGGTGTCCATTGTTCTGCTTGCTCTTGGCCTTGAAAGCTCGTCGCTTTTTCGTCGCTGGAAATAGGCGTGTGTTCCTGGCGCCTGCCGCTTTGTCTCGAACCGAGCTGCTGTCTGTGCATGCTCCCGATACGCACGACCAAACGTCCACTCTGAATCGTGCTCTCTGTCCGTCCGCACGACGGGTCCCGCATTCGCTTGTGGGCTCCATGCAGCCCCCCCGTTCGGGCTGGGACTGGACTCAGATCTCACTTTTCTGCCATGCGCGTGCGCACCCACACACTCCCAGTCCCACCCAAACAAAGTTGTCAGCTCGCCTGCCTCGTCCGCAGTTCCGTCTGAGCCGCTGGACCTCCTTCCCCCCTTCCCCCTTCCCCCTTCCCCC